CACCGCAACCAGGGCCCCTGCAAAAGATCATACCCTCAGCATGCTTTTCCCTCGTCGGTACGGGTCGATGGATCGAGACGGGGGCGGGTTTGAGGAGGGAAATTCCGGGTGGCAAAATGGAAAGACCGACCAGAGTGGAGGGAGTGAGTCAGGAACCCGGATGGATAGCGAGAGAGAGGGAGACCCGGGGGTGGTGGTGGTTGTGGTGAATATGAGGCGGAGGAAGAGGAGAGAGGACGAGAGAGAGTCAGAGAAGAGAGAGAGAGAGATGGAAACGCACGGGGGAGGAGAGAAACGAAGGGGAAGGAACAGCCACATGTCGTCGTCGGTCTTTACCCGGTCGGGTCAAAGTGCGGCTGTACGGTGGCCCGCGCGACACCTTCCGGTCAACATCCGCTGGCATCGCATCGTCCCTGAATCCATGACAGCTCGGCATCGCGGAGGATTCGCTTGACTTTGCACCTCTTTCTCTCTCGAGCTTCTTTTCACGCCCTCCTTATTCTTTTTCTTTTATTTCCTTCTGGGTTTCCTGATTCTAAACTCCCCTCTCCCCCGTCTGTGGCTCAACTGTCGTCATGGCGGACAGCGAGTACTCCCCCAAGTTCGCACCTTTCTTCTCCTTTGTAAGTATCGTCCTCATTCCCCTCTATTCTCAGGGGATCTGCTGTCGTTTGAAGAGATACTGACTCGAGGTAGGCTGGGATCGCTGCAGCGGTGAGTCCCCGAACAACGTGTCCTATATCACTACCTACCTAGCTAACACCTTTGCGAAAGATGATCTTCGGATGTACGTACTTCTTCGTCCTACAGATCCTAACAGGAGGACGAAAACTAACAACAACTCCAGCAATGGGCGCCGCATATGGGACAGCAAAGTCTGGCATTGGTATCTCCGGTGTGGGAACCTTCCGGCCGGACCTCATCATGAAGGTATAGTATCTTCCGTTTTGCTCTTGATTCAACAGAGAAATGAATGTCAGCTGATTCGCTCCCGAAAATAGTCCCTCATCCCCGTCGTCATGTCCGGTATCATTGCAGTCTACGGACTGGTGATCGCAGTTCTGATCGCCGGAGACATGCAGCCCCCTCCGCTCCAGAATACTAGCCTCTATACGTATGTGTGCCGGACTGAGTGGCGGGAAATATGAGCAAAGCAACCATCTGACTCGATCTAGGGGATTCATGCACCTCGCGTCGGGATTGTCGGTTGGCCTCGCAGGCGTGGCCGCCGGATACACGATTGGAACTGTCGGGGACGCGGTAAGTTGATGTTCAGAAAGATGGACAACCAGCATCTGACAGCAGTTCAGGGCGTTCGTGCGTATATGCAGCAGTCGCGAGTCTATGTTGGAATGATTCTCATCCTGATTTTCGGTGAAGTCCTGGGTCTCTACGGGTACGGTGCTCTCAGACACTCCCACGATTTCTCTGCTAACGCCTACAGTTTGATCGTCGGTCTGATCCTGAACTCGAGAAGTCACCCTTGAATAGGGAAAAGGTGTTCGATTTCGTATGGTATCCCAATATGTTGGCAATTTGCTCTTTCCTGCGCAACGTCCTTTGCCCGTCCATCTATGCTCTATATAAAGACCGTGACCGCTTAGGGTGACAAGCAGAATCTGCCAGAGACCCGTGTCTCTTCGGCAGAGTAATTCTAGTCGATTAGATATTCGCTTCGCCCTCCGAGGGCCACTGTACAAGTACCGGCTTGCTATGCCTCACACAACAATATGACCCCATAACTGATACATCTGTTTTATCTTCTGGCTGTACCTAATTTCTAAATTCACCTTCGGCAAAAGAAACCTAACACGGCAATCAGTCTACATCATCAGCGGTGGATTCCACGGGAAACGGCGACTGTTTGGGACTAAGTTAGCGGGAAGATTACCCAGTGTTTTTTCTGCCCCGCCAGTCGGTAACGTCAGAGCGGCCGCGTCCCTCTTGAACCCCCCCGATCATCACCACCGTAGCGCTCTCGGCCTGTTGCACCCCGTCTTTCGCCACTCATCCGACCGTGATCTGATTGTCTAGCCCATGCCTGGTAATACGGCCGTCATCTCGATCTCCCCATTCTAGAGGAACCGCCGCTCCCTTAATTGCGAGCCCGCCATCGCCGCATTCCCACATCCTCTCCCTCCCCACCGCGCCGCCGTCCTCCGAGACATGCTCCTTCGCCATCCCAATGGCTTCAGGAACGGTGGACCCTGACGCACCGCGCGAGGCGCCGACATCGTCGACCCCATCGAGGAATGTCGAACCTGGTCGGGATGATGTCCACAGGAAGGACAAGCAGCCCGCGGCCCCCAGTCGACCGTCTCATTCGCGACAGTCGAACCCGTTCGTCATCACCGATCACCGAGAAGACAGACGGACGCCGGTTTCAAATCACAGCCTAAGCGTCCAAGACTTTGCACTGTTGAAGACCCTCGGAACGGGTGAGTCTCCAGCCTTCCGCGAATTTGACCTCGGTCTGACAGTATCGCCCCGTCGATCTTAGGGACCTTTGCTCGGGTATGGCTAGTGAGATACAAAGACGAGATCCAACGGAGAGACAAAGTTTACGCTCTTAAGATTCTACGGAAGGCAGACGGTGAGGTCAACCTCGATCTACACACCTGCACTGATCGAGGCTAACTTCTGTGGCAGTCATCAAGCTGAAACAGGTTGAGCATGTACGCAACGAGCGGAAGACCCTTTCGGCGGTTTCCGGGCATCCGTTCATAACACGGCTGATAACGACGTTTTCTGACAGCCAAAGTTTATATATGCTGGTACGCGGCAGTTGTGAGACCAACCAGATGCTTCACCAATCGCTAACCTACTGTCTTAGTTGGACTACTGCCCCGGCGGGGAGATCTTTAGCTACTTGCGACGTGCGCGGCGCTTCAACGAAAACACCTCCAGATTCTATGCCGCCGAGATCACGCTCACCATCGAGTATCTGCATGATATGGAGGGCATCGTCTACCGCGATCTGAAGCCCGAGAACATCCTGTTGGACGCAGAAAGGACACATCAGGCTGGTCGACTTCGGCTTTGCCAAACAAGTCGGGAATCACGAAACATACACGCTCTGCGGAACGCCAGAGTACCTCGCGCCGGAGGTCATCCACAACAGCGGCCACGGGCTTGCCGTCGACTGGTGGGCCCTGGGGATCCTCATCTACGAGTTTCTCGTCGGCCAACCCCCCTTCTGGGACCAGAACCCCATGCGCATCTATGAACAGATCGTCGAAGGACACATCCGCTTTCCGCAGAGCATGTCGCCAGCCGCCCAGAACATCATATCCCTCTTCTGCAAGACAAACCCCACCGAACGACTAGGCTATATCTCGGGCGGCGCTGCGCGCGTCAAGTCACACCCGTTCTTTGAGGGGATCAATTGGGACGACCTGTTCTACCGCCGGGTCAAGGGCCCGATCATCCCCCGCGTGGACCACCCGGCCGATACGGGCAACTTCGAAGACTACCCCGACCCCGACCCCAAGACGCAGACTGTCTACACCGAGGACATGAAGAAGAAATACGAGACCTTGTTCAGCGATTTCTGACACGTGCCGTCCCACGCGCGTCATGCGCACGTATTGTCACTCGATGGCTGGCGGACGAGAACCGCCCATCGCCTGCGCACCGCGCGGAGGGCCATCCAATCCAGACTCTCTCACTTGTCCAGTTCGGCACCGTGACTCCATTCCTTCCTGGACCCGCTTAGTCTTATATATACGTCTGTCTGTGCGCCAACCGATCCCACAACACGCCCAGTCCCGCGCAAACCCGCCCTATCCTTCCAGCCCGTGCAACCCCCAGTTAAACGACAGTGTCCTGCTTGACCCTCCACTTTGGCATCTATCTTGGCCCTTTCCACCGGTTGCGCGCAAACCGACGACGACCCACTGAACTGACATTGTAGGCACGTGTTGACATTCTTAGCTGGTCACGCAGTCGTCGCATCGTGAAGAAACGAGACACGAGGATTCCAACGATTGTTCTTGCCATGTACTGTAATATAGCGCATTTCCCTCTCTTCCTGTCCCCCGCCATGTCCCTCACCCCGGGCATTCATCTGCCCCGCCGTGACATCCAGGCGCGTGGTTTTTCTATATTAGCTGTGGTGCGTTATATCCGGGCCACACCCTGGAACAGGAGTTGTCATACCGGCCGAGACCTTCAACAGTCCAAAAGTGGATATCCTCTTCCACCGGCTATCTGGCTGGGACTAGGCGCATTCCGGAGCCCGGAGCGATTGCAATTTGGTGATATCCATGTAATGCATCGTTTGGTTGAATCAGAATTTGTGTCGCCGTAAATTTACCCTAATCTACACCATCTTTATCGGCCCCTGCGGGAAGTGACTGCGCAGCAAAAATAATTCTGGTATAGGTCTATCCAAATAATCTAGCTAAAATATCCGGTGGGTAGAATAACATTCACAAGAAGGAAAAGCAAGGTATAGGGTACAGAAGGGATCAGGTAGGTGGCCTCCAGACCCTCGATATGGTCGGGGGAGGAAGTGTCGCTTTGAGCAGTTGATATGGCGGCCCTGTCTCTACCAGTGTCCGCGGATCTTGTGTGTTCATTATGGCTAGCCCTCCTCGCAAAGGGAGCACGGTATGTTCGACGGATCCTTGGACATCTGGATAGTGGAGCCGGGCCTTGTGATCCAGGTGAATAAGATCCACTGAACAGTCATGATACAGGCATCAGACAACGTCGATGCGTATACTCATCAAGAAAATGCGGTTCGTCATTCATGTCGTGATAGACGGTGAGAAACAGGGGTGCGGAGACCCCGGGTGACTGTAGGTGTGTATGGGATGTGCCCATGATATTAAGGAGTAAGATGTGCTGATACAGCGGACCAGGGAGTCGAAAAGCCAATCTCTCAGACTCCGTAGCGATATATCAGGCAGGTCGACGCCTGCAGGAGACGTATAAAAGCGACAATGGACGTGGCCAATACTTATAGGGACGGGTCATCCTTCCAAGATCCTAAGCGAGAATTAGCGCAAGGAATTCAACCATACAGATGAGCATACGTACCATCAAAATCATGCTTGACAAAAGCCATCGGATCGTCCACGTCCTTGGCACCCATCTGCTGCACGCCGGGACTGAAGCTCGTAATCGGGAGGACAATGACATCGCCGACTTTGCGGTACTCTTCCTGGTTCGTAAAATCCTCATATGTGATGTTTTTGTCCGAATTGGGGTCAATGTTGAAGTATTCCGGGTTATTGAAGTACCGGAAGACCGCATCAGTCCAGGCGGCCGGACCGGTGAACTCCACAATAGTCTTGTCCATCTTGCCCTTCTTCAGAATCCCCGCTTTCTTCATCCGCAGGGCCTCCTCGGTGATGTAGGCTACGATATCCCGGAAGATGGGGTGGCCTGGCTTTGACTGGATCGTCCACTGGCAAAACTGAATCCGGCGCGAGTACCAATCGTGCCAGTCAGGGCGGTCCGGGTCCGCCTCGATCCCCACCACTACACCGATCGTTGAGAGATCGACCGAGGTGGGGAGCCACTCAGAGGCGGGTTTCAACGCGGTGGTGTCGATGTCGCTGTAGATTCCACCACGCGCGAGGAGAATCAAGTACCGGAAGAAGTCGGCCTTGAGGACGGGAAGTGGGAGCGCATCAAAGGCTTCAACCACCTCGGGCACCGAGCCGAAGAGGTATTTAATCAGATGCCGCTGGGTGTCGTCGGGAATCACCTCGTGTACAAACCCGGGGTGTAGTTCGGTCCAGCTGGCCTCGGCGGCGCGCAGGTCTGCGGTAAACCACAGCGAGGCCGGGGTATATTTCCACGTCTGCCAGATGTATGCGGGGAACTTGTTGTTGAGGTCGTAGGGGAAATGATAGCGAAGACGTTCGCGAAGGGGAGCGCTCGGAGAGGGTTGGAGCGGTTGTTGGACGGCGTCCTTCTTCTGTCCGGGGGAACGTTCTTCTGTCCCGTCGGCGCCATCTTGAACGTTCTCTTCGGGGGTATAGAGAGAGGGTTCGTAGGAAGGGGAGGAGTGCGAGGAACGGAGGAGGAAAATGAAGGTGACGAAGAAAACGGCCGCGATGAGCGACTTGCGGAACGTGATCATGTTGCAAGGGGCCTTCCGGTAGGCACCTGGGACTTTGGAAACGGCACGTTCAGGCAATACCACGAGTCTGCGCCAGCTCCCCGAGACGTGCCCAGACAAATGAATATCGGAGGAATATCAGGAGAGAAACGCTGTCCGGGAATGACAACCGGGTCAAAGTCCGTTCCACCTCAGAAGGAGACCAAAATCACTCATATCTGCCTAGTTTCGAGCTGTCCTGTATAAATTGCCGCTCCGTGACACTGCGGAACTGGATCGAGTTACCACGCACTCTGCGAGGGGACACAATTGGCACACAACGGCCGGACAAACAGGGAAGGGCGACGCGACTGAGGCAGCGACGGAGGGAGCGCAGCGGTGAAACCGAACAGGTTGCGCATGCAAGAAAATTCGAGTGGGAAAGAGTAGAAGAGAATCTTTAAGATGACCGGGGCGGATGAAGATATTACGTGGGCGGTGGGACCCCTGGACGGCTGCTATTGGCAGCGACGGCAATCCGCGTGGATGGCGATAAGGAATGACGACGATGGTCAGTATACGGTATAGGTAGAAAAGGCGAAGTGGATAGAAAGGGAGGAAGAGAATCGCCTGAAGATTTAGTCTTATATGGTCCGACTGTGGATAATTGCACTGCATTTCATACCGGAGATTGAGCTGGGCTGGTGGAGGTGGCCTTGCAACTGTGTCTTCGCGCCGTCACCCGCAATGGGAATGATCGCCCCCATCACGAAGAGGGGGGAGCCCATCAATCGTTCGCTTCAGCTGCTCATCTTCTGGCTCTCCTCCCGACCACTACGATGCGATCCAATGGTTCACTTCAGCCCATAGTGCAGGTTCGAAAGAGCGAGGCCCATGTTGTATCTCCTATCCCCACACGGCATCAGTGGCGTGGCCGTTTTCGGTCGGCTCGTGCTGGGGAAAGACGACCCGGGCTATAAGTATTCATCTATATCTTCTTGAACGTTACAAGGTCCACTCGTCCTTCCAAGTCTAGACTACCGAGGGCTTTTTCCTCATGATAGTCCCGTCGTATTCTCGACCGGGAGGGTCACTCTCTTATCAGGCTCCTTCTCAAACCGGATTTCTGGATATCACCACATATGCCATAGATTGCCGAGGAAGAAGGACATCATCAGAGGGATCCGTCTGGCATAATCCGAGTGGTTCATCTGCCCGGGTTGAGTGTACTAGTCTGTGCTACTAGAGCAGACCCCAGTCCAGCCGCGTCATTCTTATCCCACACCATCAATCTGCAGGTCCGACTTGGCTTGGGGGCTGCTAAGCTTGTATAGGTGGTTAGGTGTTCGCTGACCAAAGAGATCTGGCATTGGCGACGGGCTAAATGCACCACCTGCACGCCACAGCTGGGGTAGTGAGACTAGTTAGTAGTGGCCTTGGGCCGTACTAGTTCAAGTGCTGCGGGAGTACGGAGTACGGAGTACGTATTAGTGCATTAGTCGAAACGAGCTTCTCCCGACTCCCGCCCAGACGGATCGCCAGTTTCACCTGGACCAAACAGGCAGATGCAGGGTGTAGGAGACATAAAGCGTTGGATTTCCCCGTCAATCACGGTGTCAAATTGATTCGAACTGGACGTCGATCAATCAGCTAGGGTCAGCTAGGGTCTTAGTCGGGATACCGTCGGCGAATCCGAAGAGAAACACGGGGGCTGCAGTGATGATCCAAATGTCAGAGGGAGGTTCCTGGTCGGAATCCCAAAGGGGCTGATGTTCATAGTTACAGTAGGTACCTGAGGTGCCTCCGAAGACTATGGCAGACACGTGGACCCGCACTAGCTCCTCTTTGGCCCGTGGCGCCTCAGGCGCCACCGTTTCCTAAAGCAGCCCTAGAGCAGTTCGGATACTACCTTACCTGCCCGCTCTACTTGGGTAGATACCTGGCTGTATTTGAGGAGCCCAGTCTCTTCCTTGTTTTAAGAGCCAGAAAATCCAGAATGGAACGTTCAGGGCGGACTTTAGACCAGGGTACAAAATTAAATAAGGGTCCATCTGCAGCTATGACGACAAAAGCTCCATGTCCTCGACCGATCGGGCATACTGGAGCCAATGCTGCTTTTGATATCCTGAATTCAATGTAATGATGCTATCAAGAGTTCTTCGTATCTTGGTCTGGATACCCTTATCTCATTGGGGGATATAAATATTTCTCTCCACATACGACCTATATATATATTTAGCCTTCAGGCGTCTATAGAAATTGTTCACAATTACATAGGTATATTAGGCTATTAATCCGGATTCTTTAAAGACTATCTCACCCATCATATTGCACATCGTGACTACATTCGCCAGCTGGAAACAGTTATTTCTCAATATTAGGTTTATTCTGCCAGGGCCATAAATGAGGAATCCAGAGACATCCTTCATGGATATCGATACCTATTTGATTACGTGAATGAACCATGGAATTTACCCCCGTCTGCCTATGATTGCTGTTTTGCGTCAAAGTATACTAAGATAACTACTACTCATTATGCCCTTGATGCTGCCTATGCGTGGGTTCTGTAACTCACAAAATTGATTGACCATTCCATTTGCACGGATGTTTAGGAAAATTAAAGAATAGTAGAAACCGAGAGCAAGCTCGTACCTCTTCCCTTCCTCGTAGTGTCCGCGGATACGAGGGTTGAATGACCTACGAGGGTCTTCCTCCTCTCGGCTTGCACTCTTGCTGGCCGGTCAGGCTGTCTGCGGGGGCGACTGCCAACGCAGTGCGGACGAAGAGGGTCAAGACATGAACGAAGCGCATTTCTAACTTTCCGGATGGTAATGGAAGCAATGGGATGTATGCTGTTATTCAATGGAACTGTAGGGAAGGAAAGCTCCAGTGGGCAAAGAAGGAGATGTAAATGTTTGGCACTGGTACAACTGACCCTGCCAACAACCAGGAATGCTTTAGGCATGGAATTTCCGGGGCCTTTCAGGTCTACTCTACTATTTACATTCTTCTACCCAGCATGTCGCGTAATTTGAAGTCGTTGAGAAGTCGATTCTCAGTCTTCTAAACGAGGGCTAGAGTACGTAAACAAGGAATATCTAGGAAATTCAGAATCAATCAACCATTAGGTAACCCCCGTAGTCCTACTCTTTAATGTAAAACAACCCTTCTCCCTGTGGTTGGTTCACTTCAAGATGGCCTTTCGGCTTCAAAGAGCTTCAACATTCCAATGATTAACAGCTTCCAGGCCGTGTCCAAGCTTCGGTACTGTTCTAGCTCAACGTAATGAAGACTAGGACATTCATACAACGACAACTCAGCACCCAAGCCTACTGTGAGAAGGATCATGAGTGAACATAGCGCCAGGATTCAAGTACATACCGAGGAGCAAGAATGATCAGCACCGATGCAACTAAAATAGTTACTGGACCCCATTCTGTCTACATTTCGACGTAGGCTGCCACCAAAGTCCGCCTCTTGTATGTATTTTGACACAAATCTGCCTTAGAGAGGATAGGCCTACGGATTTTATGGGAATTTCTAGGTATGTATATCCACAATATCACCGTAAATATGCGAATAGCTATATATTAAGATACTGGTGATCCATTAGTCCACACTGTAGTAAGCAGAAGCTGGTTCCTTTAATCAATGGCCTAACCGGTGCCCAGGGGGTTTTTAAATTCGTGGGACTATCATCTATTCTAGGTAAACATCATATCGGATGTCATCGGGCAGCTTAAGTGTGGGGTTAGATAAACAACAACGCAATAGTTAGCGATTTAATGAAGACATTGAATCAGCATAGAAATAACCGCTGTAAACCGTACCTGGAAAGGTTAAATCGGTTAATTCGCGCCTAAAGAGTTTTCCCAGGAGACCTTTACCTTTTCGAAGAGTCTCGACTCTCGACCGGCGCCAACCCGCCCGCGGCTGCGCCTCGGACCCTTTGAAAGGGTCTTGCGTGCTTGCGCCCCAACACTGACAATGGGACTTCTGACTGCAGAGAATTTCCTTCCCTCGTCAAGAGACTGCTCTGGGGACACCAAGCTGTCCCGATAGCTGTCGCTTAATACTTCCAGGGGAAGTCGAAAGAAAGTTTGACGGCGCGCATCCCTGAAACACGTCTTCCAGGCAGCCTTTTTCAGCTGATGTACATATATCAGCCGCCCGATGCTGAGAAGATCGACATCCTAGAGACTCCCAAGGAGAGAATGCACCCCGACACTCTGACGGTCGATGACCATCGAAAGGAGATCCCTCCAACGACCCTCTCAGCGTCAGCGTCTTCGCTGCCCCGCGACGACGACTCAGGCGCGGGGATTACAAAGCCGGTGATCATCTTCTCCCCGGGGAAAACGGATGCGCCTGAGGACAAGACACCCCAGCGATGGACGCGAAAACGGATCGCATGGATTGGCATCATTGCCTTCTCCGCCCTGGTGATCGTTGTTCTAGTCATCACCTTGCCAGTCGTCCTACTCCGACGGCGTGGACCGCCCGACGACCCCAGCTACACCAAGACATCAAATCGCCCCCTTCTTGTGGTCGATAACTTTCCCGATCCAGGCCTGATCCATACCAACGGGACATGGATTGCCTATGGGACAAACGCAAAGAAAAACGATTCCAATGTGGCCCATATCCCCGTCGCCACCTCTATGGACTTTACAAATTGGACTCATATCGAAGGCTACGATGCCATGCCCACCATAGGCGGTTGGGAGAAGAGAATCAACCATTGGGCGCCCGATGTGATTGAACGTGTAAGCCACCGTTTCAACTAGCTTCCAACGAGGAGCTAAGCTAATTGGCCGCAGAATGATGGCAAGTTTGTCATCTACTATTCAGGAGAGTTAAAGGACTGGAAACGGCACCACTGCGTCGGGGTCGCCGTGTCCGAAGAAAAGGATCCACTAGGACCGTACATTCCTGAAAAGAAGCCGTTAGCCTGCCCACGAAAGCACGGCGGTGCCATTGACCCCTCGCCATTTCGCGATACCGATGGCAAATTGTACGTCGTGTACAAGGCCGACGGCAATAGTATTGGCCACGGCGGCAATTGCAACAATAGCAAAAAGCCGATCGTGACCGTTCCGATCATGCTGCAAGAGCTAGAAGACGACGGTACCACGCCGGTTGGAGACCCCGTCCAGATTCTCAGAAACGAGAAGAGCGACGGCCCTCTCGTTGAAGCCCCGAGTCTCATCTATACCCAGGGGCTATATTATCTGTTCTTCTCGTCGCATTGCTTTACCTCTCCCGAGTACGATGTCAAATACGCCTATTCGACATCGCTGAAGGGCCCGTATGTACGAGCTGCCAGACCGTTGTTGAAGACGGGCGATTTCGGGCTCAAGTCACCCGGAGGCGCGACTGTCTCACCAGATGGAACCAAGATGGTGTTCCATGCGGACTGCAAAACCAGTTGGAGATGCATGTATGCGGCCGCCATCGATATAAGGGTCAACTCAACTGTAACCCTTACCTCTCTTTGATGTCCGTCGCTATTGTGTTCTTTTTTCATGAATAATGCATTGTTAGGCTACATAGGTAGATATAGACATATTTTGTACAAATTCAATACCCAGTGGTCATTGCTATCCCAGACAATGAAACATACATAGTCACATCCTAGAACCCTAGTCTCCCAAAATCTCCTCCGCAAACTTGGTAATCAACGCATTCAGTTCATCAGGCATCGGGCTTAAACTGCAGAGAAAGAGGTGTATTTCCAAGATACAGAGCCTGTCGCTAATACGAAACATCCTTAGAACTACGGTCCCTCCACCTCAAGAATCTCGATGAATCTCTGAGACAGTGCAAGTCTTTCCCGCTGTCCACTGCCATCCATCACAGTGGTAATGCAGTCATGGCTGGTGCTCAAATACTGTTTTCGAAACACCTCCCACAGAATAGATCCACGACCAGGTCGAGGATAAAAGGGATCATTTCTCTGAAAAGCTGTCACAGCCTGTAAGACACCGTGCTCATTCATTGTGATGATACGAACAAGGTCGAAATCCAATATCCACAGAGCGTGTGGACCTAGGATGTTCACCCAGGTGTCACCTTCGTGCGTGCCATCAGCAGGAGGCGGAGCTAGGACAAATTCTATATCATTGCCATCCATTTGTCCAAGCCAATGGATGGTGGCCAGTGCTTCAGCCATAGCTCTGGCATACAGCACCCTATGGCCTATCGGTATGCCGAGCTCCATCATTTGGTCGATGTGAAGAGGAAAATTCCTGAGCGAGAATGCTTGGGATCTACCGGGCTCGGATGTCCGTTGTATCCCCCTGCGACCAAGGTAGGGTCGAATGAGGCAACTTCTGTTGGTATCGCTGGACAAGATCTCGGGCCGCAAGTCTGGAGGACAGTATCTTTCCACCAGCAGCCTCCTCGTCACAGAACCGAAGGATGGGATGCGCTGAGCTTGGAGTGTATTGCATGGAGAATGGCCATCTGGGAACCTGGATAGGTGTCGCTTCCACCAGGGCTCTTCTGTTGGTGGGATAAATCTGAAGCAGGCGGGGACGAGAGCTTGCTGGTGCGTCTGATTTTTGCTCTTTTTGATCTCGGCAAGGGTTTTCATACAATTCAGGATACGACGGTGCATGCGGTAGTCATTATGGAGAGAACGTGAAGGACCGCCGTCTTCTCTCTTGAAGACCCATGCAGCTGAGATTTCCTTGTCGTCACTAGTTGCGGCCCACACAGTCCCGCAGAATCCTTCTCCGATGCGATGGAGCTTTGCTTTATGGTCTTGCGATATGGTGTGGTCCGTATGGTCAGACATGTTAAATGATGATAATGGGCTGGAGACTTCTGGGGGGGAGCCGCGGTTATATAGGGTATTTGAGTGGGTGGTTCCCTGCGTAAGAGGGGCATCATGTCGATACTCATCATGACGGGATGGTTGCCTAATGCGACAGACCTACATATTGATGCGCGGCAAGAACTGTCTACAGCATGTTTGATACTATACTCACTGCAGATGTAGGTACAGTATACAAGCATAGATCGGCAGCAGCCAATCAAGAGGACGGCAGATGACGCCATGCGAAAACGGCCCTTGATGCCTGAGGCTCCGCGGGAAGCTTACTTGACCGGCACTTCTCCGCGCCTCACCATATATTCTTATCAGTTCCCCCGCGGACTCATTCTTTTCCTTCAAAGCTCTCTCGGTCATTCACAATGACCCCCGTTCAAGGCGCCATGCGACCCGCCTCGCGGTCTTTAAAAACGCTGGGAGGCTTGTTACGACAGGGCGAAAGCGTCGCACCCTTCGCCGGACGGAATCGCTTTTCTATCTCTCTGTCATCAACATACTACGCCAACCGCCGAGAACTGCACCAAGGCCCTGCCAGGAAATCCCAATCGGCGGCTGCCGCTTCCCAGTTAAAAGACTCCTCAAACCCCGCCCTTTCGTTCCCTTGTCTCGATGCTCAAGAGGCCAAGTCCGCGCTCCTCTCCGCCCGGTCACTCGAGTCGGGTCCCGAGCCATCGTATACCACCGGTCAACATGAGCAATATCATTGCGAGGAACCATTGCTCCTAGACTGGGGTGGTGTGTTACCCGAATTTGACATCGCATATGAGACATGGGGTCAGCTCAATGCTGACAAGAGCAACGCGATCCTCCTACACACCGGTCTGTCGGCCTCGAGTCATGCGCATAGCACGGCAGCCAATCCGAAGCCAGGCTGGTGGGAGAAGTTCATCGGTCCAGGGAAGCCATTGAACACAGACAAATACTTCGTCATTTGTACCAACGTCGTTGGTGGGTGCTATGGCAGCACGGGTCCATCGTCGGTCGATCCTTCAGATGGAAAGAGATACGCTACAAGGTTTCCGATCCTGACGATAGACGACATGGTGCGGGCACAGTTCCGCCTTCTGGACTCGCTAGGGGTCCAGAAACTATATGCTTCCGTGGGTTCTAGCATGGGCGGCATGCAAAGTCTCGCCGCTGGCGTCCTTTTCCCGGAGAGAGTCGGAAAGATTGTCAGTATCAGTGGATGTGCCAGGAGCCATCCTTACAGCATTGCCATGAGACACACCCAGCGCCAAGTGCTAATGATGGACCCCAAATGGGCCCGCGGCTTCTACTACGACTCCATCCCGCCCCACTCGGGGATGAAGCTTGCGCGCGAAATCGCGACAGTCACTTACCGCAGTGGTCCGGAATGGGAGAAGCGGTTTGGCCGCAAACGCGCAGACCCCAGCAAGCAGCCGGCGCTGTGTGCGGACTTTCTCATTGAGACCTACCTGGACCACGCGGGTGAGAAGTTCTGCCTAGAATACGACCCCAACAGTCTGCTCTACGTTTCCAAAGCGATGGACCTTTTCGATCTGGGACACTCCCAGCAGGTGGAGACCAGGAGACGCAGGGCCGAGTACGAGGCGAGAATTGCGCAAGGTGGCAAGACTCTCCGCTCGAGCAACATCGCATGCAGCCTCACCCTCCCCGATAAGCCGTACGAGGAGCAGCCATCTGTGACTGCCACGACCCCTGCGATGAACCAGTCTGTATCTGATTTTAGCCCGGAAGGGCCACCCCAGGATCTGGTCAATGGCCTTGCCCCATTGAAGAACCACCCGGTTCTTGTTATGGGTGTCGCTAGCGACATTCTCTTCCCTGCGTGGCAGCAGCGTGAGATCGCGGAGACCCTCCGTGCTGGTGGAAACAACAACGTCGAGCATATTGAACTCGGCGAGGACGTATCTCTGTTTGGTCATGATACATTCCTTCTTGATTTGAAGAACATCGGAGGTGCGGTGGAAAAGTTCTTACAGTAATGGATGGGGTTCTTTTTGTGTTACAAGCGGGCAAACAACAATGATCATGCATCATGGCGATGATATCCATTCTATTCTGTATGTTTAGTTGCTTTGATTCTGTTATTTATCTTATGTAAACTCAACTCTTCATACTGCTGAATATGCTATTGGCGACTACCGAAGTAGACTTCAGCCGTTGGATTATAAAAAGCTATCTAGATATATAGAGGCAGTTACCCATGTATGATTCTTCCGACGCCCTCAGATTAGCTCTCAGGTTCTCATAGGTTTCCAGGCAGATATGGATCGTGCGAACACGCGTAGTGCCGGATACCGATAGAATTTGGCTTTTGGTATTACCTCGTCACCGGGCGGAAGAATACAGCGGGGAGATAGCAGGGGTAAACAGAAGAAGAGTATTGTTGGTTAGTTGCGATCTTCCCACACTATATCGAAGAGAAAAGCCCGAGTTGCAAAGATATATTGATGTGCATTGCGTCCATAATCACATTCTATGTATGCGTAGAGTAACTTGGTATTCGACAGTTCCAATGGGACAAAGAAAGTCGTTTTAGTGCGTAGACGGATGTAGGATAGACGGAAACTGATCTTTGTCAGCCAATGTGAAAAGAGCCCGCCAGTCAGATTGAAAACTACCATTCCATCTCCACTCGTCATTGGAATGCCCATCGTTACATCGAGACGATAAACAGACGGAGCACTTGGTCGACCTCGGAGTGGCGCTATAATTGTCATCATGCGGCGTGGCTGTACTGGAGAGGTGAAATTATTGGGCGTAGTGTCGAAAAGGGATGTGATCGTGGTTCATCTGGGGAAATTAGTGAAGAGATACTGTATCTACGCAAGGAAGAGCGTCGTCCCAGTCCACAAACATTAGAAGACAAGAGACGACGATGTTCTTCCAGAAGTGAGTAATGAAATCAGGGGGAGGAGAGCAGTTAGAAGCTGCGCGAATGACACCGAGAATAAACGGGCTTTCTCTGGTCTCTTAGATCTCTGTTCCATCTCAATCATACACGCTGTGCATCGTGTCTTCTTCCATTCGCTTGCAATGCTCGCGAAGGATGAAGCCCACGACGCGTTGTATTCGATTCGAATCAATCGTGTCATGAGAAGCTCTGATGTGTGGTTTTATCGTCATCGAGACGAGAAAGTGTGTATTCTCGGTCCTGCGAGATTGGTTGTCAGTCACCACACATACTTTCGAGAGACAGTGGAACGTACCTGGTGGTCTACCAGAAGAGAATGAATTGAAGAGGAAGATTCAAGTTGCTTCGGCGCTGATCTTTTCCACCCCCAAGACGCGCCGCACGTGATCCAAAATTACGTAGTGCTCCGATTGACGTTCTCCGCCAGCTTTTTTTGAGATTTAGATTCCCGAGCATAAGGAGAAGAACAGATCAAAAGATGTCTTCCTGGATCCAGCGGCACGCTGGCTCCCAGCAGACGCAGCTTGCGGCCACAGCTGTAATTTCGGGTGCTGCTGTCGCCGGCGCCATCTTGGGCTACCAAGCACTCAGAAGAAAAGAAGCCGTTAGCGAGCTTAAAGCTTCCATCCCCAACATTGACGAGGAACACCATGCTGAGAGGGTACGTTTGTGTTGCTTATAGTGCAAGCGCTCTGCTGGCTAACTTGACAAGCTTACGAAGTTCGGAACGGCGGCCGCACTGAGCAAAGAAGACGAGCGCAGCGCAGCTCTTGCTCGTCGCGCCCAGCTGGGTGACTATGATGACGGTGAGTCGGCGCCCCAACCTCCAAGACTCGGGTAAATTGCATTGACTGATATTATCTGCACGGCCCAGACCTCATCCTCGAACAACTTGCGCGCAATCGGGTTTTCCTTACCGACGAAGGCCTTGCGAAGCTCCGGGAATCGTTCATAATTGTCGTGGGATGTGGCGGTGTCGGATCGCACGCCGCGGCGTCGCTCGTGCGATCGGGCGTGGCTAAAATCCGACTGATCGATTTCGACCAGGTCACACTCTCGTCGCTGAACCGCCATGCTCTCGCCACGCTGGCGGACGTCGGAACGCCAAAAGTCCACTGCATTCGCAAGCGAATGGAACAGATCACGCCGTGGACCAAGTTCGACTGTCGCAACCAGCTCTTTGGGGGGTCTGTCGCGGAGGAGCTGCTGGCGCCGTGGTCATTCGACGACGCCGATAAGGGACGGAAGCCGGATTACGTGCTGGACTGCATTGACAACATCACCTCCAAGGTCGAGCTGCTGCACTACTGCCACTCGCACTCGATCCCGGTGATCTCGTCCATGGGCGCAGGGTGTAAGTCGGATCCAACGCGGGTGACGGTGGGCGACATTTCCGTCAGCACCGATGATCGTCTGTCGCGTGCTACGCGACGACGGCTTAAGCCTTTGGGCGTGAGCACCGGGATTCCCGTGGTGTTCTCGACCGAGCGACCTGGTCCCGGGAAGGCCACACTACTGCCCTTGGCAGAGGAAGAGTTCTCCAAGGGGGAGGTAGGGGAGCTGAGTGTTCTGCCGGACTTCCGTGCACGCATCCTACCGGTGCTGGGAACGATGCCAGCAGTGTTCGGGTACACCGTCGCGAACCATGTTATCTGCGACATCGCAGGATATCCTAGAGACTACAATGTGTCTGGAAAGGGACGAGAAAAGATGTACGACAGCATTTTGACTGCTGTCCAAGGGTATACGGAACGGCTGGCCAGACATGACGCTGGAGAGCAGATTATCGGCCTCCGCATCCCCGTCAGCAAGGATGATGTCGGGTTCATCGTGGATGAGATTTATAGAGGCAAGAGTGCAATCAGCGGTCTCACCAGTCGACTGACAATTGTGCCTTGGGAGCGGCCCGCGGGTGGCTTTGTTGTTGACCCTGTATATGAAGGGGAAGGACAGAAGTGTCTCCCCTTGCGATTGAAAGATCTGGTTTGCATGACCAAAGAAGAGGCTGCGGTCCACGAGAGAGAGGTTTTACTCGGCTCGAAGAAACCAGAAGAGTTCTATGACTCCAAGGTCGTTGAGAAAGTGAAACAGCGGTCGAAGGAGGTGGAGCTTTACGAGAATGACGCATCATGATTGGGATCAACAGCCGCATGCGATCTATGGCTGGTTTGTGTATGAATTTATGGGTATGTAGAGTAGAGGATATACTATATACTACGCACTGCGACTTACTTTGTAGACGGTCTCTAGATCGATGACGATCATGGCCTTGCAGTACGAATACGAGTCATAAAAGTTGATCAACCTCGATCATCAACACAGCCTTGTGGATCAAAGACCCACCGATCCACACAGCTTAACATAAAACGCCCTGGACTTCCAGCAGTTCTTTTCTCTGGCTGGCTATATCAGAATGATTTCCAGGATATGATGGATTGGAAAGCCTTGGAAGGCGACGCTTGTCGGTCCGTGCGGTGCTCATCGTACAAGTCAAACTAGTCAAGCCTTGGTCTGCCTAGGAAATATAGTAAAGACCGAATTGTCGAAGAAAAGTGCAACCAGCCCCAGTCAACCGGAAGAACCACACAAAGAACACGTATTATGCTTCATAAAGCCGTTCATTGTTACTTGTCCATGTGTGGAGCGAATAAGGCATAAGCGCCCCCCGGAAAACAGTGAGACATGGCCCACGGGGCGTAAGCGATGTGGTCTAAGGCTGCACTGCCTTTGCCTGACATGGCTAGAATACAGTCTAGTATCAGGAGGTTCATCTCGGTTAGAACAAGTCCGCCAAGGGTCTTATGCAGCCGAGGTGGCACCAAGAGGCGTTCATGGACCAGGGTAGGATGGTGGGCGTAAAATATGAAATTGAACAGCATTGATCACATATCAAGTTCAAATGAGCCTCCATTCCATCGATTGCCGTCAGGAATTACGGGTGAAACAACAGAAGTTCAGAGTATTGTATCTCGTCTATAATTATCCCAGCCCTAACCCATCGGAGCTAGCGCGATTGCAACCGCTGATACGTACATCGAGTGGGACTAACCCGATAGGGCAACCTGTCACATCGCAGCAACGGATGGATTACGGATGGCTGTCTCGTCCAGAAAATTCACAGTAACCACAGCCAAGACTCACAGCCTCTTCCTCCTGCCTGATTACATCCTGTTCCTCAGTCCCTCCGGCACTACGCATTCCCGGATGTCACTCCTTTAGGCACCTCTTCCCTCCCCCCCAACGATTCTTTCCTCCGTCCTTCCCCTTCTCCCAGAATCACACGTTGGGTGCCAGGGACACTGAATCCGTCCTGGCAACATGGCCGCTTACCCCGACAGCGAGAGCCAACCCTTCGATTACACCTCCGATTCCGACGACGATGGGCTCTACTCCTCGAACACTCCCGCGCCGTCCTACCGCCTCACCCGCTTCACCCGCCCGCTGGTCGACTACGTGCGGAATGAATGGCAAACGAGCGCCAAATACACCCACCTCTCCCCGTCCTCTCACGACCGGTCCGACTCCCCACGATGGCTGCAAATGATCTTGTCGATCGTCGCCGCCCCGCGCTTTCGTCGCTACGTGCTCGTCTACCTGTCGCTGCTGGTGTCGTGCTTCCTCGGGTGGAAGTTCGTCCTGTCACCGCGGCTGCAAGAACATGCGTCGCTGTTGCGCGCCCTCGACCCCAACGTGAAACAGGAGGTGGGGGGCTGGTTCGGGACGAACGCGTTGCCTCGCTTCGACTATATCGTACAGTTGCGCACGCTGGATCCGGCACTGTTGCCCGCCGAGACCGCCACCGCTGGCCAGCCGAGTCAGCGTCGGTTGATTGTTATTGGCGATGTGCATGGGTGCAAGACTGAATGTGAGTATCTTATCCCAAGATTTCTGGGTGATTTTGTATCTGACGTATTCTGGCATGTTTAGTGGATCGACTCCTGGACGAGGTCTCCTTCAACCATGAGCACGATCATCTCATTTTCACCGGCGACATGATCAACAAGGGCCCCGATAGTTTGGGCGTGGTCGACCTGGCTCGTCAATACTCTGCGTCCTGCGTGCGTGGAAACCATGAAGACCGTGTTCTCCTCCTGCGCCATGAGATGCTCACATCGAATTCGTCGGTCAACGCGTCGCTGGGCGACCCTAATGGCGAGCCGTTCCTGCCGCAAGACACCCAGGAACGTCAATTGGCCCGTGAACTAACGGATGAGCAAGCGGAATGGCTCGACACATGTCCGGTCATCTTGGATGTTGGCCAGATCGCGAATATGGGCCAAGTGGTGGTGGTCCATGCGGGCCTAGTGCCCGGTGTCGATCTTGAAAAGCAGGATCCATACAGCGCTATGAATATGCGCACCGTCGACTTGGACACGCACGTGCCCAGTGCGTCGCGGAAGGGGACGAAATGGACTAAGGTTAGTCTATCTCGATTTATTCATCTTCACTAGCCTAACCTGGGATCCGGGACTAATGTGTTTAGCTATTCAACAAACACCAATCGGTTCTCTACAACAGTCTCAAGGACACCTCTCCTGAGGAACTCTCGAACCTAAGAACTGTCATCTACGGCCACGACTCCAAGTCATCTCTGTCCCTGAAACCGTACACCAAGGGACTTGATACTGGCTGCGTCAAAGGGGGTAAGCTGACGGCCATGGTCATCGAGGACGGTGGCGAACAGAAGATTGTGCAAGTGCGGTGTAATGATTATACTTCGGATTGAGAAAGCGGTTGCTTTTTGTTTGCATATTGCGTATTGCATCTCCGCTGGTCTGGAGTTCTTGCTAAGCCCGCTTGCGTGTTCCGTCTGGCGTTTGGGTGTTTCGATGTCCGGCCTATAGAACCTGGAAGGAAAGGTATATATGCATAGGTACATACATTAATTTTGTATATTGGCATTCAGGTTGGCAAACAGCTGGAAGCGTATGAGCTTGCGGGATTCACCGAACAATGCACAGCACAGGATGGGGAACCGTTAGAGTCTAGCTCTGCTCTAGGAAAGAAGAAGCTCTCCCCAGCAATGGCTTATCGCTTGCATATATGTACGCCTTACAGTGATTTGGCTGGGCCAACGGATATATCAAGTAAATCTACCATTTGGTCTGACAAGTACCAAGAAGACGGAATCCGAGAGTTCACCCGAAGCCAATGCTATCCTCGCCATTGTGCTAAGCAGGAATACGGACACTCAAGGTGGTATCATTCGGTATTCGATAGCGTCTGCGCCGGGTACCACAACGATAAGCCATACGGTAACCCAGCTCCCGCGTAGGAGCCGTAAGATCAAGCCCCAGACAAGCGTCCCGAATACTCTGGCAATCGCTCTGCCGCCCATAATCAGCAAGGGACGTGCCTTTGAGAGACACATAGAGGTCGGCGTGATGGTCCACTAGCAGCTGGAACTCGGCCTCTTTCTCGAGTCTGATAGCCTCGAACAAGGCCAGACCGCACTGGCTCGCATCGGCCCCATATTTCAGCAGGACTTTGAGCAGAGGTAAGCTTTCCTCGCGGAGCATGGCGAGGCCGAGTGGTGGACTGGCCGGGGTCTTCCAGCCGCCTGTTCGGGTATTTTTCACGGATAGGGCAATGTTTGGATCTGCGCCGCGATCTAGCAGAAACTTGACGGCTTTTAATGGTCGAGGGGCTGACGATAGAGCGCCACAGAGCGGCGTGCACCTTTCTCCCTTTGGTTGGAAGTTGATATCTGCCCCTTTTGAAAGAAAAATGCGCACGCGTTTCACATTTCCTTCCTTTGCGGCGTAGAGAAGCATCCACTGCATTTCGGCCATGATGGTGCGGTTTAGTTTAACTGGAGCATATCTGCCCATCTCCTGAAGCAGATAATCAGCGACAAGATGATGGCCCTGAGAAGCAGCGTTTGCTGCTGGCCGATGAAAAGACCGGTCATACGAAAGCAGGCTCGCACCAAGGGGGACAAGCATCTGGACCAAGACGATGTTGTCCTGGCGAGCGGCTAGGGCAAGAGGGCTTCGCCCGTAAGTATCCTTGAAGTTGATGTCGGCGCCATGTTCGACGAGCATGCGCACAAACTCTGTTCGACCATTAGTCGCTGCATGGCAGATTGGATGGTCGGGCTTGGTATCTGCCACCGATGGGGGCCGGCGTAGTCTGGTTGCAGTAATTTTACTCGTCATGTAAGCTCGACACTGTGATTTCCAGCCCAGATCCACTTCAATGTCGAGAAACCGCTGAAGGGTGCCGATAGAGCCTCTTTTGGCGGCCCAGATCAACGCCGCGAAACCGCGGCTTTCCAGGTTCCATCGGTAGAGGCAGCCGATGAGCTGATGGTAGAGGGTTGAATGAGTACGTACGAGTGCGTACAGGTCTCTGCAGTCGAGGTGAGCTGCGATGAGCAGAAGAAGCTCGTTGGACAGGGACAGGATGGTCATGCGTGCAGGAAGAGCTTGGAGGTGATTGAGACTAAGGGGAGAAAGGAGGACTATTCTAGCATGGGGCGGAGGCCTCGTTTTAAAGAGGCCAAAAGGGAATAAAGACGCGGGCCCACTTGTCGTGTCGGACTAGTATAGACTCATTATCGATTCAAAACGTTGAACTGGATACGAATTTACATATTATCGTACACGATCATTCAACAATCACATCCGCTGCAAAACCGGCAACCTACTGTCCCCTTCAAAATTCTGCGCCGACAGCATAAAGGGGAACCCAATTCGCTTCGCTCTTGCAATCCACTCAGTCGCGTTGTGCGTAGCATGGCATAGGGAAAGCTATCGAGCTGGCTAGAAATGAAGTATGTATGTGCATGTATCATATATAATATCTATGATGAAGGGTGATTTTTATAGCAATAAGGATGCCCAACGCTGTACATGAAGCCTCCAGGCCTCCTTATTAATTTGAATAACTCATCCATCGGATTCTGTCGAATTCCAGCGCCCATCAGACTCCCAAGTAGCCGGTCGTGAGAAGTCTTCGTACCATATTCCGCCAAGGGCGTTCATTTTTAGAAAGCCAAATCGGAAGTATTCAGGTTCGCCGGTCTTGTGACGTCGCCAGCTGAACGATTCAACTGTGCCATTGTCCGCCTTGAAAGCCTGGAAACGGGCAACGTCGTTGACGAGCACACCGATGCCATCCGCATCTTCGGTGACATTAGGGAATGAGAAGACGATGCTTTGGTCCGATGAAATCAAAGGCGGTGCGATCTCGGGCAGCATGCTGCCGAGTTGAGCGCCATTCAGCAAAGCACCAGGTGTCTGTAAGATGCTATCGAAGCCCCACCGGGCGATGCCGTTGATAAAAAGCCCAATAAGTAGGCCTTGGTAGAGAAGGCTCGGTCGGGTCTGGAGAGTGGTTCCTGGCAGGAAAAGGAGGCTGAGGATGTAGTGATGAATGCGTAGATTCATACGCGGAACAGCGACCAGGCCTAGAATGCCGCATGTCATGATCCCGTACAGCGCGAGCATCCGGGGAAGTCGTCCTTCGTTTCGAAAGGCCAGAGCCTGCGTGATCACCACAAAGCAGAGCACGCCGATAATGATGATTAATGCTGGAATAGCACCCGGCTGTTGCTGTATATCATGTGGAGTCAGGCGCGAGATGGGAATTTTGTCGAACGTGTCGGTATTGAGCGCTCCAACCCAGCATGCACCCAGCCAGAGGACCGTTTTATCCCAATGGGCGTCCAGGTCTCTCAGGGTGTGCCTGACGCAGAAGTAATATATTGCGAAGCCCACAAAGGCACAGGGCAGGAACCGACCCAGTCCAATGGACACTATCTCGTAGTAATCCGGCGAATAGGGCGGATCAGAAGATAGGGCCACCTGAAAGTAGACGATGAAAAAAATAGAGGCATAGAATGCTGCAGAGGACGTGATAAACAAAGAGAGTATCGTGGATACGACCAAAGAGAACGAGAACAAAGGCCATCGAAGATCTTGACAACTGAAGGTGTCGTCGTCCGAGGGTTCTTCACTCCCGAACGTGAAGGAAAGCGGGAAGTATGAAGGGAACCCGACACTAGTCAATCCATTCTTTTGGACTGACTGGAAGTTGCTCTGTTCGCCTGTTCGGTGAAGGATACCGCACCCACCCGTCTGGTCGTTCACAATACCAGCATGTACTGCAGCGGGACAGATCGCAGAGTCACCTCGGTAGATACCGATGGTATCCTTCTCAGGGTCCTCAGGACTACCTCCGATGATCAAACTTTGATAATTGATTTCCTCGGGCCCAATATAGTACGGTTCAAGCACCATAGATGCTGCGCAACCCGCCGGGCAACGAAATGCGAATGATCCATGGTCAAAAGGACGACAAGCATCACCATTAAGACCGCAGTCCGTAGCATTGGACCTGCAATGAATACATGAGCCCTTGAAACCTAACATCATAAGGAAACGCACCATAGCCTTCCAGAGCACGACAGTTTGACAGGACTACCGTATCCGGGGATTTCCTGTCCAGACACAGACCAGTCCAGTATTTCGAGGAACACAGCGCCCCAAGCACCCAGACATGCTAGGAGAAGCCACACTTTCGCAGTCGTACTGGGGAAGTATCGATCCACGAGACGACCCGGGGCGGTTTGCCATCGGGGAAACCAAGGGTTAATTCGGTATTTGTGCGGGATCGCTGGTCCTTTGACCCAGGCTCGAATTCCCGAAACAGTGCATGAGAATCGTTCATTTGCCTTTGGTGGCTGAGGAGACGTAGTCGGGAGGAGTGGCTGATCGGGACTCTGAACGTGGCCGGCGGCTCCTGCGGAGTCGGAACTTTCCCGTACAACAGACACGAATGCACTGCTGTCGGAGCCATCCTCTGGTTCCAGGACATGTAGGGGATAATTTCGGTCTCCTCGTTCTATCTTTCCAAAGGAGGAGGACCTCGATCTAGATCTGCCTCTGAGATCCCGATGGGAGGACATTCTGGTACTCCATAGGGGGTGCGGAGATGGAAAACAATGGAAAGAATCTCTTCCGTTGGTTCCTGGCAGAACTAAACGACTTAGTCATCGCATACCAACAGCGTGGTGCACATACTACTTAAGTGCAACAGAGCACAGCTATCAACTCAAATTCAGTATTAAGGTCAAATTAATGGTGTTCTAGCTAATCAAACGAGCGACAGGACTGCCACCAGCTCGTCCTAGGAATCATTAAACACGCCGATAGGGTATCCAAGGTATTAGTAGGCGATTAAGATCATTTCGTCGTGTCCCATGTCGATGGTGGAAGCCATAACATAATAAAAGCGACAAACATGCAACGCGGTGCCAGGGGTATAGAGGACGAGATTCAAGACGTTTTGAACATCTTCAGACTGCACCCACACGAACAACGTACAACCAATGCGAGGCTGACGTAGTTGTGGAAGCTCCATCGAGAGATTGATTTAGACAGCGGAGCGGCTGAAGAATCCGCGGCGACTGTGTACCAAGATTAGATCATGTACGCCAGGAGGTTCAAAGTGAAGCAACTTACGGAGCCTCGGAGCGACGGACGCGGAACGTGAACCAGATGCCCTGATTGATGCTGTTAGAATCAGAAACTCAAGCTCTGCAGCAGGAGTACGAACCACAAGCGCCGAAACAAGCCAAACGACAGCGGAGATAAAGCTGAAGGCCTCGGCAGCTTTCCAGCGGCCACATTCGTTGTTGTCCACGACATTGTGCCAGGACCAGATGCCACCACAGGGGAGCTTGTGCAGAGCATCAACAAGAATACCAAAAGCGGCGAACCAAGCGAAAGAAATGATGACATCGACTGTATATCAAGGTCAGTAACGGGTCGACTCGCGGAGAGCATGTCAACATACATGGCCAGTTAAAGAAGCCAGAGGAGAATGGTATAAGCCATATTAAGCCGAGTAGTATGGATAGTCCAGCGACTACTTCCGTATAGATCCAGCGGGCCTGGGGCCATGCATCAAAGTCACCCAGAGTGTCCAGGTAGTAACCGATAATGCCCGCAACAATCTAGGAAGAGGGGCCGCATTAGCATTGGATCATCGTTCGTGCAGGGAACCAGTCAACTTCGGGGAACATACTGCAGCGCAAATGATCTCCACCACACGGAGGACAATGGACACGAGGCGTGAAACAACAGGCATGATGAAGTGGATAGTAGATAGAGTTGATTGATATGATACTACTGATCACGATGCGAAGATGTCGCAAGATTCTGCAGATAGGCGGGATTAGATTATAAGAGCGAGAGGTTTCGCAGTGTCGGATGGATGACGATTTCCTCTAGGCGACAGGGAGGTCGGGCTAGTGGGCGCTTAAGTACCTGTACAAAGCTTCCCATGCTAACCAGGTGATCGGCCGCAAGTTTTTTTTCCCTGGTCCAGCCCTTGCACGATGAGTCCATTTGGTGGGATCAACAGCACAGCAACATGACATCGTCGGGCCCACGAGATTGGCTGTCTGCAAGGCTGGGTGCGCTGCCCAAAAGTCTAGGCAGACGATCGTCGCCTCCCCGACTGGGAAACTGATCGGCCAGCTTGGCGGATGACGGTTGAGTTTTGGTGTGGTCGGATGTGCTGGTCCAGACTGTCTCCAGGGTGTATGCCATCCTGTGTGTTTCATGCAGTCCTCTCATGATATTGGTCCATCTCACTCCAACCGATCGAGGGGCACTTTGTTTGCATGGCGCGTTCTTCTTGTCTCTTCCACCGGATACTCCAGTACTCCGTAGAGTTGTTAGGAGGGAAGATCATGGAAAATCCTTACCTGATAGTGGCTCCATCCGACCACGCTAAGGCTGAAGCCGTTCTCCACCGCCTCAACAGGGATGTGCTAGGTGACCGCATTCCGATGGACTCATTTTCTTCTCCCGTCCTTCCACCGGGTGAGTTATATTTAGTGGAAATATAACGGCGAAGTGGTGAAGGATTCAATAGTCGCGGTCTGAGCCATGGGAGAGGAACCACGTAGGTACTCCGGCTGATGATCTTTGCCACTGTTTACGCCAAATCTCCGAGTCGAAACCCCTGACGTCATGGTGCGCTGCTGGTGGCCCAAATCATCTGACCTCACTTTGCATCTCATTAACTCCAGAGTAAGTAAATTAATATTAAATTTCGAAGGCATAGATTATCGCGCACAGCCAATTCAGCTCTTTGTTTCAGAATTATATTATAACGACGCAGGGCATCAGCGCAAACTATCAAACATATTAACAGGAGGAAATGGCCAATTTAGACAAACCCAGACACAACTAAAGCTGCGGAAACATTCTGTTCACACACGCTTTTTATCCTCCAAAAACCACTCCATCACCGTCCGGAACACGCCCTTCGCACCGCTCTCCACCACATCTCCATGACACGGAATCAGTCGATTGAACTCCCATTTATCGATCCGTCGCATCGACTCCGCGTACGCTCGTCGATCCGCACTCGACAGTATATACCACTGGAACCGCTTCTGCCATGTCGCCGGCGCCGTCGCCGACATCAGCGGGGTGATCATCCTGGTGAGACACCCAGAGGTCGCGCTCTCGTTCGTCTTGGAATACTGCTCCCGTGCAGGCAGAGTAAACAGCATATCCGCCTCGATGAGCGTGAGCGATCGCTTATGCAGGAACACCAGCTCCCGCGATGGATGTCCATACACGTATTCGGTTTCGAACTCGGCATCAAACTCGTCGGAAATCCTGCGTGGGCCCTGGTCGTCTTTGCGGAAGATGTGGTGGAACGGCGTGTCCTTGTATTCTGGGTTGGACTGCCGCTTCTCCCACAGCCCTTCTGGAGCGATGATCTCGGCATCGGGGTAGGCGTTCTTCCAGGAGGTGAGGTGGATGTGATGCTCCATGTCCAGGGCAGCGATGTATCTCACGTTTCCGCCCAGACCCGACACCACCTCGCGCACTTCGGGCGTGAGGTTGACAGGGGAGAACACCGCGAGAGATCCAGACTGCATCTTGACTGTTGACATTATCAGTGCTTGTCAGCGACATCTTCACTATCAAATCTCCTCCATATGGGAGAGGTAAGTTGATGAATGTAAGTGCAAACCTAATGTGCCCCGTCCTCCAAACTTGAGGCGCCCGAATCGCGCAAACGGCAAGCTCATCGTGATAACGTCGGAGGTCACATTGCGAATGACCATGGCCTCCGATGGATTCTGTGGGAAAAGTTGCCGAGACATGGTTCAGGACTTGCACGAGGCTAGGTATCGTTTAGTTCGCACTCAGGTCGACAGAGAAGTGGCTATTCGTAAGTCTGCAGCTAGTTGTGATAAGTGCGCAGTAGACAGTCTGCAAGGAACCATCATCAGCAAACTAAGCCTCGACCATTTGATTTCAAACCCACCATTATTAATTTGTAGGGCCTGGACAAATTCGAGTGAACGTTGCGGTGGCTGAGTTGATCTCTGGTGGACCCCGGCAAGGTGGTGACGTCAACGGGACTTCAGCAACTGTTCCCGTCCAAATCCAAGGTTTCACGGAGTACAGCAGATGTTATGGAACGCTGGTATGGAACCTCTACCCCAATGAGACATGCGTTCCTGGGCTGGATTTTCTGGTCTCCACGGGATGGTGCGTCTTGCAGGAGCTTGAGTGGGTCCTGTTTGACCTTATTTGAGGTTGATTCACCATTATCAGCATCCACCTTTTGGCGACTCGCTCATGGATTAACAGACTATGTACAGAAGACACTAAAAATTCCTAGGAAGTAGGGTATCATATGTATCCACACAGCGCCAACAGAACCCAAACACCTAGCTCCAAACAACATCGCAGTCCACCCCAAGCATTAAGGTAGTAGTCTCAAGTTTCGATCCCTTCTAACTGTACCATCCCCGGGCGGTGGTCTCTTGCTCCTCCTGCTCATTGCGGTGTTCTATAATAGACTCTTTGATACCATACACCTCAATCAGGTCTCTCCATGTTTCAAAGTCGAGGCTAAACACGGATTGGTGCTTTTGGATGCCCTTCTTCTGCGCTTCGCTTGGCGCGTACGGCTTTGAGGCATCTGTCACAATGTTAGCTCGGTCGGTCGGTCTTTTCAACGAGCAAAAAAGACGACAAACATACGTAGAGTTGGGAGCTGTCGACTATCCACAGAGATACCCACAGTCCCATCACGGACCAAAAAGCTGACATAGAACAAATTTTCCACGCTCTGGCCAAAGGACCTTGGGTTGATACAAAAATGGAACAACGGCACACCACCGTCATCCGCGACATTATGTCGGGCCATTACTTCCTGTATCATCTCGTCTGTAGGCTCCTCTTCGAGCGCCGATAGTTGCTGTTCGACAATATCCTGTCCCTGGGCCTGCGTTTTGGCGAGGAGTTTGTTGATATGAGCGCACATCGCAGTAAGGTTGGACGTTTCCTGTTTGTCAAGGTCTCCTTCCTGGAGTTCTTGTGGTCGCACGGCTTGCGACGGGTCGATACGTTCCCTAGCTCGTCGCTGGGTGATCTGCCGAGTTCGCTTTTGCACCGACAACGGACCCAGTAGAAAGCCAGAGACGGACGGACGGGCATTGTGGCGGTAACAGGCCGTATGTCCTAGCCAGTTCCAATTCAGTCCGTCGCCCTGATCATCGTCACTATCATCCGGATGACCTTGGCTTCTCCCTAGCCCACGACGACGTTGCGTGCTACTGGGTACCGCCTGTGAATCGCCCGGCGCGCGTCGCATAAACGATATGCACTTGGATACGAACTCGTCCACATCGATGCGCGCAGTATTGTCGCCCAGGCCTAGCTGTGTCGCTTTTTTGTATGAAAGGTCCGCTGCATTGACCAGAAGACGGGAGTCGATCGTAGCGTCCGACGTTTGTTTGACGTTTTGGAAGTACTCGTTCGCTTTTTCGATCGTATTGCGAAGTCCATGATTCCCAGCTTGCAAAAATTCGGTTTTAGAATCTACGGTACATATTTGTCAGAGAATGGGGGACAAGCCGCGGTTCGGGGCAGGATGGGCATAGTCGTACCATTCAGTTCGCGGGTGAGATCTCTTAAACCCTTCCGAACCCGTCGTCTTTCCCTTTCATCCTGATCAGGATCATAGTATTGTCGATCACGGTCCTGCTGGGTTAAGGGCATTCGGGACTGGCTGCCATTTGGAAGATTCGATGTACGACGGGCGAGACGCTGCCGTTTTGTACTGGCGGAAGAAGACATGGCCGTCTGTTGGTTTCTTTTCGAAACGCGGGTGGAGTTCTGATGATTCTCCTTGTCTGACGAGGCGCCTGGGGAGATAGAGTGGCTTGTAGATGCGCGAGCAGGTGAAAAGGGCGCCATGCTGGCTAGCCTAGGAGCGATGCACAAACGGGGTCGAATTGACGCGACTGCGGTCGGGCAGACAATGAACCGCGTTGCTGGGACAAGGCTGAATTGGGTGGTCAGATACGTGAGACCGAAATGACGCAGTGGAAAGGAGAGAAGGTAGTATACCCCGGCCAGCGTCGAGTTCTCAATGCAAATTTGGGATCCAACTGTGACCCTCGAGAATTCACTCCGTCGCGAAACACAAACTAGACACCGGTGATTGTAATTGTTCCGGAATTGTGCTGCGCGCCCGCGCGTTGCGGAACAGGTGCACGTGACTTCACATGACCCCGCGTCATCCGATAGCTGTCCGCCAATCACGACTGTCTGCCCCGGACGGAGCTCATTCCTGATGTCAACTGCTCACACTCCCCAGGCACCATTTCATCTCGTGTCATGAAGGGCACTGAGTGCGACACAGGGCACTGATGGAAGCCTTCACATTTGCAGTATCCACGCAGGTGGACTTCCCAATCACCGTCAAAATGTACGTCGGCTCCTGATCCCACCGTGCCAGCACTTATTCTCCGATCCGCGACATACGGGGGACGAATTTGAGCTGACTCTGGACATAGAGGTGCCTTGGAAGGAAAGCAAAAGCAGATTCCCTTCTCCTTGCAACTGCAGCATCCCGAGTTGCGCCATCTCGGCTCAGTCCAGAACCCAACATCCGACTTATTCGTGACAGTACAACTATGGTCTGACTCTAAACCGCTGGGTGTTCCTTTACAAACTTCGTACAAAACGTTCAAAACCGCGCGGGCCTGGAATGAATGGCTACCGATGCCCATGTCCCTTAAAGATGCCCCGTTCAACTGTCAGCTTGCTATAACGATATGGGATCTTTCACCCTTCGGCGGTGACGGTGCGCAGGGCCATTATGTCCCGTTCGGTGGTACAACTATTGCCCTTTTCGACGAGGAAGGCAAATTGAAGATGGGGAGGCAAAAATGCAAGGTTTATCGTCATAAAGCAGCAGATGGGTTTTCATCAACGACCACTCCATCGAGTCCGCCGCCAAAGCGTCGCAAAGCAAATTCCCGAGACGCACTAAGTCCTTCGATGGAGGAAATCGAACTAGAGCGGATTGAGGTTCTCATCAAGAAACACGAGATGGGAGAGATACCGCGAATTGACTGGATGGATCAAATGGTGTTCCGTCAGTTAGAGAAGCTGAAACTCGCCGCCGAAGAAGCCGGAAGGAAACGGGCCATTCGACTGAAAGCCATGAAGCAGAAACCCGCGGCCGAACGTGGAGCCGAAGAGGACGATTCTGATGAAGAAGACATCGACGACGAAAATTTCACACTTTATGTCGAGTTTCCTCGGTTCGATCACCCCATCGTCTGGTCCGACCACGAATATCCGCCACCTCCCATTTCCGCCTACCCCCAAACGGCCCCCGCAAATGCCAACTCCACGCTCAAACCATTACCAGAGGTCCGTTTTGGACCAGGTATAGAAGGCGCTGATGGCGAGGCGTTGATCAGGATCTATGATCCCGAGGCTGGACAGGCTGGTAACCCATGTGAGGATAAACACAGGAGGCTCATACGCAGTCACCGAACTGGAATCATGGACCGAGACCTCAAACCAAACCCCAAGATTCGAGACGAATTAAATCTTATCCTATCGTACGAGCCAACACAGGACCTCTCCGCGGAAGAGAAGGATCTTGTCTGGAGGTTCCGATACTACCTAACGCGCGAGAAGAGGGCGCTTACCAAGTTTGTGAAGTCGGTTAACTGGCGAGATGTCGGTGAGGCACACCAAGCAGTGGAGATACTCCCGAAGTGGACAGAAATCGATGTGGACGATGCTCTGGAGCTCCTCGGTCCAACTTTTGACAATGCTGCTGTTCGTTCTTACGCTGTGGCCAGACTTCGAAAGGCGGATGATGATGAGCTTCTTTTATACCTCCTCCAGCTTGTGCAGGCTCTCAAGTACGAGGATACTTCCCATGAGGATTCTGACGATGTAGCACACGATTCATTTCTGGCGAATTTCTTGATTGCCCGTGCGGCCAACAACTTCAAGCTGGGAAGCTACCTACATTGGTATCTCATGGTCGAGTGCGACGATGCCAGCCCGAGCACCTCGCCCATACAGCACAGACTCTTTGCTCGGGTTGAATACTATTTCATGTCCGAGCTAGAGCAGATCCATCCAGAGCACAGAAGGACTCTACTACGCCAGGGTGAATTGGTAGCTGTGCTGTCCAAGATCGCCAAGGAAGTCCGCTTCTCACGAGATACCCGCCCCTTGAAGGTTGAGAAGCTGAAGAAGTACTTAAAGGACCCTAAACATGATTTGCTGCATATTGATCCCCCGCTGCCGTTGCCTTTGGATCCAGACGTGTTGGTCACAGGATGCTACCCGGAGGAATCAAACGTCTTCAAGTCATCTCTCTCTCCGTTACACATAACATTCAAGACAGCTGATGGACGGAAATATCCCATTCTATTCAAAGTTGGTGATGATCTTCGTCAGGATCAGCTCGTCATACAGATCATCATCCTGATGGATCGTCTTCTGCAGAAGGAAAACTTGGATCTCAAACTAACTCCATACCGAATCCTGGCTACGAATGCCACGGCAGGTGCCGTGCAGTTTATTCCGTCTACCTCCCTATCCGCTGTGTCCGCTAAGTACAAGTCTGTGCTCGCCTATCTCAAAATCAACAATCCTGATGACAGCGAGCCTCTTGGTGTCCGCAAAGAGACGATGGATACCTATATTAAATCATGTGCTGGATACTGCGTGATCACCTATCTCCTTGGTGTCGGCGACCGACATCTAGAGAATCTGTTATTGGCTCCGGATGGCCACTTCTTCCACGCTGATTTTGGCTTCATCCTCGGCCGGGACCCCAAGCCCTTCGCGCCAATGATGAAACTATGCAAGGAGATGGTGGAGGGCATGGGTGGCACGACATCTCCTCTTTATCTCCAATTCAAGCAATACTGCTTCACGGCTTATACGGCGCTTCGCAAGTCTGCAAACCTGATACTCAATCTTTTCAGCCTGATGGTCGATGCAAACATCCCCGACATCCGTGTTGAACCTGATAAGGCTGTCTTCAAAGTCAAAGAGAGATTCCATTTGGAGATGACGGAAGAAGAGGCCATCGCACACTTTGACCAACTAATTGGCGACAGTGCTAGCGCCGTATTCGGCGTGGTCATTGATCGTCTGCATGATTTCGTACAGGGCTGGAGAGCCTGAAGGAGCTTTCCTTTTGGCTTTGGGTGCCCTCCGAAGTGCAGGGCACGGGTCAGGCGCTATTGAAGGTAGACATGTATGATAAGATACCCTTTGGATATTACAGTTTGCAGCATTTGCACGATCTATATGAATCTATGGACTTTCCAATATAAACGTCTAGTATTACCAAAACATCATGCGTCAATCGATCTACCCAACTCCTCATCGGCACGCGTGCGAAAATCCAACTCGATCCAGTCATGATCCGCTCCATTGTTTCCACTTTCTGGCGAGGTCTTCGGCTGGTGCTCCTCTCCATGGGGCGCGAAAACCCCACCTGATAGGCCATCCTCCTGATTGTTGCCGTGGCCATCATTACTACCACTCATCTCATCTTGCTTGGCAGCGGCATCTTCGTCGTCCTCGGGGGTCCCTTCTCTACAGGCCCATGCATCCACAAATCGGAGATACTCCCGCGGCCACCATCGCTTCATCACGAGAAGTCGGAACGGGACCAGCGCAACAATGATTACGGGGAAAGCGGGGGCGCCTCTTGTCAACGTCACGATGAAAATAATTACTGTGGTAACGATCTGGAGGATGGTGTAAAGGTGCACGGGGATGTAGGACGGACGGGGCGGGGGTGTGCTGGTCTCGTCCGTAGCAGGGATAGTGCAGTCACGATGCCGCGGGTCCGCGAGAGACATCGGTAAAGGCGGCAGCTCTGACGGTGGTGTAAGGAGATAGAAAGTTCGGTAGAGAATTGGGCTTGAAGCAGCAGGTTAGCCATCCCCTTCACTGAGGCGAAAGCTGCTGGATGTGGCATACTTAACGGATAAACTCTGTTCTCCCATGAACATGAACAGTCCGGCGAGGACGCTAGTTGGCGTGAGTCCGAGGACCTTCATGAGCGGTGGGCTGACGAAAGCGAGGATGGCACCAGCGTGCAGAAACGACGACCATCGCTGCTCGTAGACCCGCTTCACCTCGTGCGTCTCGACCTTTTCCTCCCCGTCAACGATGACCGTGCGCTGTTCCATTTCCAAATGCATCAGGGACTCCGAGTGCAGCGGGGCTTGGGGCAGGAGTCCGTTGGCCGGCGGGATCCCGAGGATGCCGCAGAGGGCCGTTGTCGTGCCCAGGAGGACGATATCCCACGCGAAGCCGCCGGGTTTCCTCGTTCCGTATCGGTCGATCGTGCAGATGATGGAGCTCACTTCGTGGTCGAAGAAGAACAGGATGGTGATGATGATACCGGGGATGATGGCTGCAAAGATCCAGCCGACTGGCAGCTTCCAGAACTCGACGAAGAACCGATCGCGGTCCGGCGACGTCGGTCTGAATGTTTCGCTGACGGGAAGGGTCATTTTGTCCAGATTTGCCAGTTCGCCGACGTGCGGCAGACCGATAAACACGATGATGGATATGGCAGCCGCGTATTCGGTCAAACCCATGCGGATGTATCGATGGAACAAGGGTTTCCAGCTCTCGGCTGTTGAGAGAAAGATGGCTAGCAACATGGTGCCGACGGCACCGATGACAGCATACAGAAAAGCCGCAAAGGAGAGTGATGCGTGCGCTCTCTCTAACTCCTGGATCGCTTTGTGGAAGTAGATTATGCTGTTTAGGAGAGAGAAGATCTCTGTGGCGAAGGTTGTTACATAGCGCATGGTCCAGTCATGTGCATTGATGATGGCAAGGATATAGTGCAGCCAGCCAGCGTGGATCAGGGACCAGGCCATGAAGGGCAGAAAAGGGACCTAAAGGATGTATCAGTTTATTGAGGGTTCATTGTTCCAGCCGGTGGTGGGTTGCTATACATCGAATACTTCCTGGCAGAGTGCGTAGATATTCTCCGCCAGTACCGAGAATGGCCCTGTGACCCCCAGGATATTCAACGGCTGAACACAGAACCTGTAGTATACCATCAGCTACAGTTATGTCCGAGAATGCCGGACATACATGGAGACTGACAGTGAAAAAATAACCCCGCACAGCCCAGTACTGAACACAACCTCTATGGTTCCCCAACTCTTGCCGGTGCGGACATACAGATCACTCGCGAAGGTGATTCCTGGTAAGAGATTCGTGAAGAAAACGTAGACGGCGCTGGCAAATACCAGCTGATTGAACAGGGTCCAGTCCGACACATATCGCCGCCGAAGATTCACGATATCCTGTTTCACCAGCCGAAACGGACGGAGTGGACCTCCCGTCGAAACAGAGCCACGCAGAACACGAAACGCTTTAGGTGTGTGTTTGGACGGTGTGATGATGGAGTGCGCATCGTCTGGTTCTTCATCTCCAGCGTCGGCGTGTAGAGCCCCGCCGCTGTCGGATCTAGTGCTTTTTCGCGGTCGTCTCGGATGAGGCCGATGACGAAGTGAAGATTCTCCTCCGCGTGTAGAGCGAGGCCGGAAAGCGGAAATCAAGGACATGATGTCCAAAGGCCTGGTTGAGAAGTCCGTGGGATTGTAGTTGGCCTCATGTATTCGATTGAGTGTGATGTTGAAGGGAAGTTTAGTTCCTGAGCCAAGAGCCTAATCGTCTATCTACTTTGGGCAATTTGTTCCTTCGCGGCTAGCAGTGACGTAAGACAACCATAGCCCTACAATCTGAGCAGAATTTGTCTATTCCCACCACCAGCACCATTCGCAACTAGATTTTACTTCTGGCCTCGCTATCCGGTAGCGGCACAAAACGCCACTCCACCCCCAGCATAACGGCGCGCCCATCTCTATACACGTTTTGGTTCCCGGCCCGGCGAAGAATATCATCATATCTTGCCTTCTCCTTCACCCCAATCGTGATAGATTCCAGTCCTTCCGGCAGCCCGTCAACTCCTTTCGTGAATTTCAGTCGACTGTTCGTAAAGACCAACTCGCTTCCCTCACGCTTGGCACCAAATACTTGTTCCCAAGTTCGAGCAGCACCTTCAGTGTCCTTTTCGCCTGGCTTCAAACGACAGGTGGCCTGTAAGAGCTGTAGATGGGAGGCGCGGCGCATGCCGGCAGAATAAGACTTGTAGTCGGTTCCACATGCATGCCATGGACTGAATGGAGACATCAATGGCTCCGGGTTTTCAGGTGATGGCTTGTGCGAATCGAGCTCGGGCATCATACCGCCTGTTCATGGTTAATTCCCGTAATGCACGGTCAACGTTCCTTCATGTTGGGAGACAAACCAGGAATGCCTTTTGGATGATACTGAATACAATAACCGTCTTGCGTTTCATGGCTAAAGATGACCTTGGATAGACCATGCGATTCAATGTAGTTCTTTCGAGCCACCGCATCGAGAGTCTGCATGATGATCATGTAGCCACCGTCCCCACGTTTCTTGAGCAGTCTGCCCGCAGTCGTCCCGTCACGGAATGGCGAGACTACTTCAATGATATCACCACCAATAGCGACTGATGCGTCAGTTCTATGGACTTTCCCAGCAGAAGATGTGTTCCATACTTAAGAAGTTGCGAAGCCCCCATTGTGCCACCTGTGCATCTCGGAAGACAACTTCGGTTCCTAAGACCGTGTTCTGCGCCCGTCAGCCAAAGCTAATGGACTTTGGAGCAGACTTACCAGGGTATCTTCTGCTGCGGAGAGATCTGAAGCTAGGAGAGCAATCTGTCTCAAGCGAGTGGGATTATGGCTGTTCTGCTGCATCTCGTTGTCCGCAAAGATTGATCCGCCGAGACGAGTTATAATATCAGTATCAACGCAAGGCTTTCCGACAGTCAATTTCTGAGGTCTCGCTGGAAGTATGTTGCAGCAGGGAGATTGCCTCGGTAATTATACGAGCCTCCGAGGTCGATGTTGTGAGTCAGAAGTCAGCTTGAGCGGGGTCCAAGCAAACACTCGATGAGACGCTCGATGTGCGGAGATAATATGAATCCACGGAAGAGCATAGTAAACACATTCTCGCTTCCTTCGTAGAGTAACTCACGGACTCTTTCAGACGGGGAGGTCTAGTCTATCTAGCCTGTCCACTTCCAGTCATCTTTACAAATACCTGAAATTCCAACCTTCGTACAGCACCATGTTCTTGCCCAACTACACAGATCTCACTGTCGAGATCAGGGGTCAGATTGGGATCATAACTGTCAGTACATGTACTTGTGGAAATCAGTACCACCATATTCACAAATCCTACAGCTCAACAGACCGAAAGCTCTAAATGCGTTCAGTGATACAATGTCCATGGACATTGTCAAGGCTTTTCGAGAGCTCAACGAACGCCCAGACACCATCTTCACCGTCCTGACAGGCAACGGTCGGTTCTTCTCGGCTGGAGTAGATGTGAAAGGTAGGCATAGAAGGAACAGGTCTCAAGACACCATAATAATTCGACTGTAGCATCGACCGACCCCCCACCTGCCCATTACGCACCCGCCGAGATCAAGGTATATTACTTGTCTCGATTCTCACGAGGTGGGTTATACGCTCTGAACCATTCATCGCTCGAGCTATAACCTAATCGGCACTGTCATTAGCCCTTGAGATGCTTCGCTCCATGATCGACCACAGTAAGGTCCTCGTACTGGCCCTCAATGGCCCCGGAGTCGGAGGTGGTGCAGCATGGTTTGAAGGCGTTGCCGACATTGTGCTCGCCGCCAAAGGGGCCTGGCTGCAAGTCCCATTTAACGCTCTCGGCCTAGTTCCCGAGAACGGCAGCACACTCACATTTGCTCAAAGCATGGGCGTCCGTCGCGCAAATGAGATGCTCATGTTCGGTCGAAAATGCTCAGTAGAAGAGCTAGAATCGTGGGGGTTGGTCAACAGGATCTTTCCTGCGGAGGGCTTCCATGATTGTGTCATCGCGTTCCTGGAGGAACAGTTGGCTGTGAACGACGGGAAGAGCATGATCGAGTCAAAGAGACTGCAAAATGCGCCATTGCGCAAGGATAGGCTGTTTGCTGTGTATGACTCGATAGACGCATTGGCCGAGAGATTTGTGGATGGAGCTCCTCATGAGAGGTTTATGAGAAAGAGGGAGCAGTTGATGAAAGGTATTGTGTTCCGTCTTGTCATTCGTATGTTTTTGAATCTGTCCCTGACTTCGAAGTAGGAAACAAAGGCTGCGTGTCCGGACGCCTGAAGTCATCTCTGTAGATTATTTTGATATTGAGCGCATGCTAAACATGACTTTGGCATATGGACCTCTTTTGGTTTCACTAAAGATCCAGCCAGATTGTGTAACACAGAAACTTGGGAGATTGAGAACTCTTTAAGAATATTAGAAAGGCTTTAAACCTAGAGACATAGCCATTGTTAAACTCTGCTTGTGTATGGCTCAGGCTCATGGTTTCTCTGTTGTTGAATGTACTACGCGCCTCTTGCTCATCAGTGGTGCGCGGAGATCGTTCGTAGACTCCAGAATCTGATGAGCTACTCTTAAACGCATATAACCGACCCAGTCAAACCTTGTACCCTTTTCTAAGACAATGTGATGCAGCTCCAAATAAGCTGGTGAAACCTAAAGACAATGATGGACCTTTGGGCTTCCTCTTGCTCATTATGACGTCGGTTCATCAACCACCAAAAGAATATATACGTTTTTTTTTTTCCCAACCACACAACATCTTCATTTCACGATAACAGTCTTGCTCTCTATGATTAATTGGAGTTTATTCCATGGATAATTCAAGATGCCAACCAAGCCCCAGTATACCGATCTTCTGATCGTAGGTGCCGGACCATGCGGTCTTATGGCCGCATGTTGGGCAGCTCAGTACAGCATGGCCACCCGAATAATTGACGAAAAAGCGACGCGGACACAGACTGGCCATGCCGATGGTATGCAAAGTCGGACTCTAGAGATCTTAGACAGCTTTGGCATTATCGATCCGATTCTGCGACAGGGAGTCTCGGATGTTGATATGGGCTATTGGGTATGTACGGCAGGACCTTTGGAATCCGTCTGGGGCTCACACAACCAAGGCTCTCAACAATGAGACAGGCAGAATTGAACGACGCAAGAGACACGGATCATCACCTGGAAAATTGTCGAGATATGGTCAAATCCTGCTTAACCAAGGGGCTGTGGAGGAGGTGTTCCTTGACTACCTAAAAGGCAAAGGACAGAAGGTCGAACGAAATCTGCGGGCGGTCTCCATGGAAATCAGTCAAGGTTCCAGGAATCCAGAGGATGACTTTCCAGTGGCTGTGGAAGTGAAGAGAGTCTCGCACAAAGATGGTATGCACGCCCTTTCTTGTTTTTTCCATATATGATTCGCTGGCTTACCATATGCAAGACGAGAAAAGCTCGGAAGCAAACGAGGTGATCCATGCTCGGTATGTCATTGCGTGCGATGGCGCGCATAGTTGGGCCCGGAACCAGTTGAATGTCCCTGTTGAGGCAAGGTCCGAAGACTCCACCTGGGGCGTCATAGATATAGCACCTATAACAGACTTCCGTATGCATCCCGTGATGAATTACATGGTTTCCACGCTACTGACAGCCCACCTTAGCTGACATTCGCCAATCTTGTGCAATACAATCGGAGCCCCACGGAAGCATCATGACAGCGCCCCGAGAGAACCGACTGGTCAGGTTCTATATCCATCTAGACGAAGACGGGGAGTCAAAGATCGGAATGGATCATTCTGATATCGGTCCCAAGGACTTGGTCGATATGGCACAGAAGATCATGAAGCCATACCAACTGACCTACAAGTATTGTGACTGGTGGTCAATATATCCGGTATGAATACACGTCCCTTTGATACAGCTGAAGCTAACAGCTTCAAAGATAGGTCAGCGTCTGGCCACACAATACAGACCAAATGAACGGTATGGAAAGTCCTTCGGAACAGCTGAGCGGCAAGCTGATCATTTGCAGGGTCTTCCTAGCAGGCGACGCAGCACATACCCACTCCCCAAAAGGGGGCCAAGGAATGAACATATCCATCCAAGATACATATAATTTGGTTTGGAAGCTCGGGTCTGTTATCACCGGAATTGCAGACCCCATTATACTCGAAACATACCACACCGAGCGGCATCCAGTTGCCGAAGAATTGATGGAGTTAGACACCCAGCTCGTACACGCATACCAGGACGACGAAAACGAAAGCCCTACCGGAGCTAAACAGGATAGCGATTCCGGGGGTATTGACAGTATTCGCGAGAGATTTTCTGGGTTCATGGCTGGGGTGGGGGTTACTTATCCGCACAGCGTCTTGGTAGCAGACGAGAAATGCACCAACTCGAGCGTTGCGAAAAACATCAAGCTAGGGATGAGGCTTCCGTCCTTCCGGGTCATATACCAGTGCTCCGGAAGCCGTATACATTTGACAGAGAGACTGACTAGTGATGGGTCCTGGAGACTACTCGTCTTTCCTGGTGACTTGCGTCGGCCCGGGAAAATGGATGATCTGATTTCTTTCGCAGAGACATTGAGCTGCCGCTCTCACCTATCACATTTGAGAAAGAAGCAAGGTAGCAGGGGCCGCTCACTTCCCCTTGAGCCTATTCTCATTCATTCGAGCCCGATTGACTCGATCAACCTCTTAGAACTTCCAGAGATCTTTCATCCATTCGACGAGACCATGGGATGGGACTACTGGAGAGTATTTTCTGATGATGGAACATATGATAAAGAGCCTGGCCAGGCATATAAAGGGTACGGCATTGAGGAGCAGAGTGCGGGGTGTCTTGTGCTATGTCGACCTGATCAGCATGTTGCGTGGATGGGAAGTCTCCAGGATGTGGCCGGTTTGGACAACTATTTTGCCGAATTTTGTAAATAGAAAGTAGACAGAGCGGTTCCTCGTGGCATGGAGTTACGACACGATGGCGATCTAGATGATTGAAGGTGAATCTCCGCACATGGATGAGACTGGCGCTATGTGCGTGAGAAGTATTTAGAAGACGTTCAAGTAAACATCCACTTCGTAGGGCGTCGCGACAGCGGTCACCGCTTTAGTTGCCGCTTTTATGGACCGGCACAAAATGGTTACAGGAGGGAATTTCCCCGATAGAACGTCGCATTTCCGACAGCTCTCTGATTTGAGACGATGCATGCAAGAAAAGATCTCGCTCCTTTATCTCGACTTATTTACCACGGACTGTGCTTAACGGCATTTTCGTGATGGCCGCGAAATTCATTCCCCGCCAGACATTCCCCAATTATGGGTCCATTCCGCGGTCATATTATCTCGGCCATCACAGGGCTGGCCTGAAGAAAATGCAGAATATGCTTTCTTCCATCGATTATGTGGTCGAGTGCCGTGATTACCGGGTGCCTGTTACTTCTATAAACCCAATGTTTGAAGAAGCGCTGGGAAAGATACGACGGTTGATAGTATATACGAAAAGGGACCTGGGAGCGGAACCAGGTTCTACAATCCAACAGTCTGTGAGTAAATGACCGATCTTACTTTATCTTCGAAGTCTATCTATGAGGAAATTATAATAACTCTTTTACGCTGCATAGATCGAACAAAGAGTCCAGAAATTCGACCCGAATAGCGCGGTTTTCTTCGTTAGCTCCTCATCTCGTCCTGATGTCAGCTCTATATTAAAACATCTGCGCAATGACGCCGAAGGGCCCGATAAGCTAGTTGGATGCCGTGTAATGGTAGTCGGTATGCCCAATGTTGGTAAATCGACGTTGATCAACAACCTTCGGAATCAGGGCGTGGGCAAAGCCAAAGCAGTGCAGACCGGAGGTCAGCCCGGTATCACCAGGAAGATCGGAACGCCGGTGAAGATCATCGAGCGAGAGAACGGGGCTCATGTATACGTGCTTGACACCCCAGGTGTCTTCATGCCTTACGTTCCTGACGCAGAAAACATGTTGAAGTTGGCGCTCTGTGGCTGCGTCAAGGACTCGGTTATCTCACCTGTCACGCTGGCGGATTATCTGCTGTATCATATCAACCTTCATGATGCTGGAGTTTACCAGCGTTGGTCTCCACCGACAAATGAAATATCACCTCTATTGAACGACTTCGCTCGTCACACCGGTCTTCTTGCCAAGGGCGGTATTCCGAACACAGACCTTGCTGCGTTACACTTCATTCAGAAGTGGCGCTCCGGCGGCCTGGGGAGATTCATTCTCGACGATCTCCAGGCAGAGGAACTTCGCCGCAAGGAAGGAACGCAGGATCCAGCGGGCATGAGCATAACTCAGGCCATGAAGGCCGAAAAGATGGCAAAGAAAAGATCAAGGTCTCGGGAGCCATAAACACCATGTATATAACGACCCTTTATTGTACAGAACAACGAATAATATTGGTATCATTCAAGAGATTTTTCTTCGACTCCCTTGGATGCGGAGAACGACAACATCAACGGTGAAAAGTGGTATGAAACAATCAATGTGGAATCAGTATAATGGAAGTAAGGCACAATGACCCAGATAACGCCGATGCATAACCGAATATAAAACCCGAAGACACGGACAACAATTAAGTGATCTTATCTAGCAGTCGTCTCCGTCTCCGATCCACGAGCTCTTCCTGGACCTCCTCAAGGGTTGGCAACCGCCATTCGACCCCGTCACCGGCGTCTCCCGGTAGGGGTTCCCATCCATCCTCAGCATCATCCTCCTTCTTTCCACGCAAACGCTCGATGGCCTCCTTTTCCTTCTGCTTCTCATAAGCAAGTAGCGTGCCATCTTCTTCGTCCAAACCATAGCCGAAGTAGTTGGCATCCACCTTCTTGGTTGCGATATCACCCCCTCGCCCACGGCTCTCCTCTTCTTCCTCCGCAGGTCCGCGACCTCGTCGAGCGGCAGCTTCAAACATCTCCTTGACGCCGGGTAGTTCCCTCGCACGACCAAAATACCGGTATCCCTTGCCACCTCCTGGAATTTCCCGCCCTTCATCGTCGTAGACACGGCCTGAGCCACGCATATAATTGGGTCCACCAAGATTCCGAATCTGCATTTCCCATGTCCATTTCTCTCGCATGAGTTTGTTGATCTCGTCATTCAAATCACGGATCTGGTAGTCGCTCAGGCTCGGCTCTTGGATTCGAGACACCTTCCGCGAGATTTCTTTCAGGACCTGACCTCGCCATTTCTCACACATCGGGATGGAGTCGACCGACGTGATGGCCTTAGGGCGTCGAGTTCGTCCAATGTCGATGATTCCGATCTCCGCGGCCTGCTGGGCCCGAAATCGGAAGAGCATCGACTGCGCCTTCTCGCTATTGCGCGCCTGATTCAGAAGTATTTGGTTAGCGATCAGCTCATATTTTTTTCGTCGCCCAGGTTTGTGAGGGATTAGAGATCAAAATCATCCCGACAGCTCGTTTTGAGGAAGACAGGGTGTACTCACCATGATGAAGGGCAGAGAGGTGTACGGAAGAGAGGAAAGCGACGTGGAGAGGATGCGAAATACAACCTCTTGAAGTTGAACCCAAGCTCGGGTGGGTTCAACGAACGTTCGGTCCAAGCGAGCGCTAACCTTAAACGCGCGGTTACCATACCCGTCCGTCAACGTCACGTGCCGATTATTGATAAGAGCACGTGATCACGCATCAGTCCCCCGCGTCGTCTTTTGCGCCACCGCGTCAACCCCATTGTGTTATCCGTGCTATCGCCATCTTGACGATGCTTCTGTTGTCGGCCCAATATGGGCTCCCGACTTGACGAAAACTCCTCTATAGTTCGCAAACGTATTGAGTCGCGTAAGTCCTTCCCCAACTGCCTGTGGCTGTTATTCTTTCATATGGACCCTCCACTAACACGACCCAGATACTTTTGATCATGAAGAAGGCGAAGAGTATGAAGGCTCGACGTTCGGCGGCTTCGGCGACTATATGCGTCGCAAGAAGCTCAAGCTACAGAACTTGGACGCCGAAATTCGCTCGTCGGCTGGTGACTGTCCTCCCATCTTTCGTGGTGTAGTCGCACATGTCAACGGGTACACGCAGCCTTCTCTGCAGGATCTCCATCGGCTGATCGTTAGCCATGGCGGCGGGTTCTTGCAATATCTTGATGGGAAGACAGCTGCCACTCATATCATCGCCAGCTCCTTAACCCCGAAGAAGCGAGAAGAATTCCGGAGATACCGTATCGTCAAACCAGCGTGGGTAGTGGAAAGCATTAAAGCGGGGCGACTGCTCCCATGGGACTCGTTTCGGGTTGTTGATGAAGGGCAGTCGCAGAAGATCTTGAGATTCGACAACGGACGTATTCTCAGCCAGTCAAATTCTCCACAATCGAGATACAGAGACCAAAGTACGTCAAGTTGGTATGCGTCCCAACTGAAGGAATCTATGGTGGTCATGGAGACTGGACTGGATGAATCTTTACCTCGTTTGGTTGATACCACCACAACCACTGAATCAGCATCGGATGATCGTTTGATCAACCAATCTCAGTCGGATTATGGTGAATTCCCCAGCTTTACGTCCTATGAAGACACCACCAAACGGCCAACACCCCCAGAGCCTCGCATTATCGAGGATACCGAGGCTCCAGTGACCAACATACCTCCTTCGGAACAGGTAGATCCAGCGTCGGATTCAATGGATGATCAACCACCGGACCCTCCACCCGATGTAGCCCCTAGTCCCCCGTCCGCCGGGCATGACACCATCGCTGTCAGATCTGACATGACCCCAGAGGAATATAATGCACAACTCTTAGCAGATCCTCGGATGAGGAACTCCAGCGTCGCCAATCCCGAGTTTATACAACAGTTCTACAGAGAATCCCGATTGCACCACCTTTCGACCTGGAAAGCTGAACTGAAGGCTCAGCTTCAGGCAAGCGCTCGGGAGAAATCCCAAGCACAAGATTCGCGTCGCAAACTTGCACCTGGTGCAAGGCGCTATATACTCCACGTTGACTTCGATTGCTTTTTTGCAGCTGTATCGTCGCTTAAACACCCAGAACTCGATGGCAAGCCAGTCGCCATCGCTCATGGTACTGGGTCAGGCTCTGAGATTGCAAGCTGCAACTATCCTGCCCGCGCTCGGGGGGTCAAGAACGGCATGTGGATGAAAGGTGCTCTTCAGGAATGCCCTGAGTTGAAGGTGCTACCTTATGATTTTGCCGCGTACGAAGATGCGAGCCAGAAATTTTACAGCTCTATTCTTTCCATTGATGGTGTCGTCCAGAGTGTTAGCATTGACGAGGCACTCGTGGATATCACGACACAATGCCATGAGGCTGGCGGCACTGATGGCCGTGGAATATCCGAAGGTTCCATCTATCGAGAACAGGCCAGAGCCGACGAAATAGCGCAGAATCTACGCGACTCTGTGAAAGCAAAGACAGGCTGTGCTGTCTCTGTGGGAATTGGCGGTAACATTTTGCAAGCCAAGGTGGCTTTGCGAAAAGCGAAACCCGCCGGTCAATTCCAGTTGAAACCGGATGCGGTTCTAGACTTCATTGGGAATTTATCTGTACAGAATTTACCTGGAGTTGGGTACAGCCTCGCCACAAAAATGGAGGAGCTTGGCGTGAAGCTAGTCAAAGATATCCGGGAACTGTCGCGTGAGAGGCTCACTTCTACCCTCGGCCCCAAGACAGGCGCTAAGCTCTGGGATTACGCTCGCGGGATTGACCGTACTGAAGTTGGAAACGAAGTGATGCGGAAGTCTGTCTCCGCGGAAGTCAATTGGGGGATCCGGTTCGTCAATCAGGAGCAAGCGGATGATTTCGTCAAGTCGTTGTGCGCCGAGCTCCACCGCCGTCTGGTAGAGAACCTAGTGAAGGGGAAACAATTGACACTGAAAGTGATGCGCAGGTCTGCGGATGCGCCACTGGAGCCGGTCAAACACTTGGGTCACGGGAAGTGTGACACCTTCAACAAGAGTGTCATACTTGGGGTGGCAACGAATGCAACTGATGTTCTCGCTAAAGAGGCAATCTCCATGCTGAAAGGGCTCGCAATTTCGCCTGGTGACTTGCGAGGATTGGGGGTTCAAATGACGAAACTGGAACCTCTCAAACCAGGGCCAGGAGGGAGTGTCAGTAGCAGTCAACAACAACTGAATTTCAAGGCATCTCCCGTGCGCAAAAGCGTCGAGAAACATCACGATCCCGATGATCTGGAAAGCCCTCACAAAGGCGAAACTGACTCAGTTCGCCACGGCCCATCTCTGAATGATAGCACCCAGAAGCCTCTCAATCTTTCGGGCACTCAGTTCATCATGCCAACCCAAACAGACCCTAAGGTCGTTGCCGAACTTCCCAATGACATCAGATCCCGACTTATCTCGCAGGGCAAGTCCCGACAAAATTCTCGATCAACTTCGCCTTGCCCTCCCGCACGCAATGCCCAACGATCTGCAGCAACAGAACTCCCTCCTCAGTCCCAGCTAGACCCTGACGCCCTTGCCGCGTTGCCCGAGGATGTACGAGCCGAAGTACTTGGTTATTACAACCAGCCATCGAGGACAACAAACCCCCCGCAAGCAGCAGCTATTGCATCAAGCGCTCGGCCCTCATCGTCAGGAGGCCTGATGTTCAAAAAGCCTACAACGCCAACCAAGAAGCGACGCGGCCGCCCTAGCACTAAAGCAGTCGGCAACATGACCCTTACGCAATCGAACTTCATGTTTGTCAGGACAACCACGTCCTCGACGGTGAATGAGGAGCCTCGTTCAAGGCAGGCCACCCCGGGGGTAGAAGAAACGGAAATATCAGAGGAGTTCCTCGCAGAGCTCCCAGATGACATCCGCCGCGAAGTTCTCGAGGAGCAAAAGAGGGCCCGTATGTTGCAACAGCGTTCTACCAACGCCCCTGCGTCAGCAAAACTCCAACCGCCCGCCCCTGCCCCTGCCCCGCCACAGCCGCAAAAACGACTGAAGCTTCCTCCACTCCCCGAGAAACCTACATTCACGTCCAGGAAGCTTTCAAGTCTGCCAGATTTGCGCAATGCAGTTGGTTCCTGGCATGCGGCGTTCGCTGACGAAGGTCCTTTCACTGATGACGTTGATTCACTTTCTCACTACCTGACCCGTGTCGTTCTCGAAGAGAAAGATATCGACAAAGCCGTGTCTGTTGTCAGCTGGTTGACATGGCTCGTTGAGGATATGAAGGAAGCAAGTGGACCTTCTAAAAGCGCATCGACTAGTCGCTTGGAAGGCACAGTCACCTGGGATGAAGCCTTACAGAAGATTCGCACGAGCGTCAATGAAGGTCTCGACAAACGAGGGTTGCCTCATGCCGACTTCGCTTGATTTTCATGGTAAATTATTTTTAGCTGTGTATATCCAGAGCGACGAGTCTACGATTTCTCATGACGTTTTGGAAAAGATTGGAATATTCGCTGTCCATGTCTTATCAGGTTTAGTAGTCTGTATTCAAACCTAATGTGTATACTATTGGCACAGTGCCACCATTCGCAAAACAAGTGATAGCGTAACGAACGGATCTATTAGCCTGGAACAGTCCTGACTCTACGCAAAATTAGAACAACACAGAATGAAGCGCATCACAACGAACTATACCACTCGGTCTATGATTTCGCCTGCCAAGCCTCATTGCGGAAATAGCGAAGCATTTTCCCAACGAGCTCCTGAGTCAGAGGGCCTGCATTAGCAAGAGTAGGGGACACCCTTCTCGCATTATTGGTATGCCACTGCAATGACCGCCGGGGCTGATCCGTGTCGTATTTGCTAGCGAAGAAATCGAGTAACTTGAACGGCGGATTGGCGTCGAGGTCGGGCTTCGACATCCTCAGCCGCCGGACCCATTCCTGTTGCTCCACCTCCTCAAACTCGAGCCCCTCAGCGCGGAGATATCTAAGCAAATCCCGAGTCCAGTGGAAGGAATGCTGGCTCACAATGTTGAAAACAACTTTGGAGTCTGTGACAGAAGACAGGCTAGCCCCAACACTGGAGAGGGAGATGTCGATCACGGTGCCTGCGACAACGTCCACGGGTAGCCAGAGGGGAGATTCATCGAGCTTCGGTAGGGCGCCTATCGTAATCGCGCTCTGCAACATCAGCGGGATGGCCTCCGTTGCGTTCCAGATGCCGTTTTCCTGGTCCCCGATGACCTGGCCGATACGAAGAACGCGCGCAGGGAGACGGGCATCCTGAGCGGCCTTCACGCAGATGTGCTCTGCTACAAGCTTCGATTGCGCGTACCCCATGTTCTGGGCGTGATTGAGCTTCGGTAGTGCCTCCGGAACAACGTCGGCATCCGTATTGACCACGGTGCTGACGGATGAACAGAAGTTGAAGGATGCCGGTGCTGGTCTTTGGGCCTTCAGACATAGGTCGATAAGATTCTTGAGACCCCCAATGTTGGTGTGTTCAAAGCTCATGAGTCTCATGTTGAAGTTAACCGACCAGGCACAGTGGATTACGTCTGTGAGCTCGGAGGTGATCGTGTTGTAGGTGAATGAATCGAAGCCCAGCTGAGGGTCCGACAGATCACAGGGGAGCGCGACGAGTTTGCTGCGGGCTGCGTCGGGAAGTTTCTCGTATATTTGCCGGGTGCGCATGGATGCGGCGAGGCGTTCGTAGGCCGCGATGGGAGAACCTGCACGTATGGGACAGTAGACCTTTTGGACAATATCCATGGCCGAAAGCTGTGCAACGACGTGGCCGCCCAATGACCCGGTGGCACCCGTTACCAGTATGTATCTCCCGTCCAAGCCATTCGGGCGTGGTTTATGCCTCTCGAACAGGCTATACCTCGCTATTAAGCTGCTCATTTGGTCCTCCACCGACACGACACCGTTCACAGACCCGGAGTTGAGTGAGTCAAGGTAGCGCGCAAGAGAGTTGATCGTAGGATGGTCAAAAGCGATATTCAGTCCGAGCTTGTGTCCATTGGTATTTAACGTCTTAAGAATGACCGATCGCAGTTGAGTCGCTTGGAGCGAGTCCATTCCAAGGGAAAAGAAGTCAGAGTCATCGGTAAGTCGAGCGTTATCCTTGAGAGGTAAGAGCTGGAGGAGTTGTTTCCTAATAAATGCTCTCAGCTCTGCCTCTGATAGCACTTGCGATCCGGTCATAGCATCTTCTGTCTCATAGGCTCTCTCGAGTAGATCAGCAAACTCCCTGTAAAAAGCTTGTCGGATGACGGTGCCCTTGTCGGTGCGAGGGAATTTGGTATTCTCAGGTAGGACGATGATCATACTCCTTGAGAGCTGACCAAACGCGGGCATCGCCTCGTGCGCCTTCTCGATGCTGGGCCAGATGATATCGATGATAGCGTCGTCAGAAAGAGACGAAGTGCCGGGAGCACGAATCACCACCAGACCAATGCAGGCCTTGCCAGCTCCAAATACAATAGCTTCGGCCACTTCGCTGTGTTGTCTGACTCTGCCTTCCATGTCCAACGGGTTCACCTTCTCGCCGTTCACCAGGACGATGGTGTCGTCAAGTCGAGCATAATACTTGTACGCCTCCATGTTTGGGTGCTTTATGAAGAGGTCCTTCATGGCGTAAGAGCCATCAGGTCTGTTAGACATAACTTTTGACGGCCATCCATCGAGACAGATGATCTCGAATATCCCTGGAAATCTTTCTTCAAACCGGAGGTAGGGCTTCACAGCTTCAGTTGGGCGCACGTAATCCCATTCTTTATCTTCACGTGGCCGCATGGACGTCATCAATTGTCCGGTCTCGGTCCTGTGTTCATCCGTCAGAATGCTCTATTCAGGATCACTTATGCCAATGTATACTCACGATCCATAATGGCTGACGAGATGCACTCCCTTAGAAACAAGGAGGTTCCCCAGCGAGTCTGGACAAGCGGAGCCACCGAACATAACAGCTTTAAGCTTGGCCAGCTCAGCTATACCTTCCTCGGTTTCAGCGAGAAGCTTCAGCGCGTACGGAACACCGTAGAATATCTCCAGGTCATGGGAGCGCATAATATCCAGCAGATACTGTCTTGTCAGCGGGAGGTCCGCATTGTAGAGCCACAGTCTCTTGCATGAGTGGATGGTGCGGAAGAGCACGCTAAGCCCATGGTTATGATACAGTGGCAGTGTGATGAAGCCGGACATATTCATGTTCGAGGCGTAGTTCTTAAGTGCTGCTGTTTGAGTATGGAAAATCGGTTTTGGGAGACCCGTCGATCCGCTCGAGTGGATGATCCAGGCGACATGGTTCGATTCCGCAGCCATGTCAAGCCAGGGAGTGACATTCGTGTCGACTTCATTGGTCGTAATGGGATAATTGTAGACTTCCTCAGTGGGTATCTCGTCGACATGCAGATCTGGTAGTCGCTTCTTGATCTCTTTGGCCGTGTCCCTAAGCGAGGCATGGATGAACATATGACGCGACTGTGTCCTTTCCAGCAACGAGACGTAGGCTTCCACAGATATTCTCGTAGAGAGAAGAAGTCCGGTATGGCCTAGCTTAGCCAGTGCCAAGAGCATCACCAGGTAGTTGAGATTAGAAGGACCAAGCATCGCCATTACTGCTGGAGTAGTTTTCGACGACGACCGAGGCGGAACTCGGGATTCCAGCAACTTGGCCACCCGAAAGGCGAAAATATCCAACTGCTGTAGCGGATAGTCGACATATTCAATGCCACTTGATGGATAGGAGATAATAGGTTGCGAGACACCTAGGGAGGCACGATGTCGGATAAGCTCATCAACCGTACGTGGATCTTTCTGAGGATTTCGGCCGGTGAGTTGGGATTCGTCCTCCCTCAGCTTCTCTGATACAGATGGGGGTTGGGGAGGGACTGTCGACAACATATTCGTGGTTGTTGTTCTCGGAATGGTGCATTCGTAGACTGGGAAGAGATCAGTGTTAGATTGACTGGGAATGCCTTAGTCTTTAAATGACTGACTCTCGGTGGACGGGAATACGGATGGCGTTGAATAGACTCTAGCAAATCCGACCATCTTCCTCTGTCCAAGGTCATGGTAACCTGGTTGTATGCCCGGAAAAGCACAGTGGAGTGCGTCGGACTTTTATCCGAGGCGCCTCAAGTGTATTTCAGTGCCGCGAATTAGAGTCTCCATGCGGAAAAGCTCAAAACGTGTCCTGTGAAAAGACTCAGGATAGGTGTTTTTTTCACAAAGTACCCTAATATGGAAATCGGATAAGAAACCCTGGAGAGCATGATCCGCCAAGTTATGGAGCCTTGGCGGCGACAGGCAAGAATAGCCAAAACTAATAGAAAGAATATATCGAGTCGAATTATCCAAAACTTGATATCTACTAGTTTCTGTGTAGAGTCCGGGGAAGAGTGCCCTCGGAGGTCGCCCACTATTTCACAATAGCTCTATAAGGCCGCGTTGGAAGGATCGTTCGGAAGGTTGGAAAAGGCCTATATAAATCATCAGCGGGCTGCATATCGGCAGAAAAGTTGATTCTACTTACCCAGGAATCCAGTTGGGTCCACCAAATGGAGCCATCCAGGTTATCAAGAAGCCCGAACTCTTCGTCCGGGGCGAACTGGGTCCCTAACAGAGCATCCGCCTGCAACCCATCGGTATAGCCCATAGACTCGGCATTGAGAGATCCCGGGAGACCAATGCTAGACATGTCAGCAGCCCTTTGCCCCATGCTAGTATCCTGGTTTCCTAACGACGAGTCAAGTATACCCTCTGAAGAGTTTCCAGACTGGTCGAGGGACAAGGGGGCACCAATTTGCCGGTGCACTTCCAATCTCAACTCCTCGAGAATTATACTGTATCGACGACTCGGGCAGTTCTTGCGCGTGGCCTCCGCAAGGTGTTGCTGGCATGACTCTCCCAGAGTGAAAAGGAATCGTAGGCGATCCGTGTCCTCCACAACATCTGAAGATGCTTGCAGTGAAGAGCTTAATCGATATTGCTGAATCGTGTAGATATAGACCACGGTGATGGCACAGAAACACACATAATGGGTGAACCAAAACGATTGTATCAAGACACCTTGTTTACCGAGGCCGTCCACCAGCGTCATGACATCCTCGGCAGCCGCTATGCACTTACGGATATGGCCTGTTACGGTGGGATGGGGGATTGAAGGCCTGCGACCCAAGTCTGTGAAGTCATTTAAAAGGAAGGACCGTGTCGCATGAATCATGGAGTGCGAATACGCCAGCTGCAGCACTTGGCTCTGGCGACATAGTGGTGGAATCAAACTGGACGGCCGAACGCCGTTGAACAGCGGAGGGGCAGTTTCTCTCCATCTTTCCAGCTCTGAGACGAGACGGACCGCTGTCTCAAGCGGTGGATCACGAGAACGGGGGTTCACTGTATAGAGCTGTCGAGAAATCTCGCCAAGGATACGACCAAGTCTGCGAACAGCAACGGATCAGGACAAACCCGGAGAATGGGAAGCATCGAAAAACGGGCACAGACCTGAAATGAAGAACAGAGGCAATCATCATGCAGTCCGCGGACCCGGTTCTTCGCTCCGGATCCTCCTCCAGCATATCCTCGTCGTTCATCTCATCCGGCAACTCTTGGTCGGTGTCTTCATCATGAAGCAAGCGTGGTCTTCCAAACATGACACTGAGATACTTATCTAACGTATACGCGCTCCAGAAGATTCGTTTTCGAAGCTCGCGTTCGAGATAGCTGTTGCCGTTTCTCGAGACCTTGGCCGGGCATTTCCGATGCAGCCCCAGGGCAGTTACGAGTTGTAATGCTGTGCCAAATGCATACCAGCACTCATTAGCCCTCGATGACGAGAGAAGATAGAGACACTGGCCCAGTCGCGCCTGAACAGTCTCTAACCGTGGAGGCCCAGCTTCTAGTGACGACATGTGCTTTGACGCCGCATACCACCGTTCACTGCGATTGTTAGTCTTCTGCGGCCTGGGCATCGATAATAAAAATCAAGGACTACAGACCTTCCGCTCAAAGAGCCTGGCGGCTGCCCCGGCTTCTGCTCCTCATATAACGTGCCTACCGCGAATATCATGAGTATGATGGCAGTCCGGGACACCATACATCCCGTCGGCAGGTTCGACGAGGAAATGTTGAGCTCGTACACCTGTTTCAGCCATGCCTCCACACTCCCTCGATGTAAAAATCGGTAAGTCACCATAGAAAAATCAAAATAAATGGTCACGAGATCCTTGGCCTTCTCGAAAGGTGGAAGAGTAAAGCCGGTGTCGTGGTAGTTCGTGTAAGGCTTATCGCCGAACATGCAAACCGGCGCGTTCTTAGCACATCCTTCATCCTGCAGGTTATCCGGCACAGCGTGTAACTCATCCTGGCGCAAGCGACGCCACACCCGATTGAGGAAAGACACCCCAGACGCAGGTCCAAGATAATTTCCTTCAAAGTCCGTGGCCACCGGGTCGGGCGAGTTACGGTCTGACACCTCCGCCCTCTGCCTCGGCGCCGCCTGCTGCACAGGTGCCACGGCTCGTGGGGAGCTCCTTGTAGATCGGTGAGATATCGAGGAGAGGCTCGCACGACTAGCCCGAGGGATCGGATTGCCAGCCGCATACTTGGCCGCTATGGATGGCGGAGCCGGTGGTGGCTCAGGAGGTAGGCCTCTCGAATAGGCGGCGTTGTATTCACAAGGCAGGGAGAGCCGTGTACATCTCACACAAGGCAGAGTCCCCGTGCACCGGGTCTTCTTCTCCTTGCAGTGATCACAGGCACGGGTGATTTTCTGTCTCGGGCCGTTGGCCTTACTGACCAGCGGCTCCGACGCCTTTCTCTTCCGCCGTGCAGTAGACGCTTCATGATTGCTCTCGGGATCGGACAGCCGTTGGCTGTGGGGAGATATCGCGGTCTGATTTCCGGGCGACAGGCGGGTGTCCACCCCGGAAATCACAGTCGTTGCCATTGGCTTAGCCGGAAGAAGGCCTCTTGAATGAATGGGTCCAGGCCGAGGCTCGAATGCATCAACCGTCTCTTCTGGCCTGTTTTCCGGCGCTGGTCGATGTGCTTTTACGCAAGAAGAGATTATTGAAGGGGAAGCACGAGTCACAGCAGGAGAAATTTCCGGGCAGTCGGCGGATTCGACCATCACGACCGATGGGTGCGTATTTGCCGTGCGGGGTTGGAATTGATAGGACGACTCCACCGTGGCCAGCGGAGAGAATCCGGGGTGGGGGTTCCAAGCGTGTGCATCGCAGTGGAAATGTTGAATCGGAGGCAAATGACGCAGGAGGGTGTATGGGACATGAAGAGGACAAGGACAAGATAAGGTACGCCCGGTGGCATCCTGAGGAGAATCATGAAGGTGTCCATGAGGAGGTTCTATATGAGTTGGTGATCGGGATGTACAGGTTACCCTATTTGGAAGCCGCTGAGTCAGCCGCCCAGGCATCCATTCTTATACTCCCACATCTCAGACAATTGAAACAACAGGACGCCGTTGCAGAAGAGTCCCTCGCCGGTCCGTCCCCAAGCGATGCTGATTTATACAGATATGCGACACTAAAGCGGTCAATGAAGGCTATTAAACTTCTCCTAAAAGCCCATTGATACGGAACATCCGAACACGCTCGTAAGGCTGGATTGCGGAATGTAGATAGAGGGAGATGTTGATTAATTGCGCTGGAGTACTGACCTCCAGCTGACACACCCCAATACTCTGTTCATTGCTACCTTATATTCCTCCAGACGGGGACAGAAGGTGGATCGGCCGGCCCTTCGTCCCCCATTCCACCACGCAAAGCATATGGGCTCTACCTTTCACACCCCTCCACTCAGCATCTGGTCTGTAGCAGTCGAGCATCGCCGCTATCGATGATGCACTCTGGCATGACCCAAGGAGAAAGAAGCCAACGGACCGTCCCCCCATTGCTTTTGACGGACTCGACGTAGGAGAGGAGCCCATTCCCTGGCCTCGGTGGAATATATTCCGCGAGCCACAGCAAACACTGCAGGTTCTCAAATGAGCCTTAAGCATGGAAGAAGAGGAAACAGTAATCATGGTAATATAGGTATATGGTATGTTGATGATAGCCTTAGCCAGTATGAACTCGATGCTTTCCCACGCTCCTTCTGCTCATTCTTCGATCAGAACTAGAGGCACGCCACCTGATCATTTTTCACCCTGGCTAGTCCATCATACAACGAGGCAGTTCCTCTTCTTCCGCTTCTTCGCGGGCTCGGTCTCTTCCTCGCCACCGGGAATTCATTATTACGCCGGCTCGCCCTGCACGAGGGGTATAGCACGGCAAGATCGTGGGTGGATGGCGGTCAACGCAATCAAGGCAGGGGAGGGAAGGCAGGAGGTAAGGGGGTAGGATATGAATGGATGTTTCTTTCGGTTGATGGATACTCGGTCGATGTCGGTCCTCGGCGAATGTCCTCCCCCACGGTCATGTCCAGTTGTCTGGGGTGCGACTGGTCCCATCTGGAGTGGTGCTTGCGGTGGAAATCGGATTTTCGCTCATATCCAGTGCCTTGCGTTTCTTCGGCCCTCCACTCAGCGACTGGGTCACAACGGCCAGAATCTCTTCATGCGAAGCGCCCGATCGAATAATATTGATAATGGCATCCACGCTGACGCCATCGCCCGTGCGAATGGCTTCGATCAGCTGCTCAAGAAACCCGCGATAATACTTGAGCTCTTCCTGCGCGCGCTTGGCCGCAACTTTCCGACGCTTGTCGGCATATTCGTCGATGATACACTCGCGCCCATGGATGGCGCATTCAGTGCAAGGGCTCCCGGTGGTGTCCGCGCTGCACTAGAGAGGACGGAAGGGTGTTAGATGGGAAGACAAGGGAGGTAATCGGGATATTTTCCATCGAGCGATCCGCGAGTATGAAAGCAAGTAATTGCGACAGCAAAGGGTCCAATATGCCTCGAACGACAACGGGCTCAACAGATCACGAGGCACAGCTGGGGTTTCAGTACCTTTGTTCGCCGACGTTTACATTCACCACAAGCGGCGGATGCTCGCTTTATTTTACCCTCGTCACTTGGAGGGCCTGGTGTAGGAGGATCCGGTACCATCCTCGGAGCAATAGGCCGAAGAGGCCTGGACGGCCCTTGATGGGCCATGGTCTCACAAAGTGTATGTATAGGGTGGTGCTAAACGCGACCACCAGCAGGAATGGGCGAACACTGCTGAAGAGGACCGAGAGGGGGTGGGAGCGACGCCCGAGTAAGAAATCTTAGCATACACACCTTGGAGGGGGCACATCTAAGCCAGGCTGCTTGAATAAAGCATGCTCACAAAAGGATCCAGCTATCAGGGTGAAAATATTCGCAGGACCGGAGATACCAGTTTGATAACGATGACCCCAGGCCGCCGACAAAGAGAGAAGGTGCGTGGGCGGGAAGATAGTTGCGGATGTTGGCAGGGGAAAAGGACGGAGAGGAAAACAAGGAAGCCGGGAAAGGGCCAAAAAAATAAAATAAAATAGATAAATAAAAAAGAAAAGAAAAGAAAATCAAGCCAAACACTAAAGGAGACTCCTTGTCCACGGGTAGGTAGTAGCTCATGTACCCGACAGAATATGTGGAACCAAATTGGCCAAATTATTCAACGCTGGTCAGCGATGAACAAGAGGGATTGACAATGGGCGACGGGGGTGACACAGAAAGCCCAGCCCTTTTTGAGTAGTAGAGCTCTTATTGGTTGAATCGATTGTTTCCAGGGAATGGGAGAAACATTTATTAAAAAAAAAAATCGATGAAACCTTGCACACGCCAGAGTGGAGGCTGTGTGCGAGTGTTGCGCTGCACGATCCGGGGGTTCTGTCGCTGCTGTTTATGGCTTGGTTGGGCTATCGACTGCCGGACCGGCGAACGGGAGCTCGTTCTCGAGATATCAATGTGAATTTGGTGGTCGAGACTCTCTGGATCAACCGTCCATTCCACTGTTTTTGCCCCCGTTTCTTCGCTTTTCCTTCGCCCCTCGCGAGGCACCAGTTCTGTCAAATTCGCGACATCTTGGTACAGACGCCAATTCGGTCCGCCCTTATTTCGGATCCGACAGTGAAGAACTTCGAGATTCGGGCTTCCTGATTCGGCCACGATACCCCTGGTGGTCGCCGACTAACGAGTGCGGGCTGGAGGGTGAGGGCGAATTCGATGGCGAGTTGATTCCGGAGACATTATCCGGCTTGAATGATAGGACATGAGAGAGCGGCAGATAGCGGGAGTAGGCAATAGAAGCCCCATTCACTCTAGCCCCCTTGGGTCACTCCTATGTGCGCCTGTTGTTTGGCAAAAGACGCACGGGTTAGTAACCAGTAGGTTACGATCATCGCAGAGGACGATACTTACTGTGGAGATTGGTTGGTCTCCAATGGGTTCACCCCCCCGGTATATGGGAAGAGGGTGGGCTGAGAGAACAGTAGGTTTGAGAGAGATGAGCCTCTGACGTTAGGGAGCCAAAGTTATTCCTGCCTCGTGGAACGGGCCATGATGGAGGCGACTAAGTGGAGATCTACCCAAAACACCGTCGGGTACAGCGCGGCAAGGCGTCTGTTGGAAGCAACTTCTGCAGTCCAAACTTTGGGACCCGATATATCGAGGAGTCGCTGTCAAACTTGCACGTGATGCCGCCTCGATGCGCCGTCCTTCTGAAAGAGGACTAGCGCTGTCTTCGGTTACGTCTCCGACGGTGACAGCAACACCACCAAACCACATCTAGTAGGTATCTAGTTACATACGTAGAGCATCTAGGTCGAGTGTGAGTGTCTCAGATGCCAAGAGCCTCCGAGGAGGTATCCGATATACAAGTACTCGACTCTGAAATCGCTCGGCCAATATGGAAACTATGGATCAACCGATCTGCACATTGTTACACAATCGTCCCGTGGGCCCTCAGGATCGTGAAGAAATTAAATGGATACCACCATCCGGAATTTAGCGAGATTAGCGCTCTCAAACCCCCTTCGATGCCTTTGCGGGCATGAGTCCCCTCTAACAAACTATCCACTTACGGTGGATTCCAACCAATGGACGTGGGTATCATGATCTCACGTCGCATACCTCTGATCCTTCGGTATGACGATGAAGGAGACGGTGGGTTTGGCAATGCTGGCGAGAGTGGTGACTACTCCAATGTCCCTAGGGGTCGGTGTTGTCAAACAAGGGACACCACTGGTCAGGACCACCGGATGACGCCGTGGTGGCAAATCCCAGCCCATCGCATCCCCACACGCGCAGTTGACATGATGTGATGGCTTGCCTCAAGTGGGTATATCGATAACCGTGTCGCCTTGAGCAATTGGCTCGGTTTATTGCCTCTTTCTGGAATGGAACAGAGGGGAAGGCCGCAGAAGCTATACGGGCTCTGCTGCATCGATGGCTGCTCCGCAGGTTAAGCGCTATGGGCCGCGCCATATGTACGTCAAGCCATAATCGTCACTTTAGTCTTTTTCAACGATCGGTCGACCACTCACCATCCTACGATCCGATGCGTCGCCTACCAGCCACTGACACGTACATTCGTCTGGACTCCTCTTCCGCAGGAAGAACGAAGGAAAACGGGGAAAGAAGTTGCAACGTTGATTTGAAAGTCATATACAATAGTCTCCGGTACTGTTCCAGAACGACCGACGACGGGTAGAAGAGAATCGGGAAATGTCTCCAATGCTGAAGAGAAAGACCCCTTAATAGATGGGTCGGCCCTCGTCCCACCGCCGGGGCCCTTCGGGGGTTTGGGTTGGGGCACCGGACTCAACTTGCTGTGAAGGTTGCTCACCGAGAGGAGTGGACGACTCCCCGCTGTAACTAACCCGTGCCTGTGGACTGCGACTACTTCCTTCGAGGTCGCCTCGGATGCTGCCGATCCCCCCAATCCATTCCCAGACACGCGCTACATCTCCGCCACGACCCTCGCGTACTGCCGCCCGGATGTTAGCATTCCCTTCGACGACCTGGCGAACCCGCTTCCAAAGCTCCTCCCGGCGACTGCCCCGCAATTCAGAACGAAGCACGTCGTCGCGCAGTTGACCGATCGGGATGTATGGTTCGCGTGCGTCTCCTCGAGCATGTAAGGCGGCCTGAGTGGCAAGACGATCAAGCGTGGTAGCGACCAATTCTGGGACTCGCGCCAGATCGGCGCGGCGCGCAAGGACTCTTGAGCGAGCGTAGATCAGGACACATGTGCAGAGCGCTAGAACTGAAAGAGGGAGTCGATACGCGAGGAGAGAGAGTCGGATGTAGCGGCGGAAGGCGCATGTGAGGGGAAGGCGGCTGATGGATGTAGAGGTGAGGGTGAGGACAGATGAAGGTCTGTGATTGTAGTGTCGCCTCTGTTAGTTCCGGTATACACGTCAGAACCATAATCCTTTGATGCTGGCGCAGACGCTAGCGGGGCGCGGGAAGCAATGCGGCAGGGAAACGAAGATGGACAACTCACTGTTTGGTCTTGCTCACGACCTCCTCTCTTCCGATAATCTCTCCCAAAGCGCCCTTCCACAAATCATCAAACTCTGCATCGCTCATCCCTTTTCTCCTTTTCCTGCCGACCTCTTGTCTCAAGTCGGGCTCGCTAATCTCTGGCCCTTCCGCATCCTTCCCATCCTCCGTGAGCTCACCGCATTCCCACTTTGCGCGACGATCGCGAAGCTCTTCGATTGCCTTGTCAGCCACGGCCTTGACCCGGCGTGCCTTTTCGCTGTCTGGTTCGCATGTGGGTGGAAGGGGGATAAGCCCGCCCAGGGACAACGGATGTGGTTTCAGAAGGAAGTCGTGCTCACAGAGAGCTTCGAAGTTCGGGTAGCAGAAGGCGTGTGGTGGGCAAGGCTCACACTGTGGTTCGAGCACATTGGCCCATTCTGGCACCCTGGTTTCCGCCAGGGACCAGGTCGGTTTCCCAATACCACAGAATCCTATCTCGATCTTCTCCTTGCGCCACCAGGCTCCAAACCCACCAAACAATAGCAGGATGACCAGCCAGGGAGCAATGCGACTCGCAGTTCCTTGTTTGCGCGCTCGACGCCCTTGGGTCTTAGGCGGATACATCAAATCTGCATGTTCCCGCTCCAAGGCCAACTGTTCATCAGGAGTAAATTCCTCGCCAGCACTAATTTCACTCTCGTCATCTTCCTCCTCCGATGCCGACTCTTCCTTTTTAGGTGTGCGCAACTGAGATAGCGGGGACCCTAGCGAGGCCCTCGTCGAGACAACATTACCGACATCAGACTTCCTAGCCCGCAGTCCCTGACCAAACATAGGGCTCTCCGCCGAAACTCGAGACGAGCTCTTGCGTTTCGCACTACCCCTGCCCTCCCACGGGACAGGTGAACTGCCGCTCTGAAACGGATTGTCATCGGTGAAAACGCTCTCGTCCCGCGGTTCCTCCTTAACTGAAGTAGCGGGGGGCTCCGGCTCAGTGGAGGGCGTCATATCACTTCTGCGTAGTCTTCGGGTCGTCGACTTTCGTGGGGTGACTGTATCCGGCATCGCTGGGGTAGTTGGGGCATCGTAACGGGGCTCGATATCAGGTACGCGGGATCGCCTCGCCTCCGATCGCGCAGGGGTCCGTCTCGATGAAGTCGCCGGTGTGGCGGGAGCGCGTGCTTCCTCGGTGTCTGCGGTGGACGCGCGCGCGCTGGCTTTAGAACGGCCCCTCCGGGTACCAGTCGCGGTGGAAACAGTGGATGGCGTTGGCGGAGGAGGCATGGAATCCCGATTCCGGTCGTCAAAGTCGCTGACAATGGAGGCAGCACGACTCGGCATGTCGGTGATACCATCGCTAGTTCTCTTAACGCGGTCTCGCTCTCGAAGAAGCTTCTTGGCCTGTGGCAGGACCTCCTCCTCTAAGATGCGGATGAGCTGCGCCTTCTTCGCGGAGGCGGGATAGGGAACATCGTGGCTGACGAGGATAGACCGTAGACGCGGGACTGTCAGAGAATTAAGGTCGAAGTCAGGGGAGAGATAATCCAGTTCGTCGGCCATGGTGAAAGCTAGGCTAGTAGCCACCAAAGCAGAAGTATTTAAGAAAGTTAGAATTGAGGAACGCTGGAGTCCATATATTCAATGGGAGGCGGAGAAAAAAAATGGAAGACACGAAGGTGATATTTTCGATTCGTCAATAATGTCAGAAAGCCAACGTGGAGAGTGTCGTATCCGGGGCAACAGGGCGGGACCGAGATGGGAGAGAGCCAAGTCAACGGTCGTCCGTGAGCAATGTATGAGGTGACTCGCAGATCTAGATGTGGCTTGTCGCTCCAGAAGGAGGGTGTAGAGGCTTTCCTGATGAGAGGAGCGTTTGTGAGGAAAGGCAAATACAGAGAAGAGGTGAAGAGGGCAATGACGGAGACAAAACAGGAAGCCTCTGCACGTGATTCTCAACGTCATTGGGACGTGACTAAGCAATACCATGCCTCCTCCATAGTCATCTCATTCATACAAAATTAAATAACTGCCTCGTCAAGATTGATAGTCATCATGCCTGCATTGATTCACTAAATAGGTAGTATCACAACCCAACCCATATCCAAAGGATGAGACAAAACAGACAAGTCCACCATAGCTCCTATCCATGCTTATAGTACTGGTCACCCCATTATTCCACAAGACGCCAGTCAGCAGTAAAACAACGAGAAATTAGAAGAACATCAGGCAAAAACGATTAATAAAGAAGGAGGCCAGTATCATTCGGCCACGAATACATGCGTGTTCAGGAATGCGACCCGTTCGAATTCAGGTCGTGACTCGAATGCCCCATGTGGAGCAAGGAGGAAGATGATGGGCTGGAGGCAGGGTACTGCACATCAGTCGACGCATAGCCTGGGGACATGCCAGTGATGCCTGCAGCACCGGCAGAAGTTTGCCCCTTCAGCGCCCGATACTCCGCAAGTTGTGTCTGTAGCTCTTGCAGTACGTCTGCGATAGGCATCGCGTGGTCAGCGAGTCCATCGCCTGGCCCGAAGGGTCGAAGCATGTGGCGGATGCTGAGAGTCGTAATTGTCGTCTCGATGCGAGTAACTTGCTGTTCAACAAGGCTGACTACAGTTGAATCAGCGAGCTCCCCGCCATGATTTTTGACCACATTGAACAGGGCGACGTTCGGTTCCTTGAGCCGCGTCTCGCCTGGATATTCCAATGCCCCGCAGAGTCTTTCCAGACGGAGGGTGATTTCCCACAGGCGCCATATAAGATCAGTCTGGATTTCGAGCTGTGAATGTTTGCTTATCGTAGTTGGCGCATTCTCAGGCGCAGCATTCTGCTCCAACGTTGTTAACCGGCCAGAGAGAGAGTGAGGATAAATCAGGTAGAGCGGCTCCGGGTTTTCGAGGCCCTTCAGCTTCCGTTCTCCTTGGTCCTTGATCACGAAGCCTTGGCTGTTGAGCTGTTGAAGTTCGCGGCGAATATTATACCCGAGATTGTCCATGGCATAGCTTTCCTCCGAACCCGTGGACGCGGCGCGTTCGCTGTCAGCGAACACTTCCAGGTTTCGTTGAATATCACTCATGAAATCCGACGATACAAAGATCTGTCCGCCATCGGCGACTGCGGAGATACGCGATGCCCGGTTAACCATGGGACCGAAATAGTCCATTCGGTTGGTCACGGGATCCTTCTCGCATACAGGTTCTCCCCAGTGGACACCCATGCGGACAGACAATCCGCGGAAGATGATATTGTTGTCCATATCGTATTGAACCTGGCATTGGGGTTGTTCAAGGATCTCCGTCGGCCATTCGGCTTCCAGAAGTTGGGTTTGGCAATTGAAGCACCAGAGTAAAGCTGCAGTCGTTGTAGAGAACGCAACCATAAAAGCATCACCTTCGGTTTTGACTTCGTATCCACCGATGATACCCAGTTGTCGACGGAGAATATCATTATGGATTTGGATGGCAGACCGCATGGCATCCGGACAAGTTTCCCAGAGGCTAGTGGACTTCTTGATATCAGTGAAAATGATGGCCAATTCCCCTACAGGAGCATCCACATAGTCGAAACGGGCCAGACGAGAATCACCAGGCATGTTAGCCGGCTTCTTCGGACGTTTTGTGCTCGTGATCAGTTGCTCTTCGGGGGGTCCCAGGTAGACGCTCTGGTTCCTGATACGCTTCTCCCGCTTCTTCAAGTCACCAACACCCAGGATCATGACCATTAGCTTGTTCGTTGCTCCGAAGGAGATTGCGAGATCTCTGATTTTTTGCGCTGCAACCATAAGGTCTCTGCGCTCGGCCCTTGTCACATCAACAACCAAATCTGGTGTCACATAGTCCCAGAGCTCCCTTGATGCTAGAATAATCATTTCGTCCTGTTCCGTGAGATTTACGTGCATCGTATGAGGGGCAGCGATGACTGCAGGCATCAGCAGGAAGTGTCCAAACGACCTGGAGACAGAAAGAATGTCGTTAAGCTTGCCATGACGAGACACGAAGCCACCCGCGGCCCGTATTCTTGCCCGCTCATGGGATTCGGCTGGGTCATGGTTGCGAGTTAAGTGTCGAAATGATCCATCTGATTTGACGAGAATCGCCTGCGCATCGCCCACATTGGCGACATAAAGATCCATGTTGCGCAGGTAGAGCACAGTGGCAGTCCCACCAGACCGGATATCGTCTTTTGTCAAGCGCACCTTCTTCTGATCAGCGGCATCTTCATGGTATTGCCTGACATCCTCATCAAGGGACCGATAGCAGGCAAAAGCCATGTTCTTATTCAGAGCCAGGAACGACCGCCGTAGCGCGTCGAGGGGTGATTCTTGTTCATCCGGTCTTAGTCTCTTCAGCTCGCCAGAGAAAGTCTGGAGGAAGTTCTCATGTAGAAACTTGGCTATTCTTGAGCCACCAGTGGACTGTGATTGCCCATCGAACATTCCAACCACAGTTTCGATGTTATCCGGTTTCATGCGAGGCACAATCATATCAATAATAGACAAATGCTCACTCTTCCCAAGAAAATCTGCCATGCCGTACGCTAGAGAGCCAGCCAATGACGCTGATGTTCGCACACGACGGTCTTCGCTTTCCTCGGGGATCGTGGATGTTGTGAGAGTGACATCCATCAAGCCCAGGACTCGCAAATGAGTAAGCGAATTGAAGTCTGTCAGGTCAGTGCCTTGCGCGGCTGGCGATCCAAGAGATGATATGTTCGGCTTGATTTCCAGCCGCTTATTCCCGGAGAAATTGAGGTACTTCAGGTTCCGGTTCCAGTTCCAGTTCCAATCATATGGCCAGTTGGTCACGTTATACTTCAGCGAATTGCTCCCAACATCAAGAATTGCCAGCTTGCTGACTTTGCAAAGTTCTGCGGGAAGCACTTGGAACCGATTTGCGTTGATGTGGAGGACCTTCAAGTTACTTCCCTCTTCAAGGTCGTCAGAAGGCAGAGATGTCAACTCATTGCCCGAGAGGTACAGATCCGTTAGGAACGGCCACCGTCTCAGAAGCCCTTGCGGCAGTTCCGTCAATTCATTGTATGAGAGATTGACCACACGTAATTCAGGAATTAAAGACAGTTCCCGGAAAATATCGTCCTCCAGCCTATTATCAGCCAGGTATAAATTGCGCAGGGAACCTCCAAAGGTGGTCGCAACATGCTGAGAGAAATTGGAATCCTTCCTGGACGATGGACTGCCTTCATTGACCGACCGAGCCGCAGAAACTTTTCGCCCAGATTGTCCTAGAGAGGACGCCACGGAGGGCTTTCTGTAGCCGCCATTTGGCGAACTCCCTGTACTCAGAACCCCTCCTGAAGTTTGACTAGGTCGGCGGGGTTCCTGCTCGGCAAGGGCTCCTAACTCCTCATAGCTGGGAGTGGTCGAAATCCCTGGGGTTGGTAAGGGAGTTCCACCAGATTCGGTCGGAGGCTGGGGAGGAGGTCCACCGTGCTTTGGGAAGCTGTCCAACACGTTCGACGACACGTTGAGGGTTTCCAGTTTCAGGCAATACCAAATCTCAGAAGGCAGGCGGCTCAAATTGCACTCGCGCAGGTTCAAGTAACGGAGCTCGGTTAAGCACCCAATCGTAGCTGGGAGAGAGGCCAGCGGGTTCTTGATCATGCTGAAGTGCTCAAGCCTGCGGAGCTTCCCGATGTGCTGCGACATGGAAACGAAGTGGTTCTTGTCGAGCACGAGTTTAGTTAAGTTGGGCAAATTCTCAAAGAGCGAGTCACGGAATTGGACTAGCTTAGCGGAAGCAATGTTCAGGGAGGAAAGAGTCGGCATGGGGCCATCAATGTCGAACTGTGTGATGGGACAATGATCAATGAGCAACGTCCGCAATTTTGGGAAAGACCCTCGGAATTTGGAGACAGCGTTGTGGCCAATCTGCAACTGCTCCAGGCGCGGCAGTAGGCATAGGTTGTCGATGTTGGTGATCTCATTAAATCGTGCATCAATTTCCTTGAGATTTACCAAGTCCTTGAACGTCTCCCCCAAGGGGCCTTTTATGACATTATTTGTCATCCAGATCCGCTCCAGTGTGCTCAACTTGCCGATGTTCGGGAGCTCGGAGATGTTGTTAAAGCTGATGTCCAGGTCCACCAGACTCTTCAGGTTACAGAGGAACTCCGGAAAGACCTGAAAGTTGTTGGAGGAAATGTTGAGGCTCCTCAGGAACTCAAAGGCTCCAAAGTAACTCGGCAATTCCGTCAGCCTGTTGTTCGCCAGTTTGATCAGCACGAGGCCATGCAGCCTGTCCAGATTGGCATGGCTAAGATTTTCCAAAAAGTTATTGGACACATCCAGGTAGGTCAATCTACTTGCAAGACCGAAGCTTGCAGGTAGTTGTTCAGCCTCACATCCAATGAACTTGATCTCCCGCAGATTAATGCAACCTTGGATGAAGTCTCTTGGAACATCCAACGCCAGGTTTCGCGATAAGTTCAGGGATATGATTTCAGATGCTTTTTTGTAGAGCGTGATGGGGATAGTGACAAGACTGCGACCCTGAAGATCAACATGGCTGAACTTTTGCATTTTATTGAATCCAGGTTCGCCTTGGAGACTGCTGAGCCCGCTCAGCTTCGTGGGGAGGAAGGTAAAACGGAGGATATAGCTGTGGTCCTCCCGGCCGATTTCCTCGATCCGATCTTTCTGGGTGTAACCAATCTGCTCGAGCATCCGCTTCTGCATAAGGATAGGTTTCTCGCCCGGGTCAAGCTGCCGTGAGAGGTCGTTCTTTCGCATCACGATCTCGTAATTGTTGAGGTGTTCAGTGAGGAAAGATTTTCGACCCAGCAGCACGAGAATGTCGGCCACCGTAGCATTCAGCCCTGTTGACAACGTGGCAAAGGTGGAGTCAATACGAAAGACGCGAATGAAATAAGAGATACCATCCGCATCTGGTGCAGCGCGAGCAGTGGCCTGGGCAGTGGTGGGGAGTCTGGCTGTGTTCTCATCTCCGTGTTTCTTGACATGCCAGCTTTCAGGCGCATCCCAATGCCCGATCCTCCCTTCTTGGTCCTCGAAAGATGCGCCGTTGATTGACCGGTTTCGGTCGGCGGAAATCGCAGCGTTTTGATCTTTGATGATTCCCTCCATATGCGAGAGATCAGTATCAAGCGAGTACATACTTTGCTCGTCACCCTTTGCCTCTCGGGCCGGAGTCTCGGTACCAGGTCGACGGTTTCGCATCTTTGCAGATCCCAGAACAATTCTGGGGTCTCGTTTCCGATCCGAGTCACTCGCGTCCAGGTACCGCGGGGTCGACAAACCACTTTCAAGACTGCCCTGCCGGCCTCGCCTCGCAGGGGAGGGATCCCGTCGTGACGGTTTCGAGGAAGCCTTGGTCGTATCGTGCGCGCCCTTGGCTCCAGGGAAATGCTTCAGCGGCCCGTGCCCTATAGGACGGCGGATTTTATCGAGGATGGAGCGCTTGTTTTGTCCCGGCCCCGGGGAGTTTTGTCCTTGCTCGCGAGCATAAGCGCTTTGAACACTCGGCGTGGGGCTAGTCGAACGCCCAACCAGGGTGGAAGTCGAATTCATCGCCGCAGGGTAATTATTGAAGCTTCCCTCTCTAGAGGGTCGAAGTCCAAGCGACAGGTCATCGCGTCCTGTGGATGGACGAGCAGGGTATCCGGCAAGATCCCCGGCAACCGTTGGCTTCTCCTCTTTGCTTCGAGAATGACGATGTCCGCCCAGGTGTCGTCGCGCTGGTTCTTTCTGCCAGCCTTTGGCATTGGCTGCGGTACGACTGTCTGTGGGGGCTTCACGGACTGGAGCCTCTCCGTATTGAGGGATGTCATGGAAGCTTTGGTATAACCATGGCGTGATCTCGCTGGAAGGGAGCGGGGTATGTGCTGGTGGATTTTGAGAGGACGAGTCATCGTTTGCAAGTCCCGGTACGGGCCGTGTTCCATCTGAATTGGCACGTTCACGGGTTAGGTACTGCTCGATGTGTGACGGATTACCTGATTGGAGCTGCGCTGCGTGATCCGACTCGGGTCTTGGTTCACCTGGTCCCAAGTATTCGTCGCCGAAGAAGCCTTGTAATTTCTTCCGAAATCGAGCACTTGTACTAGACTTCGAACCTTGGCTGCTCACCGTGGTGGCGCTTGCGACAGAAGGCCGCCGATTGTCCATATTGTAATCGATCTCCAGCGGTTCGCTGGCATACGTGCGACCAGTTCCCGGGCGAAATGATGCCGTAGCGGGCGATGCTTCATGTTCGGAATCATGGAAGAACGTGCCGGACGAGTCGGTCGGGGCCATCTTCGGGGACGAAGGCCGAGAAGAGTTTGGGTTTTGCTGGAAGTAGTCAAACTGATGAGGATTCAAATGAGAGGGCCCGGAACCAGAGCTTGATGTCGGTGGAGGGCCGGGGTCGTCGGCGCCTAGCATTGCCAACGCTTTACGATGGCTGGCGAAACCAGAACCTTTACGCAGGTCCGTTGGGGACACATCTGGGGAGGCTCTAGAGAACATGGACGTATTAAACTCGGTCGCGGGACCCAGAGCGGGCGGCGGTGGCTTTCGACCCTGCGAACGGGATCTAAGAAAAGTCAGCCTGCATCGGATGAAACTAAAACGATCTCCTTTGGTTACATGGCGACATGGGTGAATCAGGACTGTTTCAAGATGGATACAGAGAACAAGACAAGTGCACGTGACTGTAAAGATAACAAGGAGTGCATCTGCATTTTTTTTTTTCAGGGAGAGGAAGCGCATTGTGGGACAAGAGATCCGTCTAGCCATCATCCCCGCGTGAAGCGTGGAGTTCAAAAATAGCATCCCTACCAGGTCCCGCATTACTCCAACTCCATGCATTAGAGAAAGCGACACAACATGGATTGGAGAAAAGATTTGATAAAAGTAAAGGACTAGACATGAAGCAGGATGCAGGGGGATTCTTACCTGTCTGCTCTGGCAGACGGCGGGAACGGGGATAAACTGCGACCGTTCGACATGGGTTGATTCGGGGGGCGACGATCGGTTTGACCGTCCCTGACCGTTTCCTGTGACATCCAGCTATGCCAGCTATGCGCGCCTGAGCTCTCAGAGCTGTGTCTCTCTTCCGGGTAATCACCGCCACTGGAGGCCATGCCTCAAGGATCCGGTATGGCGGCGTCGATTATGGCAAACGCGGGGGAGGTATTGGATGGGCGGCGGAGGGGAGACAAGGAAACATAGAAAATCAAGAGAAGCGCCACCATCAAACAGGGTTCCGATAACAGCGACGGGCGTGAGGCTTAAGCTTCGTAAACTGTCATGCGAACAAACCTTGAGGAAGGATGTCGAGGTAGACGGGAAAGCGGTCCGTAGGAAAACTCGCGGTCGGAATCAATCAATATAATCGATCGGTAGTAATTATATAGTATAATCGCGCACGGTGTACACGGGCGAGGTGTATATGCGGAAAGATGAGGTTATCTGGCGAAGTCGTAGTGTTTTGCTGATCGTCGATGGGCGACAGTGTCCGGTGTTCTTTCATGTTCTGACGGAAGAGCGGCAGCGGTCAAAAATCGCCATCGCACATGTTGCGAAGATAGGCCAAGGGCCCATGATATGGTATGAGAGTTCGGAGGGAAGAAGTAAAGATGACTGAGAGTGGGGGTGAAGAAGAGAGAATGAGGAAGAGGGGGGAGAAGAGGGGCGGTGGAAGGTTGTCGACGTGGTGGTAGGAGTGAGGAGGAGATGGAGAAGAGAAAGAGTCGGAGGGAGGAAGCGTCAGAGTTGCGGCTCCGAACCACGAGCTTTCTCCCGCTAAACCGGAGAGAGTAGTCAGGGAGTCGGACCTTTTTCAACTGGCAAGAGAACTCGGGGCTCTCTTTTGGGAAGAATATATTGATTTTTTTTTTTTTTGTTAATCTTAACGTTCATATTAATATTATGATAAATATTAAGAATAACGCATTCATCTACTATACACTCACTATTCGACCCTCCTGAAAATGGGAGGGGAGACAAGACGATGGGTCCGTGAGGATGTCCGTGCAGTGGCCGGCTGCAAGATCCTCACGATCTATCCCCCTCTCGGCATGCCCCGTAGTCCCTACCTATCTGTCCTTTATCCGTTGCGAGCTGAGAACCCTCCGCGATGGGCTCCTCTCCAGCGATCTCAATTGATTCGAAATTGAACCCGTGTCCTGCCATACCAAATTGCGGTAGGTGTAGGTCCTCCTGAACATGTGGATGACTAAGAATTCTCCGAGTGACGTATAGGAAGGTACTCTTGGTTTGATCAACATTCGACATTTGTCGCAAATCTGTCGGTTGCTCATCCCACGAAATCCCCTGTGGGATTCATGTTCATCATTCAGGTGGCAGTGGGAAGTAGACAATAGGGGTCACCCCTGGTGGGGATCCTCTGGACAGCACGGAGTAGGTAGATCATTGACAGAACGTGGCGTAGTACTGGTTGCCCTAACTTAACCTCATGACCACCAGGCAGTGTTGTGTGATGACACCGCATCATATCACCCTCTTCATCCATCCACTGATGTGTGAATTCGACTTTTTCAGATTAATTTAGGCACTTAGGAAACAACTCACTGTAGACCAATACCAAGATTCTTGGGTGGGCCACATCATGGCTCGAAATGCATGGCGAGCTCCGACCCAAGGTCTATTGATCACAGGGTCACAAGCGAGACATGCAAGTGGACAGCTCATCCGTAAAAGGAGGTATCCAGTGGAGGAAACTGTGGTACAGGATTGATCTCATATGATAGTCTTAATCCACGCTGTTCATCAATTCAATCAAAGTGACGGGCCCGTAGAAGGGGTAGGCAAAGTGGCGAGCAAATATATATCTTGGGTAAGAGAGGCTGGGGTGGGGCCCGATAGGCGGTGATGAAACAACAACTTGTAGGAGTGTTGTACTAGTACTCCGCAGGTTGCATCTGACCCGGGTTGCATAATTGGGACTCAGGTGAGTGCGAGGTCTATACGGCGTAGTACCAGTAGATTGACCTACCTACCTACCTCCCATCAGACACCCTTCATGATCATGGTGGACATCCGATCGAGTGGTAGCTTTCAACCACGGAATGTGTCAACGATCGATAAAAATGCGTGGGGAGCCGCAGCTGTCTAAGAGGCCCAGCCACATTTAAGGTGTAGCCAATCATCATGCGGCTTCGGAGGTTGCCATGCGGATAGCGCCAATTTAGACCCACCGGAGCTGGAGGGACTGGCTGGTACTTTCGTTAGGTAGGACCTTCGGCCGCCTGCTTTGTACCCAGAGGTACCTCGTCGTCTGGGTAGATCAAAATAGAAACGAAGGAGGCTGGACTGCCTACCTACCTACCCAAGTAGGGTACCTTACTACCTCACAATCTTCACCGGCTGGTCCCTTCCTCCTTTATAATCTGTCTTGCGCCTCACGAGGCACCTTAGTCACTAATTCACCTCTCGCACTTCGTCAACAATCCTTCTCCTCCGCTCCTGTCTTCCACTCCTATCCTCTCCCCAACCTCGCACTTTTCTCCCCCAAATTTAATTTTTTGATTTCTTCTGGATAAAACAATCCTTGGACTCCGTTGGTGGGTGCCGTTTTTCGTGGTCTTTCCCATTTGTCGCCGACTGTTTTGTTTATGACCATGAGGTTTCCCGTGGTGGGCGTGGCCTTAGGCTTGCTCTCATCGATCCTGGTGGAAGCACAGACATACACAGACTGTGATCCTTTGCAAAAGTGTACGTCCCTATTTCACGTCGCTCTTGAAGCCGGAAAATTCCCAACTGACCTCACCTCCAGCCTGTCCGCCCGACCCTGCTCTGGGCAAGTCGGCATCCTATGACTTCACCAAGGGTTACTCGTCCGATTTTAAAGAGACTGGAAGCCCATCGTACGATAACACCAAAGGCGCCAGCTTCACCGTCGCGAAGCAGGGCGATGCCCCGTTGATCCAGTCCAAATGGTACATCATGTTTGGACGTGTCGAGTTCGTGATCCAAGCTGCTCCCGGAACGGGAATCGTAAGCAGTGCAGTGCTTCAGTCGGATGATCTCGATGAAATCGACTGGGAGTGGCTGGGCGGCAACAATGCCCTGGTGCAGAGTAACTACTTCGGTAAAGGGAACACCGACAGCTTTAACCGCGGTGCCACTCACGACAACCCCGGGAACCATGATGGATTCCACACCTACGCCATCGATTGGACCAGTGAGCACATTATCTGGCAGATTGACGGCGAGACGGTCCGCGTGCTCACCCCTGAAACTGCCCAAAGTAATCAATATCCGCAAACTCCCATGATGGTCAGGGTGGGCGTTTGGGCAGGCGGAGATCCGAACAATCCGCAGGGCACGATCGGTAAGCTTTAACCACTCATGGTGACCGGCCGTGTGGCATACTAATGTGATCCTCCAGACTGGGCCGGAGGAAAAACCGATTACAGTGCGGGTCCCTACACCATGTATCTCAAATCACTCAAGGTGGTCGATTACTCGACCGGTTCATCATACTCGTATGGCGACAACAGTGGATCGTGGCAGTCTATTACCGCCGAAGGGGGAAAGGTCAATGGGAATATCAACGCAGACACTATTTCATCGGTCGAGTCGACGCCAACAGTGACGGCGACTGTCAACAACATCCCGATTCCGTTCGATGGGACACACCGCGAAACGTCGAGCTTTTCAACGCCAGATATCTATCCCTGGGTTCCCCGGCCGACCTCGCTTTCGACTGATACTGGTCTGCCTAGTGGCTGGACATTCTCTAGTTCCGGACAGGTCCAGCCGCCCCCGAGTGCGGCTTCAGTGAGTGAGCATCACCTTCACTTCCCTCATTAACATGATCCTATTGCTAAATCCCTCTCCAGTCTACGTTCCGATCTACATCAGCCTCATTGCGTTCCTCGCTGGATTTACCATGCCCCTCTGGCACTGAAACAGGCTCCAGCATACCTTTTACGACGTTCTCTACGACCTCTCATGCGACTACCACTTATCACTCGACTACTGATTCTGTAAGCAAAACAGACGGTGGCCGGCATTCATCCACACCAACTCCTACGGTTCATGCTGCGCCTAACGTGGATGCAGCCAATCAGGCTAGTGCACCATTCTGGATAAGCGCCTTGTGCATCGTATTGGCTATGGTGCTCACCACATTTTGAGTGTGCCACTGGCACAGCACATCGACTGCGTGGACTTGCACATAGACCGGAATCCACGACCGACATGGGATACGAGATCATGAGTTTACATGCGACGATGAGATGAAATGTATGTACATAAGCAGGTTCTCCTGCTTCGTTTCTTCACGTGTTTTTTTAGACTGTACTTATTATGATTACTGGAACCAAATTTATGACCTACTGGTGGTTCTTGGTACAGACAGGTGGATGAGATCCCCAGTTCAGGACGAGAACCTCCATACACCACCGTTATGGCTACTCCTTATTAATTAGACCTATCCATAGCCGGAACTTCATTCAAAGGATATATATTCCTCCACAAACAGAGCTGCAACAGCGCATTATACCACGCTGGTAGACATTCCATTTTTTCGAGGAGCCAGTGGAAGCAACCTCCGTAAACCCATATACGGGGTATTGACCGGGCTGTTTGCGCCAGTATAGAGGAAGACATCATACAGCCAACCGCCAAACGTACAGCCTAGGAACGGAGCAATGATCGGGACCTGCAAGCCTCCAACCGTCAGCCTACATCGTTGTCCAACCCAGAAGCAAACCACTTACCCAGAAGTAATAATTCCCCGCCTTCCACACCTCAGGCCCATACCCGATCATATATGAGACCAGCCGGGGTCCGAAGTCCCTCGCCAAGTTAATCGCATAGCCCGTCTCCCACCCGAAGCACGCACCAATGCCAAAGACCACAAAGAAGAGGGCCAACGGGGTCAATGGGCCCGCCGCGAGATTGCCCCCATCATTCAGCGCAAAGATCAGGAACATGAGGATGGCACTGGCGATAAACTCGGAGAAGAACTGCCCTGTGCGCGTCATGAACGCCGCCGGGTACGTGCAGAAAATGCCCCCCGTTGCGGTCGACGAGTACCCCGGCACCGTTCGGATGTCGGGTCCGCCCTCATACACGTCGATGGCTGAGCGGGTAGTTCCCGTACACGATGGCCGCGCCTACCATGGCCCCGAGCAGCTGGGAGAGAGCATACACGGGCCAGCGCCGCCAGGGGAACCGCCGCAGGACGCAGTTAGCGAAGGTCACGGCGGGGTTGATGTGCGAGCCTGATGGGCTGCTGACGTAGACACCTAGCATGACGCCGAGTCTGGGGTGTGTTAGGGTGGGCTTGGAGACCATAGGAGAGGGAGGGGGAGGAGATGGTGGTGGAGGTTGCTTACCCCCAGCCCCAGGAGATGGACTGGTAGGAACCCTTTTCGTTGCGGCTTAGAGTCACCTGGGCGACGACGCCGTCACCGAAGAGAATGAGGATCATGGTTCCGAAAAATTCGGAGAAGGCGTCGCGGCAGTAGGCGCGGATGCTGGTCCAGCGGAGGGAGGGCGGTATGGACGAGTCTTGCTCGATGAAGATGGGGGTGGTCTCGGGGTCAGGGCTGTCCTGGGTGGATCGCGGGTGGAGGGAGACATGAGGGACTTCTTTTGAGGGCTCGATGTCCATGGCTAGGTTTGTTTGGGATTGTTCTGTTGGATAGTCTTGCTGTGGACGGGACTTGGGATGCTGGGCGGGACGTGAGGGAAGTTAAAGTATGGGATAGGGGATGTATATGTGGTGGGATGGGTGTACATGGTGCTACTGGTGTGGGTTTACACAGTCTCCCTCACACGGCGCCTTTTGAGATTGGACATTGTGCCGACGGATCGGGGAGTTTCTGGGGATAGACATGCTTCTGAGGTAAAACCCCGTTCGTCTATACTATGTGTATAGACTCATTGACTGGGTACTCTCGCTGGACATGCCGATATGCTAGCCAATGGGCTGATGATTGTACGTACGCAACGGCGCAAAGGAGCATGTTCTCCAGCTGACCAGAACTTCTTCTTGCAGAATGACATTAGTATGTCCAGATATTGCATTGGTATGTTTAAGCACGCACATGTCAACCGCTCACCCGACGGTGGCACTGTCGAATCCTGGCAGACGTTGATGGGAGTCTCGCCCTCTCCCACGGCGAATCGTCCCATTCAGTATTACTGTCGTTCTGGCCGCCGAATGATATTGAAGCCGTCGTAGCCGGCGCAGGCTGGTGTTACCTTGCGTCCGGCTTGGGTAGTAGCCATTTGCGCAGGGGTTGTATGGTGGCAGTGGCATCGTGGTTCTCCGAAGGCTTTTGGGGTACTGCAGCATAATGTTCTTTCTTAAGAAAAGGGACTCTCCTTGGTGCTGTCGGCATCAGGTCCAGGATTTTGGATAGACATGCATAGATATGCTGGTGGTCGTTGAGATGAGGCTCTGGATGCCCTGCATCTTGCTCCACAGTGGCCTGGACGGTGTTCGCAGACGTCGATGTGCGTAGTTGATCATTTCCGGGTCCCCCCCCCGCAATCTGTCGCTGTCAGTGTGGGGGATGCATGACTCCACGGGCGGATCGCAATGCTGATCAGTCTGGAGACCAATGTCGGTCTCACGAGAGGAAGTATGACCACCAGCGTGGCTAGCGTGTCTAGCGTGGCTGCGGCCAGACCACTGTCAAGAAGCCGTGAGGAATCATGGATGTGACGGTAGGAAGGACAAGAGAGACGGGGAGGTGGAGAGGAAGAGAAGAAGATAAAGGGAAATCCGTGAACTAATCCGGAAAAGAATGCCGTGGGGCCTCAGGCCTCTCTCGTGTTTGTTCCCTTTGGCTTCCTCCGTCTACCTTTCTCTTCCTTTCCTCTTCATTCCTAATTCCTCTCTTCCTCTATCACGGGATTGTCAAATCTTCCCTCCGTCGGACGGTGACATTCACAATAATCGCACCAATCACGGATGCTTCCCTCACCCTGGCGTTCCTGTGGGCTGACTGCTCCCAGGCTATCCCAGCACTCCATCTTCTGCGAATGAAACCCTCGCCTGGGGTCTAGGCGTTGGCCCATCCCCGACGCTAGGGACCTTCGATTCTCTCGGCTCATTCGATGCCGATGGCTTCGGTCAACATACCAAGTGGTCATCCCCTCCATTCTAGCTCGGCCCAAGTCAGATGGCCCCGCAGATACATCCCCTATGCCATGACAGCGGAGACGCGTGTCTGGCGGGCATGGGGGTTTAAATTATGACGGCCTACGCTCCACCGTGTGTGTGTCTTTGCGGTTCCTCTTCTGTACTTTTTGTCTGAGAGACATTCTGCGACTCCATTTCGTCCTACACGTTTCTCTCGCATGGCACAATTTGGCTGAAAATGCAACAAAAAGAAATGTTTGTCGGTTCAATTGACCAAGGTACCACCAGCACCAGGTTCCTCATCTTCAACCACGAGGGGGAACCCGTTGCATCGCATCAGGTGGAGTTCACTCAGATCTACCCTAACCCAGGGTTTGTCGTCTCCTTAGTCTGGACTTTGGAATTGCGCGGGATTGCTAACTGCTAGCAGATGGCATGAACATGATCCTCTGGAGCTCGAATCGTCGGTGTACACCTGCGTCGAAGAAGCAGTAAAGAAATTCGAAGCCACCGGCTACTCGCGCGAGACCATCAAGGGCATCGGCATCACTAACCAACGAGAAACCACCGTAGTCTGGGACCACGAAACGGGCGAACCACTGTACAATGCTATAGTTTGGACCGACACTCGCTCCCAGTCCATTGTTGACGAATTGAAGAAGAGACCCGAGGCTTCGCAACTCCAGCAGCTGTGTGGGCTGCCTCTCTCTACATACTCGTCTGCAACCAAGCTCCTATGGATGCTGGAGAATGTCCCACGCGTCAAAGATGCCTATGAAAGAGGAACACTGGCATTTGGCACGGTAGATACATGGCTGGTGTATCGTCTGAACGGTGGGCATGCTGCGAATGTCTTTGTGTCCGATGCCACCAACGCGTCGCGGACCATGTTCATGAACCTGGAGACACTGCAATACGACAATTTCCTTCTCGATTTCTTTGATATTAGAGGGAAAATCCACTTTCCCAAAATTGTGCCGTCATCGCACTCAACAGCGTATGGGGTGCTGTCAACCGGCATCCTCCAGGGAGTCCCCATTCTAGGATGCCTTGGAGATCAGTCGTCCGCGCTGGTCGGTCAAAAAGGATTCTCTCCTGGGATGGCAAAAAACACCTATGGCACTGGATGCTTCCTCCTGTACAATGTGGGCGATAAACCGGTCATTTCGACGCATGGATTGCTGGCGACGGTGGCATACCACTTTGACGGAAAACCCGTGTATGCCCTCGAGGGGAGTATCGCAGTAGGCGGGTCAGGTGTCAAGTTCTTACAGGACAACTTGGAGTTCTTCAGCGCATCCAACGAGGTGAACGAATTGGCGCTTAGTGTGGAAGACAATGGCGGGTGCGTCTTTGTCACTGCATTCAGTGGCCTTTTTGCGCCCTACTGGATCGACGACGCCAAGGGAACTATTTGTAAGTTCATTGCTACTACAGTAGATTCATCTACTGACATGACTAGTTGGAATCACACAATACACCAAGAAGGGCCACATTGCTAGAGCCACTCTGGAGGCAACTTGCTTCCAGACCAAAGCTATTCTGGACGCCATGGAAAAGGATAGTGGACACGCCTTGTCTGAACTAGCTGTTGACGGAGGTCTCAGTAACTCGGATCTAGCCATGCAGGTATGCACTCATAAACAACCTATATTTACCTAAGAACAACTTCATACTAACGCGGTGCCGCCAATAGATCCAAGCAGACCTCATCTCAATCCCAGTATACCGCCCAAAGATGCGTGAAACCACTGCCCTGGGAGCAGCAATTGCAGCTGGCCTGGCAGCTGGACTCTGGCGCAACTTTGCCGAGTTGCGCGATATAAACCGTGCAGGAGGAGCTGTTTTCGAACCGCAGGTCAGTCGCGAAGACAGTGCCAAGTCATTCGCTATGTGGGAAAAGGCCGTGAACATGTGTCGCGGGTGGGTTGGGGAAAAGGCACCTCCAATCATCCAAGACCAGAAGCAACAAGAGCCAGAGATTGTACAAAGTAGTGATGCTCTGACAATACCTTTGGCGAAGACTGTGACGGAAATCAAACTGCCCAGAGCGCCTCTCGTCAATCTATCCAGCAATTTGGATGATGCGGACGAAGATGACTTGTACCTTGAACTTCGAAAGGTGGACATCTTGCAGCGATTGAAGAAGCTTGCCAAGCTTAAGCTTACATATTTGTAAATACTTTTGTCTGTGATTAGTTCTGCAATTGGCCAATAGTATCTCTGTTCTGGAAATGACCGATATGGACTGCATACATCGCGACATTGTCAGTATCATCCTTGAAGCGAAGACTGCCAATGTCATGTTAGTGAATGGCAGGAAGGTCTTTGTTCCAGCAAAAGGAAAGAACCGTTAAGGCAACATCCGAATAAGTTCAAGGAGAAGTAGTGCAGTGAACCTGTTGAATGCTCATGTCTGTATAGACGTAGGCAAGTGACGTATGGTTGTTCCCAGAGAAGGCTTCTTAAGTCAGTTTCTTTATTATTTTTTTATCTGCTGAACATTGTGAAGAAACAATAGCTTTGTCCAGGTGAGTGCATTCACCATGGTATTCTTTGTAACTATCTTGGCTTCACTCGGGAGGTCCCTTCAGTATAGACGCAATCTACCGCAATATACCGCACCAGAGAAAGTGGCACAGGTTTGTGGAAGACTATATAAACACGTAGTTTGATAACAAGCTAGAGCTCCTTGTGCACTCTACACCATATCCTCGTGCTTTTTGTAACCTTTTTCTGCGCAATTGCTGCTACATATCTACCCTACATCATATCCCACAATCCTCATACATTTACATCCAACAGAGAAACAAACGCCCATGTCCATCCTCAAGCTTCCCAATGAGCTTCTGCTCAAGATTGGTGATGCTTGCGAAACCCGCAGGGACCTGAGTGCCCTGAGCCGTACCAATTCCTCCATGTACCAGCTCTTGAACAGACAGATGTACCGCAATGCGCTGAGGGAGCATGATGGCAGGATCTTCCTAGAAGCGCTTAGAGACAAGAAAGACGACCTCGTACGCGGACTAGTCGAGGTATCAAACACCATTCAAGGCTTCTCATGGATGAAGTTCTGCTTCATCTGGTATGATGGAATTACCATTCGAGGAACCGTCCGCTTCCTAATTGCACGAGAACAAGACCTCGACATCCACGCGCCAAGCCCCTTCAATGGACAAATGATGCTGAAGAGCATCGTCGAAGAATCTGACGGTATAGCCATTGACATGCTGATGGAGTGGAAGGGTGACGAACTGCTATCCGAGCCAGCGGCCACCCAACTTCCCTTCGTCAACTACGCCGCCAGACTTGGAGACACCGACATCATCAGAAGACTGCTGAGTTATGGCTTCCCAATCGACTTCAGAGACGAGCAGGATCGGACCCCGCTGATGAGCGCAGCGGCCAACGGGCACGACATGGCGGTCAGGATGCTGTTGGAAAGCGGCGCCTCGGTGTTCCTGACAGACAGACACTACGGGCTCACGGCGCTGGGCTGGGCTCTGCGTCGAGGCACAAGCGTCGCATCTGTCAGACTTTTGCTCATGTACGGCAGCGACCCGAACATGCATGACAAGCACAACAGACATCTGGTCCTCACCCCGCTGCACTCGGCATTCAAGGGCGCCATTATGCCCCTTCTCTGGGCCGGCCTCTCGTTCACCGACGACGAACTTCATATACCACACTTCATGTTCGATTTTGCCTGCCTGTACGGCCTCGACGACGTGGCGCGGTGGGTCTACAGGCGGTGGCCGGCGCTCGTGAAGACAAACGGCGGCAGCCTGCCGTGGTATTTCCTTCTCCACGCGGTGCAGGGTATGTCCATCCGGGTCGTGAGACAGTTGCTGGAGTGGGGGGCCGACCCAAACCTGGGCGGGCCGTGGGACGAGTCGCCGCTCAATTGCGCGCTGAAGTATGAGGATATAAGGGCCGTGGTCATCGTCAAGGATCTGTTGAAGTATGGGGCCGACCCCAACGTCGTCGATAAGCTCGGCAGCCCGCTGCAATTCGCGCTGAGGTTCGAAAAGGAGCGCTCGATTGTCCTCTGCAGGCTCTTGCTGGCGTTCGGGCTGGACCTGCGTCGGCATCGTCGCGCGAGCGTCGCCGTGCTGCTCTATCTGGCCGTCGATGCGAATGATCTTGACATGGTGAGGCAGATGGACGAGCAGGGGGTGAGCATGAATCTCGCTTCGGAGAGCCTCCCGCTGCCTATCATCCAGGCTATGGAGCATGGGTATGTCTCGCTTGTGAACTATCTCCTCTGCCGTGGCGCGAGATATGACGTTGCCAACCGCCATGGTCAGACTGCCCTGACTTGGGCTATTGTGAATGGCCACGTGGACACAGTTCATATCCTTCTGTTTTTTATTGATTTGGAAGAGCGGAGGGATGAGATCGAGTCTGCGTTGGTGACGAGTTTGCTTCGTGGCGATGATCGAGTGTATCAGGCTCTTGTTCGTGCAGGATTTGACCTGCCAGAGGACCTTATCGGTATCCAGCATCTCTTTGGAACTGCCTAGATGTGAATGGGAGAAAGGAGTTTGTGATAGAGGTTGGCTTGGAGTTTGGAGTTTTGTGAATTATGGGTTTGTTCTGGTGTGCTCTAATACTAATAACTAATTGTCAAAGCTCAACGAGACGCTGTATCAGAATCCAGATGTTTGGGGCTCCTATGTGACGCTGTCCATGATCCTAAGTGCATAAACATAAAGTACCTATAAGCCAGTTGTAATAGATACTCTCTGATTCTGTAGAGACTGTACTTTCCAACATTTCGCAGTACCTCCGTAACCGAAGACCTCTATATAGAAAGGTCAAGCAAACGGTCCGTTGTTGTTCGTCTTTTCGAGACCATACAAAGTGCCATAGCTTCACCTTCTTGATTAAACGATACTCATTGAATTGCTTCAAAGTCATCGTTCTCCATCTGTAATGACTTATGATCTACCTACAATGAGTGATAGAATTCAGCATAAGACCGTAGTGAACCTCCTCTCCAAGATGAATGTGTGATCATGAATATACTCCCCCGATGGGCCCTTTTCTTCCCACCTTTTTGTTCTGATCTTCTATATATATCTCCTTCTCTCCCCCTCATCTCCAGACCTTCTTTCTTCCTCTTCATCCTCTTCCTTTCTCACCTACCACTAGGTGCTTTGGCACTTGTTGATAGCGTGATGGTCACTTTCAAGCGTCAGTTCTTAAAAGTATTCCCCGTTTTCTATATCTTCCGACCCTCCGAGGGTCTTATCCCTTCGTCTCTCTCTCAGGCCCGTACATCTTCAGGCCTCGAATTCTTGAGAACTATCCATCACCTCGTTTCTACATCTTGTGTACCTCTAGGTGTCTTGGCACTTTTCGGTACTGTAACGGTTGGCCTGGCCCGCAAGCTCAGACTAGCCTCGGGCTATTCCTGACATTCGCAAAAGATGTCAGAACAGGTAAGCCATCCCGAATGATTAGCACATCAGACAGACCAGAGCTGACATCTTCCACCAGGGTGACATCACCCAGAGCTTTGATGAGCCCAGGGCAAGTTCGCAAGATAACGAACCGACCGTTGATCAGGTAAGAATCTCGAGGCGTTCAACAAGGATCAGTGCTGACTTTAGCATCAGGCCGGGTCATCTTGCCCGAGGACACCAATGTCAAGTTGGCTATGGGCATCCCCCAGCAGTCGGGCCCGCCCAACGAATGGAAGCCCAGTGGGTTCACTGTGGCCGGATATGTTGAAGACGCCGCCGCAGAAGACATCCAAGTTGTCTTCTAGGAGACCGTCTCGAAATTAATCAACGAGGAAGAGGCCACCGTCACACACGGAGGAAGTGTCAACTTCGAGATAAACGAAGCGCCAGTGAAGCGGCAGGTGAACGCACTGGTCAAGCTCCAGTCGAATGAGAACGGGGTTGGTCGATGGCTTGATCTTTTTCTCAACCAAGAATGCAATGCATTGCCAGATGTAGACCTCCTACATGGCATAGACAACAGCGTGGTCAACGCTGCGTTGGCTCGACTTCTTCGCCTGAGAAAATGGAACGCACAGCAGAAAGCTGCGTTCAGGTCCCTTCGTCGTACGAAAGGGGGCTGTGCCATTCTGGAGGGATTCCTGGGCTGCGGCAAGACCAGTGTCCTGGCCGCCACGGCCATCTTCCTCCATCGTTGCGGATTCAACGTCTTTCTCGTCGTTGAAAGAGCTCAGTTCGATGAGCTTAGCGCATTGGATCCTATCCAGTACGTGCGTATTCGTGGAGAGGTTGAAAAGAGGGCTAGAACATCTGCCAATCCGCTGGAGCCCGGTGCAGTCGTCGAGGAGAGCCTGGAACTCGAGAAGCACATCGCATTGATTGGTCACCTACAGGCCCTCAAGTTATCACTATCCAGAAGAGCGGAAGGAAACCCCGAGTACACTCTCTTGACACATGTCATGCGCAAGTGTATCGAACCAGTCACCAATGGTGGCGGATATTGGTGAACGTTGTGCCAGGGGCACAGATATGTTTCTGTTGCCATGGATGTTGTCGAGTCTCTCGTCAACCGTGGTGCTCTGAATGGAGTTACGTGCGCTATCATTGCCACATACTCCGAACAGAAGAAGGAGTACATTGGAAGGATGATGAGGCTCTCCGAGGGTTTGAACATTGCCTGGAAAGAAATGGTCAAAGTCGCCACTGTCGATTCTAAGGAAGGCCACGAAGCCGACGTCGTCGATTTGGATTAGGTTGTTGATTCAGGAACGAAATCCGGCCCAGGATTTGCGTCCGACAACCGCCGGACAAAAGTCGCTCTAACCCGAGCACGATCATGCCTGATCGTCGTGGCAAAGGGGGAGATCATCAACAAAGGTTGCCTCAGTCAGGCAAAACCGAGAGAGAATACTCCCGAGGTTCTCGTGCATTGGAGATTTCTCCTTGACCGCGAACTGATCGTTAACTGCCCCGCTCGTCTGGGGTTTTGCCTATCATCACTGTCACATCCCAGCCAGCTTGGGGTTCCTTCCAGCGAATGTTACCACGTTAACACAGATCTACCAGGATATCGCTCGGCTCTAGTAAGCCATTGCACATCTAAATGGCAATAGACTGAATCGCCACTTCCATGATAAGTTCGAAAAGGGAACCAAAGGTGAAAAGTGGTAGAAAAATCAAGAAATGGTCGTATTTAGCATCGCAAGGCCCAGCATCTTCAGACCTATAGGGTGTGGCATTTGTCGAAAGCCGCAGGTATGATGGGCAGACATAATCGTGCGTTGACGGAGTACGAAAAGGACGAGCTCAGTATGATTTTAGCAGTTCATTGACAATCCTCTCGTCCACTAATGTGTACCTAAATTCCTGAGAGCTCACCTCTCGCTCAAATACTGGTCGGCCCGTTGCTACCAGTTTGCTTGAACGTCTCTCCAGCATTTGTCTTTTCTTCAGTCCGTTCGATTATACTCAACAAGCCCAAATTCATCGTATATAATGTAATGTTCTGGATGGATAGCGTTGATCTTGTATTCCTTAGGTAGCTGTTATATGATTTCAGGATTCTCACCCACAATTAACAGTGGTTAGCTAGTCAGCTTGGCCATCGCTTCCCTCTTTCCTACCAGGATGCAGCCCCCACACATACGCATCCATAAGAAGTGCACTATTCGTATCTTTTGTCTCCTTCGGATTCAATTTGAATTGCCCCTCATATTGAAGTCTCATATGCAAGTACTTTTTCACCTCCCTCGGCACCAGTCCATCCGGATAGATGGAACGGTAAGCTTTGACCTCAAGCCGGTAACCCTTATACCGCGCACAGCAGTCACATAAAGGCGTACAATGACCAAAACGCCCTCGGCTACTCGTGGTGCCTCGTAGCTTCTCAGAGCAGCCACATGACCGAGCACAACATCCCCCGTTGGCAGCACATCGACCCTGAAGCCAGTCCCTGAGGTGCCCGTCTAGATCGCGTTGACGAGATGTCATAGCGCGGTATAGTGGTGTGTGTCCCATTTTTCTCTTTAAGAGATTCATCACTCCTTCAGCGGCTCGGATGTTGTCTCTGTATTTTCGAAGACTCCGCTCCAAATCCCCCCGTTGTTTTTTGTAACGGTCCATCTCAGCAAGGCCGTCTGGGGACTGACGCCTCCTTTCGTTATAAGCATTTAGCACTCTCTCGTGCGCCTGTGTTACCAGATGTACAACCTCTTCACACCTGAAGTATTCGGAAATATATTGCCACTGATCTTCGGTAAGCCCAATAAGTTGATGCTGTAGTTTGCGGAACTTTTGAGCATTCTCCCATCTTCCCGAACTCTCGAGCCTGGCCTCTATCGGCTTGCAGATGGCACTACTGGTTTTAACCAGCGTGCGTCGCACGGGGTCCGGTATAGACTTAATAAGCTTCATATTTCGAACTCAGCAAGTTGTCAAGAAGGAAGAGTACAGAACCACCTTGTTTGGGCACGATTGGGCATTTTATACATCGAAAGACGTAGGCAGATGCGAATATACATGCCATAATTGCACATCCCTGGATCATCTACCAACAGCATCTTTTCCAACCTCCCATAATATGACGTACTAACGATGAAATTTTCCGTGAACTATGACGATATCTAAGGCATACACTAGTGTGCTGAGACACTACATAGAAGCTGCAAGATTGCCGGCGCATCTGTAGAATAATTTCAATCGATGCGAAAGATATATGGTGCGCCAGACACCAAATAAGGGCCACTTCCATCCCTATATGATTCTTCAACGTCTGTCCGTCAGATATCTCGTAGTGTCGATTCAGCTTGTTACCTACCGTCACCATCCTGCGCAGAAGTCCAGCGTGTGAATCTCAACTCTGATCACTCATACGCATTCTCTCCACTGGAATGTTCAGTTGGGAATAATGGGACACATCATTCATTCTGTCTGTTTGCATCGGGCGCCAGTCACTCTGGGGCAAGAATCATGTTATACAGATTCCTGCAGCGACCGATGTGGGCTTGATTCATCGAACAATGCAAATATAGCATGAATGGGGTAGGGGATGAATTCACCTATGGCCGTCGCGGAGACAAAAATGCATCGTTCTTCCCCCTGATCTGACTCTTTCTTCCTCTACACCTCTCTGGAATTGCCTCGTATTACCATGCACTTTGGCCTTGACTTTGTCAAAGACGTTGACTGCCTTGTACGCTCGGCATGAGCCTAACAAGATTGAAAGCGGTTAAGATACGTAAAGACCAACGCGACCCCCATGGTCACCCATCCAGCGGTTGCTGATTGTACAAGGCCCCAAGTCATGACCTGCGTGTCGCGCGGTAAGTCGTGTCTCCCCTTATTCCAGGGAAGGCAAGCTAATGCATAATCGGGGGGCTTCAGTTAAGGTATTTGGCGTGACCATCCGCATTGATTTCCATCATGTGGGTTCCTTGGAACACTTCGTCAAATTTGTGATAATCCACCAGCATCTGTTGCTTGGGATGCTTATCGCACCAAATCTGGGAAGATTAGATACATCCATGGCAAGCAGATGCTCCGAACAATGGGGCAGTGATTTGGTGAAGTCCCGAGCGGAGGACCAATCCACGATGACTATTACCGTAAGGTGCCAGCGCCCAGAGGTGCTTTGGGCTGATGGCAGATGGTTGGATTGGAGACGACTACAGTCTTAACGAACCTGCATTTTTCAGGTCGGCAGGGTACAGCTGCCTGGTTCAGTGAGAGGTATGTATACGCAGCTTCTATCCAAATTCAGCTTCAGTAGTATGCAAGAAGGCTGAGACTTCCAGATTCGCCAGCAAGAGCATGCTCATGTCTGATTGTTGTGGCAAATGGCATCAACAATAACAGCCGTACTGAGACATGCCCGAGAAGGACCTCTCACAATGTTCTCGTCCGTTGGAAATATCTCCTTGTTACCAGTAGAACAAATTTGGATGCCAGCTAGAGAGATCACTTTCTGATCGACTCCGTTGTACTGGTTTCCGGACACGGTATTGCCCTTATGGAAGGCCTAGGTTCTCCTTCCCTTTCGTGCTTTCACATCGCAGTTTCCATTCAAAAGGTTTTTAACGCCATTTATAAGGCTCACACTTCTTCCTCCTCTTTCCGTCTTCTCCATCTGCACCATTGTTGTCACCAGCCGCTCTATTATTCTTCAACCTATCTAGGCATTATCGTTCCATGGGCTTCGCCCACCCTGTCCCCACGCCCTCGGTGCCGACGCCCCCGGTCTCCCTGCCACCCAAGACATGGGTGGTAATCTCGTTTACAGGGCCCTTGCTTGGGGCGGCGATCTTTTGCTGCGTGTTCCTCATTGTGAGGATCATCACGATCTAGTATGTTAGATTATATCAGACCTTTGGCAAGTTGAAGCTAACACAAGATCATTATAGCTTCCCGGAGCGGGGGGCCTATACCCCCAAGGACATCGAGGAGCTCCGGGTTCACATTCACATTCGCACTTTACTTTGAACATGCCGGCCATTCCACCCCAGCCCTCAATCCCGACCATCGCCATGGCGTCAATGCCGGGAATAACTTGCACCGCACACGGGCCTTGGTGGGGCCCGATGATCAACTATATTGTTGCGGCCATTGTGACTGCATATGCCTTGATTCGGTTGTCTGGTGGTGGTTTTCTATTCGAGTTCGGTGAGTACAGAAATAATATTGTCCCGGGGCTATACACTGATGTTCGGTACAGTTATTGACTTTACCGATGGCAAGCCAGTTGTGGATCTCTCCGTTAGCCGACAAGCAGACACCAGCTACGAGTTCAGACATCTGGCCTACCGTCGATCCTGGGGTATGCTGGACTCCTAGGGTATTGAATGTTGCCCATACTAATATGACGTGTCTTAGGCTCTGAAGGGACAACTGTTGGTCCCCTCAGGTTAAGTCTCTGAGTCTCCTGTTGCCACCAATAACACGGCGAAGAATGTACCAGCAAGTAATTGACAGGAAATCCTGCTGAAAAGAATACTCGGCGGAGAGACTGCAAAGGAAACAATCAACGTGACCAGGGGTATGATGGAGGAGACACACAATGTGGGCTTCTAGAACTCGCACAGAGTCCAGAGCGTCCCCGAGTTGTCGTACCCAAGTAAATTGAAGAAGCTGTGTTGGAATGGTGAAGGAACACACCCGATATCCTATCAACGGAGGCACCTAGTGTGAAGAACTGTCTATTACGCTACCAGAAATGCTAAACCCAGTGGTTGTACGAGGTGTAATATCGAATCCGCTCTTAGTGTAGTAGACAGTTTTTCCTTGAACATGCTGACACCATGTGCTAACATGCCGTATGATATAACTTCACATGCATACATAAGACTTCACATGTCTACAGCTAGTTACCCTAAGCATCAGGCCACCCACGTGGGAGGACCATAATTGGCATACCTCGCGGGGGCTCGCAAGCACTTCTGAAAGGGGAATCTAACCGTCCGGCGCCGGCTTGGCTCCTCCACGAATGCGGGGAGATCATCTGCTGTTGCACCATTTGAATGGATCTGGAGAAGATGTGAGCCTATGGGCCTGTTTCTCACCACAGCTTATAAAACCCATATGGGGTCCATCGTGGGGGAGCACGAAATCATCTCGATCACCATCGCCCACCATGATCGAAGAATTCATCACCCAGATGAGCCCCGGGAGAGCCGCTCTCTGCTTTCTCGGGGCCCTGGTCGTGCTGTTCACGCTGCGCAAGATGCAGGTGTCGATGAAAATTGCCCGTCTGGGGGGTAGGGCGCCCCAAGTCCGGTTCTATCTGCCATATGGTACGTGGCCAGAATTCAGGTCGTCCTGGAAGCGCTCAACGTGCGCTAACAGGTCTATGTCGTAGCCATGGATTTCATCTACAGGTCTTCCAAAGCCAACAGGGAACACAGAGACCTCGAATTCTTCACCGAGGCTATGAGAACCGCCAAAGGGGCTGCTGCACTAGACAATCCCAAGACAGCCGAGGTCAACGCGGGGATGGCTGCACGGGTCATTTTCACCAAAGATCCCGAGAATATCAAGGCGCTTCTCACCGGACAGTTCGCAGACTACGGCAAAGGCGAGTCGTTCCATCAAGACTGGAGAGAATTCCTCGGCGACAGTATCTTCGCCACTGATGGAGAACTCTGGTCTCGCTCGCGACATCTCATTCGCCCCATGTTCGTTCGTGACCGGATTGTCGACACGGAGATCTTTGAGAAGCATGTCCAACATTTGATTCCGCTCTTGGAGGGCAGTAGCTCGCCTACGGGGAGCAAAATTGTCGACGTGGGAGAGCTCTTCTTTCGCTTTACCTTGGATGCTTCAACCGACTACCTCCTTGGACAAGGAACCGACAGTCTCCAGAACCCGGAAACCGAGTTTGCAGAAGCCTTCCGATATGTTCAGCACCGTCAGGCCTTGTTTTTCCGGATGGGGTAAGTCAAAGCTTTGTCCATGCAAACTTGCTACAGCTGTAACTAACCCGCACACAGCGTATTTGGCCCTTTGCTGTCTCGAAAGAAGTTCCGCGAGCAGCTCAAGGTGATGGATGACTTCATTCAGCCCTACATTGACCGAGTCCTCTCTCTATCCACCGCGGAGCTGGACCAGAAACTGTCCAAGAAGGAAACCTTCCTCGACGCTCTTGCCCGCTTCACGCGCGATCCTCGCGTTCTCCGGGACCAACTTGTCGCCGTTCTCCTCGCCGGACGAGACACAACCGCCGGAACCCTCTCCTTCTGTCTCTTCGAGCTTTCTCGCAACCCTGAAATCGTCGCGAAGCTGCGCGAAGAAATCCGCTCCCGCGTCGGCCTCGGTGCCAACGGCCAGAAGCCGACCTACAACGACCTCAAGGAGATGAAGTACCTGAACGCCGTCCTAAACGAGACCATGCGACTGTACCCCATTGTCCCGTTCAACGTTCGCTTCTCGCTCCGCGACACGACCCTACCGCGCGGTGGAGGCCCCGACGGCCGCGCCCCGATCGGCGTGCTTGAGGGCACCAGAGTCATCTACTCGACGATGATCATGCAGCGTAGTCCGGAATTCTACCCGCCCCCGGGGTCGCCCAACTACTTTGATCCGCAGAAGTGGCATCCTGAGCGCTGGATTTCTGGCTGGCAGCCCAAGCCGTGGCAGTTTATCCCGTTCAACGGTGGGCCGCGCATCTGCATCGGACAGCAATTCGCAACAATCGAGATGGGCTACACTGTCGTTCGGATCTTGCAGGCGTTTGAGCAGGTCCAGGGGATTCCTGCTGCGGGCAAGAATCGGATTGAAGACCCGGTGCTTCAGTTTGAGGTTACGCTCAGTCCTGGTTCAGAATTGAACTGCATTTTTGTCAGGGATGGTGAGGGTATCAAAGAATCTGAAACGGGTTAGGCTACGATGGATATCTGTTTATATACCAGGCGGTTATTTTGCCATGAACTGTAATGTGAAATACCATGGTTGATACTGAATATCTTTCGTCCATTGGAGAAATCAAGTTATCGATGATTTATGGCTGGACATGTATTCTTCTCGAACTAATCAAGAGACAACGACTCGGAAAAGAAATTGACAAAGCCTTTTGCTGAATCCCTACCGTTCTATCGCTCCAAAGGGCACGCAAAGGCAGCTGAACAAGCTAAAAAACAAGGTTAGGGGGGCTCGGCAAACATGAGTCAGTGGAATGTGAGCCTGTGCGCGCCTCAATTGATATAAGTTCGAACTATACCAGAGTACAGAGCTCCGCATCAAGTGCAACCCCTATGATGGATCTCTCCTATCAGCGCGTCGCCGACTTCCCAGAGTTCCCCAAAGCAATCCTCAAACATCTCTCCGGGGACGACCTTCTTCTCACGCAACGCGTCAGTGGGAAATAGCGCGACATCATCTCGCGGTCCTCTACGTTGCAGAAAAGGCTCTTCTTCCAACCCATACACACAGACCATCCAGCAGCGCAAAAACTAGAGGTGACAGCGGATTCACTACTGCGGGAAATGTACCTGAAGTTCCTTGACTTCACCACTCGACCAGGACGGCGACATGCTGTTTTCCCGCAGAGGACGTTGATTCCATGCCTGGCTGCACTGCGCCAGGGCAGTCGAGCTCTGAGACCAAGCGCGGTCCAAATCTGAGCGTTGACAACGGGCTATTCTCCTCCCTGAGGCGTCATGGCGCCGCATGTTTCCTACGCAGCCGGCGCGCCGGCTCGGACGTATGGGGTAAATCGAGCAGCGCGGCTGTTATGGAAATACAAAGTATAAAATCTGGCTTTGGAAACGGTATCAGCACTTGCAAGAGCAGGTGAGGAGAATGCGTTTGATCTGGGATGTAGTAGTGTTTGTTCTGGATGATAATACCAAAGGCAGTTTTCGCATTTTCGTGATGGGGGACGGGGTTTGAAAGCAGCACCGACAATAAAGACGACTAGACTCACTGGCCTCTTGATTTTGAAGGTAATAAGGAGCATGTGAAGAATTGCTTTCGTGCTGATGAATCGTACGAGCCGTATGGATTGACGGTGGTGGATCGGGAGGAGGACATTATTGAATACGATTGCTGAGAGGATATCAGCGAGTTGGAAGCGGTGCCTCTCAGCAGGAGGAAGGGCAGTGACTCGAGAGATGAGGAAAGTAGTGATGAGTTTTGGTCTTCTATGTATTCATTCTTACGATCAAACATCATTCACGGGGACCTCCATGGCTTGGGAGCGACTATCTAGGGCAGAAAGCAAACAGAATATTGGAAGATTGAGTACTGACCTGGAAGCTAAGAGCATATGCATTCACTGCCAACTTTTCCTAGGTGAAAATTTTTTCTGACGTTCTGTTACCCTCTCCTCTGTTCCTCCCAGTCCTCCCTATAAAAGGCCTCTCCTCCTCCTCTCCCAGGTTCGCCATATCAAAGACCATCTCCTTTCACCTCACCTTTCCATCGCACCTCTGTTTTCCTTCTTCTTCTTCTCCTCCTCCTTCTTCTCCTTCTTCTTCTACTTCTTCTACTTCTTCTACTTCTTCTACTTCTTCTACTTCTTCTACTCCCTCTCTTTCTCACACCCAGTCCTTTCTTCCCCCTCTGTCGCCCCTCATATCAAAGACCCTCTCCTTTCACCTCACCTTTCCATCGCACCTCTGTTTTCCTTCTTCCTTCTTTCTTCTTCCCTCTCTCTTTCTCATACCCCCTTCCTGCCTTCTTTCTCTCTAGTCCCTCATATCAAGGACTCATCTCCTTTTGACCTCACTTTGCTATCGTCTTCTGTCTGTCCCGTCTGTGTCTTCTCTTCCTCTTGTTTTCTCCTCCGTGTTTTCCATCTTCGCGTCTTCCCACTCTGTTGCTTCTTGTTTTCTTGTTTTCACCTTCGTGTTGTTTATCTTCGCGTCACTGTATCTCCTTGCCTCGTCATTGTGTCTTTTCATCTTCGCGTCTTCTGTTAATCTCCACTCTGTTGCTTCTTGTCTTCTTGTTTTCTCCTTCGTGTCATTTATCTTCTCGTTACTTCTTCTCATAGTCATTGTTGTGTCTTTCTCACCGGGTGAGTGACATTCCATTGTGCCTTCCTTCTCGGAGTTAGCAAGTTAACGAGCAGCTAGGATCATGGAGGACATCATCTATCAAGACCAGCATTCGGAGGATGGTAAGAGTGATGTGAGTCTCTAACAATCCTGTTGGTTCTGACCCTTCAAATACTAACATCGAGATTTAGGTTAGCGACGATGGCCCCAACGAGTACGCGGGTGAAGTCGCAGTCCCCGTCAATGAAATCAACGAGTGGTGCACTTCGGCAGACGCTGGTCCGTCAACTGACAACCAACATGCCGCGAGCATTTCACATGATGACTCTGTAAGTATTCTGGTCTCTTTACTTGACACACTGTCTAACAACGTTTTTTAAGCAGGAGCCTTCTGGAGATAATATTCCCAGCAATCTTGTCGAGGCCAACAATCCTCTGAATGAAGTCAACGAGTGGTGCACTTCGACAGACGCTGGTCCGTCAACTGACAACCCGTCAACTGACAACCAACATGTGGCAAGCATTCCACAAGAGAATGCCGTAAGCATTCTAGTCCCTTTACCTGACACACTGGCTAACATCGTTTCTTAAGCAGGAACCTTCCGAAGATGATGTTCCCGGTCTTCTTGTCGAAAACAATCGGGACCCTACGCAAAACATTCTGGTGGAACTGAGCGCTTCGAAAACCCCAGACTGGAACTTTTTTCAAGGGCCTATGGAGAGATACACTCGATTTGAAGTCAGCGAAGGTGTCTTTCTGCCCCCTACATCATCACCTGTCGCTGGCGATGTCTTTGTGAAGGTCTCTATCCGGTTTCGCCCCGTTGCAGGGAGGTTGATATTTGAAGTTTGGATTCCCAATCCCAACTTCCAGGCTGACAAGTCTCTCGTCCATCCCGACAACATTCTGCACCGTGCGCGGCTGGAGTTTGACCTACATCCCCCCCAAGATGTGAACCTTCCACCCTGCGTGGATCAGATGGAGATTGTGGAGCATTTTCCTCTCGCGGGCAATGCCGACGAGACTGGTGTGCAACATGAAGATCCCTGCTTTGTCGACATCACATTCATTGCATCAAGAGGCATTTCGCGCGGACTCCTCGTTCCTGATGAAGCATTTAGCGATACAACCCGGGAACTTCTCTCTTTCCTCCGCTCATTCGCGGGTGCTCGCTCAAACAAGCCCCGCAAGATCAAATTCCGGGTTGATGTTGAACCCCAACACGTCTCCCGTCTCGAGGGATTTCTTCAAACAATCAGCCAAGTCCGTGATGATCCTCCAACTTCTGTCGCTTGGAATGCTTATCGCTCCAAGTCTGGCAATGTGAGATACATCCATGGCCAGCAAAAGCCCCGACAGATTGTACGTCAAGAGTGGGGCAGCGATTTGGTCAAGTTTAAAGCAGAAGACCACTTCCACGACTTGGATGAGTACCTCACAAAGATGGCGTACGGCGCTACTATTGAATGGTCCCGCCCCTATGTGCAAACAGACAGGGTTCAAGATATCCAGTGTTCGGTGACCGTGAAAGAATATGGTACAAGCGTCATTGCCATTGCTGAGCTCTCTAAGACTTCCTTTCGTGAAGCCAACTTGCCAGACAGCCTGAAGGACACCGAGCTGATCATTCCCCATGGAACCACCGTTCAGGTCATTGTGACTGTTCCCCAGAAGGGTGACAAGCCAAGGAAAGAAAAGACCAAGGGCATCACCATTCCCAATTACGCTGACTTTGGAGTCGGGAACGTCTACATCGCTCTGTTTGGTAGAAAGCTCCTGAGTTTGGCGCGGGACCAGTCGTGGACGGGACAGCTGCATTTTGAAGTCAACACATCACCCCTCAGACGGCAGTTGAATTGCCTTCATCTGTTGGATGGGGATGAATTGCGAAAGGAGAAGTGGATGCCAGTGATCCTCAATCAGGAACCGGCAGAGTTGGACGTCGTCGACCCCGTGGCTGATGTCGATGAAGATTCCATCAACGCTGCGTTCCAATACGTTTTCAACCTCAAGCCATGGAACACAGAGCAACAGAGCGCTATTCGCCTGGCAAGAAAACTCCCCGGACGCTTTGGGCTCATTCAGGGTTACCCAGGATGCGGGAAAACGGCCGTCATGGCAGCCCTTGCACTCTTCTACGTCAAATGCGGCTTGCATGTCATTCTTTGCGGAGCAAGCAACTCTGCAGTTGATGCACTTCTGAAAGAACTTCAGGCTCTCGAGCCCACCGCAGATGTCCTTCGCATTCGCCGAGGTGCAATTGAGTCACGAGCCAAGCTCCAGCACAACGCGGAAGAGCGAGCCGCTGAAGAGGATGAGCTTGAGGCGCATGCTGCAATCATCGGACTCTTGAAAGATATCGTGGATACCCAGAAGCGCAAAATTGAGGGGGAATTTCCTGACGCTACGGTTTTTCAAAAAGTTTTGGCCAAAGCTCGTCATGCCATCCAGAATGGTATTACCCTTCAGATCGACGTCAACACTTCTCCAAGTTCTTCTCCAGATGAAGAAGACACTGAGCACCGAGCTGAGCTCAAAGATGCGTACCAGATTTTTCATAAATACCTGAGTTCCCCGAGAGCTTCCAAGCCCAAGATGGGCGACTCTGAAAGGGATGCCTGGTATAAGAACGAGCGCGAATTCAAAAAGGCCTACGAGGCGATTTCAGCCGAAGTGAACAAGTGTTCCAAAATTGTCGCTTGCACCAACAATCTGGCAGGCACAGAACTAGTGAGGAAGCACTTTGCGGAAAGCAGCAACGGAATCATGGTTCTCGCCGACGAGGATGGTCAAGCGATCGAGATTGACGCTTTGATTCCTATTATGTACCTGGATGCCAGCAACAAAGTGAAGGGCACCATCCGTGGAGGCGACCGTCACCAACTCCCTCCACTTGTTCTCACTGCTCAAGAATCGCCAGGTTTTAACGAATTCGGTCCCCAAATTGCCACGTCGTTGTTCGACCGACTTCTCAAGAACAACTTCCCATCGGTCACGTTGTCTCGTCAGCATCGTATGAACCCGACTCTTGCGATGTTTCCATCGGCCTTCACCTACAAAGGATCAATGAAAAACGATCCTAGCGTGTCCCGACTTGTCATTCCACAGAATTTCGAGGCAGCTCTCCTGAGATGGTGCAAAGAGCACACTGGCCGACTTGTCAAGTCTCTCAACGGGAATACACTCGCTCTCCATGTGGATGGCACAACAAGCACGAACGCATTGACTTGCTCCCGCTCAAACAGCGCAAACGTGGCAGTCGCAATGGACCTCCTCGAATCGCTCGTCAAGGACGAAGCAAATACAGACTTATCCATCGCGATCATTGTCCCCTACGCCGACCAGCGAGTTCTCTACGTACGTGCCCTCCTCCAGATGGCAAAGGGGCTCGGCCGAGACATTCAGAGACACGTCAGCATTAAGACAATCGACAGTATCCGGGGTGGAGAAGCCGATGTGGTGATCCTAGACTGGGTCGTGTCTGGAGCTGAACGCAATGCTGATCTCGGTTTCACCAGAGACAATCGAAGGGCAAACGTCGCATTGACTAGAGCCCGTCTCTTCCTTGTGACTGTGTCCCACAGCGAGCTCTGTTCTCCCGAGGCTGCGCTCAATAAAATCCAGAAGCCAGTAGAGAAAGAAGCAGAGATTCTGGCTCACTGCAAGCAGTTCGGAGGAGACGCCATTAAGTGTTGTTGGAGTCACTGTCCTAAGTACTTCTTCGAGATTGGCTCCAACGACGCTCCCATTGACGACGCTCCCGTGGACGACGGAGAAGTCGCATGGTGACCACTCTCCGGCGGTTTCGCTGCAGGCTCAGTGGACCGAGAGGTACTCAGGGGACGTGTTCTTTGTGGCAGACGAAGGTTCTTGAGTTGATCGAGCATTATCGAATAGTAGCCTGTCCCAGTGGACGGACGAAAGTAGGTAGTTTCAGAATGATCAACATTAATTTGTCTCGTCAGAACTCCCATTTGGTAGTAATTTAGGACTTGCGATGGAAGGGGAGGGGCTTCATGGACATGCGGCTTTTTCAGATACCGAAATTCATAGGACAGTTGAAAGCCAACTTGCTGGCTGAAGGATCTGTGATAGAGGTTTGGATCTCTACCCCTATAATCTAGTCCCTGGATACATCAGGAGAGGGCCCAACCTCTGTCAAGTAGCGGCCAATTTATCTACCCTAGTGTTCGAATGTTCCATCGTGGGGCTTCATTGGAAGATCTTGCTTCTCTTGAGCTCCCCAGTGTTGGTATACTACTTCTACACATATCCCAAGTTGCTGGAGCCAAATCATACAACTATATGAACCAATCCCATAAATTTTGGAGGAACGACAGAAGGTAATATTCACATAGAACGAAATCCGCCATGCCATGTCTGCCAATCCCAATTTTGTCCGTGCAAGAACTCTTAACTGCTTGGGACCTGCACGAATCATCAACACTGTGTACAACTTGGAGAAGATTCAGCTACACATACCTTGAGCTTATCCCAAGTGGTCTGGCCTGGCCAGCCATCGGCATCGGCGCCGGTGAACCCGAGTTTCTCTTGCCAGCACTGGTAGGCTGCTTTGTCTTCATCGGTCCATTGAGTGGAAGGGCCGCTGCTATACTTATCACAGTCCTCCTCCACCAATCTCTCCCCCATGGCCTTGATTACCGGACTGTTAGGTTTAGAGTGGAACCATTCTGCGCCTGGAAAATCCACATAGTTTCCACCATCACCACCGCCGCCGCTGCCGCTTCCGCTGCCACCGCCGCCAGATGACCCCTCAATAGGAACACCGCGCGCAGGGATCTCCAGGATATCACCAACAGTCAGGTTATATGGGGCCTTCAAATCGTTCACTTGGACAATATACTCCTTGGGGACGTTGTATTCTGCCTCAAGGTCATCCAGGGTCTCGCCCTCAGCCACAGTATGTTCACCACCGTCATACAGCTTGCCGGGATCCAAGCTTCCATCCTGGACCAACTTGTAGAGCGGCCCGCCAGGACACTCAGTGTTGTATCCGTCCTTGTGGCCCTTGATTTCGTCGCCCGCTCCCGCGCGCCGCAGATACGCAATCGCGTCCTGGAGGGCCGTAACCTGCTCGTCCGTCGGCTCCGTCACGCCCTCCTTCGCGAGGAACGTCAACACCGCGTAGTGCTCCGCGTTGAGCGTCTGGTCGCCGTTGGCTCCGCTGCGGTGGCCCTTGCCGCGTCCGTCGAACACGTATCCGTGCTCGCACACGGCCAGGTTGTACGCGATGTCCATCCAGCCCTGCGTCGGGTCGCTCATGTGCATCTCCTGGATCGACTTCATGTATGCGCCGCATTCGGAATGTTCCCGGCCGGAAAAGCTGGGTCCCAGATAGTGCACTTTGACGCCCTTGGCGTTTGTCATTGCGGTGTACTCGCCGTCGGGTGCCGCGGCGCCCCATTCCTCCCGGGTCACGAAGCGCATGGCTGCGACGCCCGGGATGAGGGCGGTGGAGGAGAGTGCGGTGAGAAGAGTAAGGATTTTGGAAGCCATTGTGTGTGTGGGTTGAGATTGACTTGGTTGGAAGGTACGGGGGATCCCAAACTTATATGTGTATCATCAAGCGGGTTCACCAAGATCATCTGGAGAATGATCTTCAGCATCTCGTATCTTGACATCGCCGGCCGTAGTGCGCCTCTTGGCATGGAGGTATCGATGTTCTCCGTTATGGGTTCGGTCTCGCATTTTGAGTCTAAAAAAAGAGTCCCGCAGTGTAGCCATGCTACGTCGTGCCTGCGCATGCAGAGAACTGGCCGTCAGGCCAAGACCGATTGTATACGAGATAGGATGGACTCGAGACCCGATACATACTGGTCCGACAGCGCTCAGGGACGGAGAAGATAATTATGGAGAATGTCTTGTGAAGGTGACGATTGTCCTGTCGATCAGGTCAAATATAGCCCATGCCAAGGCGGACACGAGATAGGGCGGGACCAAGAGGATGCGACCTCGTATTTCTTTTGGAAGGTGATATGCAGGGACTGTACTCCATGAAGATTTCAACAAGCGTTCGTTCAGTGTAGGGCAGGAGGAATTGCCGTCGGTCATTGTAGTCGGTTACTCCGAGTACTCTCTCGATATATATCCGTACGGTCGAGTATCCAGCTGTGACGTGGAAAGGTAGAACCTTCAAGTCAGTGTATGGCTGACTCTAGCAGAAGGATAGGACCCTCATATCGCATATCTGCGTCAAGCCAGAGACTTGTTGATATCCAACTTTCAACTCTGGCAGTCCATCTGGAGATGTACAGGATGTTGTAGATGGTTATCACGTGACCATGACAAAACACGTTGCCGCCACAGTTCCACGTGACGTGGCTGGAGAAAATGGAGGTTGAGTCTTTCATCATTGCTCGGGCAAAGGTTTCTTGGAGACATCTGCTTCAAACATCCCACTCTTCTCTTTCTTTCCTCTCCATCCCTCGTCGCGTGCGATCTTCTATCGAATATCGTCCGGACCTAATCCTCCCTCTTCCAGCTCTCCCTCTCCCTTCATTCCACCTGTCGAACGGGTGGCGCAGGTGCCGGACCTCCTTCGTTTTCTTATCCGAATCTTCGTCCCTTTTCTTCTTTGACCACCCCTCTCCGCCACCATGACGACGACAGTTGCCGCGAACACTCCTCTGGCGGATGCCTTGAGCAATGTCATCCCACCCAAGCTGGTTGAAATGGGCTGGAGTTCCGATGGAGGTGACGACTCGGCTTTGACCGAGTACGTGATCCTCATGCTCGTCAACGGCAAGACCCAAGAACAGATCGCCGGTGAACTCTCCAACGACCTCCTCGGACTCGGAGAAGGCGACACGCAAGCACTGGACTTTTCGAGATGGTTATTCGAGCAAGTCGAATTGCTCAACCGACAGATCAACGGCGGCGCAACATCGAATGACACCGCGGAGCATGCCTTTCCCTCCGCTGCTGATCAGCAGGCGCCTTCGCATGATTACGCTGCGGGAGGCGGTGCGATGGATGCTGATATGAGCATGGGCGACGCAGGTTCTGGCAGTGATGCAATGTTAGTTCCCTCACCCTCACGTCATGGGTCAGCGGACCAAGTTAACAGCAAGAACAACAGCCCGACAGGACCTAAAGCGATGCGCAACAACCGCCAAGGTGGAGGACGGGGCAGAATGCTCAATCAAATCAACCGTACCCTGGACCGAAATGACCCTCTGCACCGGATTCGTGGTGGCCAAGGCGGCGCCGGCCGCATTAACTCCCATGGACGCGACCACAAGGGCCGCTTCAACCAGAATGGCGGGAACCGGATGGGTGGCCGTCAAATGGGTGGAATGGGCATGGGCCCGAATCCGATGGGCGTCCCCGGCAATATGATGAACATGAGCCCACAGGATCAGATGCATCTGATGTCTCTCCTCGAGGAACAGGCGAGAATGATGTCCCAGTTCATGCCCGGATTTGTCCCTCCAGCGATCAACCCCGCTTTCCAGCAGAATGGCCCGCAACAAGGCCGCTCGTTATTTGACCGCGTAGAACGACACCCGGGCCGTCGGCAACATGGTGGCTTTGGTCGTCGGGAGGAGAAGGCAGACACGGAGATGGATATGAAACCCGACCAGGGCGCGGGCGAGCAAGACGAGAGCAATACCAACAATGTGTGCCGGTTCAATCTGCGGTGTACCAGAAGGGATTGTCCCTTTGCGCACCAGTCGCCCGCGGCCCCCGAGGGTACTCCGGTCGATGTCAACGATGAATGTCCCTACGGGGCCGCGTGTAAGAACCGGAAGTGCACTGGTCGTCATCCTTCGCCTTCCGTGAAGACCGCACATCAGGCCGAAGAAATGTGCAAGTTCTTCCCGAACTGCGCCAACCCAAATTGCCATTTTAAGCATCCGTCCATGCCGCTGTGCCGCAACGGAGCGGATTGCTCGGTGTCCGGGTGCAAATTCACTCATATCCAAACGGCGTGCAAGTTCAACCCATGTCTCAACCCTACCTGCCCCTACAAACACGCCGAGGGTCAACGGGGCGCATTCCCAGACAAAGTCTGGACGGCGGACGGACAGAAGCCTCATGTGAGCGAGCGGAAGTTCGTGTCTGAGGATGGTGCTGAGGAGGAATTGATCAAGCCCGGTGCTACTCCAGATGGTTCCGCCCAGAACCAGGAAATTGCGACATGATTTGCGATGAAATGATTCAATTTATTTTTCTCAAATTCCCCTCATGTGGTTTGCCGATTATTATGTATTATTTCTGGTTGTGTCTGGATGATATTGGGGACGGGCGCTCGTCGATGGTTTTTCCCTTCTTACACTGCTATATGTAAATAGAACCTGGATATCATGAATGGCTTTGACTGAGGCATAATAATCATCAATGGGTTGGTTATGCATCATACCACTCAAAACACTACACTTTTAGGTCCTGGTTTCCTGTTGGTACTATGTATTCTGCGGTGATGATAAATTGCTCCCTTTGACATGGGAATGAGTGCCGACTTTGTTCCTTTGCCCGTTTCAGGATGGTCATCGTTCGAAATGTTTTACCCGATGTTCTACAACTCACCATCCTTCTCATCACAGTAAGTTGCGAGTATTGCATATCACTCCTAAGACTGTCAACTGACCGATGCTTCTTTCTCTTGAAGAGTCAAAACCAAAAACCAAGATCTAAAGTCAACTGCCGCATTGCACCACTTCAGTGCTTGTATATAGATCCCACCCTGGGTTCGTTATTCAAGGGGGGCGTCCACCTACTACTATGCACTCAAGAAGATAATGGAATTGCACCTACTCAACTGAATTAACTGTAGAAAACTAAATGCAGTCCCTCCAGGAGGGGTTGAAGTGGCCTTCGTCCTTCCATGAACTCTCTGATATCAATGTAGAAACGATGGATTGCACTAAACTTCCGATTGTGTAGATACATGCTAGACTGATGGATATCTACGGATAAACGAAGACGTGGATAACTGCTGTCAATGGAAAAATGACCGCTGGGCCACCAAATGGGTGAACACACTAATGGAGTCCCTGTATGGTCTGTATCTGGTTTGACAAACTAGTACCACCTTCGAAGGCGTTGTGGTCCTTCCTTCAGTCCTCTCACACTACCTAAGCATCTACTTGTTGAAAATTCGGTGCATGACACTCTTGTAAATGCCCTAAAGCGACGCAGAATTGTCGTTGGCAGGGCGTGGGTCATTCTCGACGACGGCTAAATCGGTGAAAAGGCCCTCCTCATTGGGGCCTGTGCCATATTGTTAGTAAGTCAATTCATATGGTGTTCGGAACGGAACGTACATGTAGCGGTGACAATCTTCTTCCCCCCAATGGCAAATCTTGCGAATGCACAGGGGTAAGGGATGGCTGCTTCGACCAATTCCTCAAGGTGATTGTACTTTTCAGCTGGAGACTCTGCCTTGGCCCCTTTCGCGACAGCTACGGGCAATATAGTGAGCAAAACCTCGATCACCCGAGTTTGCCCAACATTGCCCCTGCTGTCATCGACCGTGAACCGCAAGTCAGAAGTTCTGTTCGACTCCGAGACAACCCAACCATAGATGACAACCTTCGACTCCTTGCCTTAGGTGGAGTCGGTTGTCACTACCCTCGGGATCTGATTTGTGCAGCTCGGCACGTAAGCTCATATCTATAAGCTCGCAGATGGTATTCGGCTGTTCCCTCTGCCTAGGATAGCCTGGGCTGCGGCAATTGTGCGTCTCTCAGCGCTTCTGCGGCCTTTCGAGAAGCCTGCAGGGCAATGGGGTGAGAAAATCATGCCCAATCCTATAGACGCGGAGATTAGTCAAGCTGCATCGTTTTTGAAAGCGAAAGATGGGCAGAGGCTTTCTCACCAGGCGTGGTAGTGAGATCCGACAAGGATCGAGGACTCCACTGAGCTTCCTTTACGCCATCGTGCAAAAACGAGGATATGTCAAACCACGATTAGAGCCATATATTACACCTTACCTACTACTAAGGGGTTGCCCATTTTTGGTAGCGTAATGGTCATTTTGGTTGACAGGATAGAAGGTATGAAGGATGGAGGGAGAAGAGAGGAGGAAGAGGATGGGAAGAGAGTGGGAAAAGAGATTAGATACTCAGTGGAAGGGTGAGTGAAGACCACAGTGTTAATCCACCCTGTGAATCTCTTCCAGTAAACCCTTCACCTGGTACTGTAGTGAGAGCTCCTCCTTACACCTGTGATTTAGATCTCATTGAAGGGACTATACATCCATAGTGAGGCCCTCTATTTCCAATCTACCCCGGCTTGCTTGTTTAAAAATATCTAGTCTTCTTACTTGAACCCCCTTAGGTAGTTAGGCCATTCCAACATGCGGCAAACTCATGGTAAATATTATGACATTAACAAGATTCTGCAAGATGTATTGGCGATCTAAGCTGCAAAACTGAATATCACTGTTGACAATAGTAGCCTACAATATGTCCTAAGTACTGCCATGGCCTTTCTGCCGGCACCCTAATTAGGCACTCTGTAGTGGTTGATTCACCGCCGGCAGACCCCCATGCCATCTCCGCCGCCGCCGATGAACCTGCCGTCCACCGTGCTCCCTGTTCGCCGTTCGTCTCTCGCTTCCTTCGGAATTGGTGAGGATGCGGTTACCATGTGCTCCTCATCGTGCATTTAGGGCACTGCGGACGCCGTCGGCATTGGATCTGCATGGTTCTCGACGCTGGCAGCACAATGCAACATACGACGCCGCAGTTCTCGGCGCGGGAATCACCGGTCTGACCGCCGCCTACCGGTTATCGCGCGACCCCAAGTGTTCTCGAGTCACATTATACGAGAAGACAAGCGAAGTCGGAGGATGGATCAAGTCAGATGTTCGGGATGCAAACGGAGGGAAGGTCGTCTTTGAGGAGGGTCCGCGGACTTTGCGGACTGCGATCCCGACGTGTCTGCCGCTCTTGGACTTGGTACGAGTTGCGCCAGTCAATAATACCAAACGGCGAATGCTAATACTTCTTCTGTCTACAGATATTCGATCTAGGACTAGAAAATGACATTCTGATGACCGAGAAGTCTGCCCCCGCAGCTCTCAATCGCTACATCTACTACCCCGACCATCTCGTTCGCATGCCGTCTCCCAATCCTAACCTGAGCGTTGCGCAGAATGTCACTTCGATATTAAGTACCATACTACGAGAACCGGTGTTTGAGTCGTTCATCTCGGGAGTTCTGCTCGACCCTGTCAGGCCGCCCTCCCCGCCCTATGTGCTGGATGAGTCGGTTGCGGAGTTCGTGTCGCGACGTTTCTCACCGCGCGTCGCCGAGAACCTGGTTTCTGCTCTGTACCATGGGATCTATGCCGGTGATATCAACCAGCTGAGCGCGCAAGCGCTGCTGGGGAGGTTCCGGAACCTGGAATTTTCGGGGCGTGGCGTGATCGGCGGCATGATTGACCAGACAACATCCGGAATCAAGTCCATGTTCACGGACGATCTCCTTGCCCTGGAAGCAATTGGAAGTGATCGGTTTGTCTCGATTGATAGCTCCGGGTCGTACTTGAAGAGTCTCTCGTCTCTAGTGAAGAAGGCGAGTGTGATCACATTCAAGGAGGGCATGTCTGAGCTCCCCAATGCATTGAATAAGGCGCTGTGCAGTTCAGACAATGTTCAGGTCCTTAATAATACCAATATCAAGGCGATCACACGGGATACAGACACCTCAGATATCACTGTAAGACTCCAACACCACCTCCATCTGACGCGGTCTAACCAGTTTTTAGATCCATGCGACAACGGGCGAGGGCGAGACCGTCTCTCGAACACACAATCGCGTGATTTCTACAATCGCACCCCCCGCGCTGGGACAAGCCCTCAATACACGCGTCAATTCGAACCAAATGCTGCCGGAGGCTTCCATCCGACATCTTCTCCACGGCCATAGTTCCGTGAGCGTGAACGTCGTGAACCTGTGGTACGACAACCCGGATCTCCTTCCCATAGCCGGGTTCGGCTACCTTATCCCTCAATCCATTCCGTTTGAGCAAAATCCCGAGCGGGCCTTGGGAGTGATTTTCGGTTCCGATTCCAGCCCCGGCCAGGACACCGTGCCTGGCACCAAGCTGACCGTCATGATGGGCGGTCACTGGTGGGACGGCTGGACGGAGGCGGACCGGCCTGATGAGAAAGCCTCCATTGACATGGCGTGCTCTGTGCTCAATAGACACCTGGGTATCACCGAGACCCCTAAACTCGTGGCCTGCACTCGGGCGCAGGACGCTATCCCCCAGTACACGGTGGGCCATTTGCAGCGCGTGCGAGTGCTCTCGGACTCTGTCCGGCATGAGTTCAATAACCGGCTCACGCTGGCTGGAGCCTGGTACAATGGTGTCGGGGTGGTTGATTGTGTGCGGCAGGGATACATGGCTGCCTCGTATGGTGTCGGTGCTCTCCGCGTGCCCCGGGGCGATGGCGATCGGCCGTGGAGGAAGTTCGACTACCAGAATTGGATTTTGGAGGGCGGAATACCCACGTCGCCCATCCCGCATATCGATGTCTATGGATCTGAACGGAGGCATTTTTAGCAATAGAATCTGCTTCGTCTGGGGGATTCTATTGTATAAATGTATTATTATAATGTATTTCTATCTCCATGCTGGCGTTGCGGGAACACAGTCTAAACTCAAGGGTCTCACGTGTGATTATCATCGTGCGGGCACTTCCAACCATCACTGGTAATGCCGAATAGTGTCCTCGAAATACATCGAAATGCAAACATACGAGACCATGACACACGATTCATCGGACATAATATTGGGTCGCTACCAAGCAGAAAGTAAACACATGATGTCGATGCACAAGGGCGTTTGACTGTCTGACTGAGAGCGGTCTCCGGGTTCAGAAATGGTGAGGCGCGCTTGTGGAGCTCCACGCCGCCTCAATTCAGCATGGGATATGATAAGAGGCGTCTGTCTCGGGTGAGGCATTTGTGGCATGCACGATGCACTCTGCCGACAAGTATTGTATGTCTATTGTTCATGGCGCGACATGATCGAAGGCGGGAGCCATAAACAGCGCAGTTGTAGTTTTGGCTTCGTGGAATTCAGAGGCGAGAAAGTTGAGCATCTTCACTCATACGTCCGTCTTCTTGTCGCCATTGGCGTCGAATCCCAGTGCATCCAGCTGGCGAATCAGCTCCTGAATCTTGATCACTTTTTCCAGCTGTTCCGGGAGCAAGGCCTCGCCCTGGTTTTTCTTATCGCGGAGGTCACGAGCCTGTCGGAGCTTCTTCTTGAGGTTGCGAGCCTTCTTCTCTTTCTCTGCTTCCAGATCGACGGGTTCCGACTCCGGCTGCGGCTCCTTCGGTGCGGGGGCTCTCCAATTTTCGATATCCTTCACATTCTTGCCCTGCGCGGTCCGCTCAGAGCCGTCCTGGGTCTCCTTGGCTTTCTTCTTTGCTTCACGGCGTTTCGCATTCTTGTTGCTGGCGGCGCTTCCTGCCTTTGCAGCGGTGTCGTTGTCGGGTTTCAAGCCCTCCGCTCCGGGGATTCCGGTTTTCCCGCGGTTCTTCCATGCTTCGGCGGCACGGTTCTTGTAGAGTTCGACGTCCTCGGGCGGACGGTAGCCTGGCCGCACACGAATTTCACGACGCTTGGAGCCGTCGGCCCGGACGGAAGAGGGGATGTAGCGTTCTCCGGTGACGGAGTCAACGGTGATACCGGAGGAGGAGACGCCGCCTGGCTGGGAGGAGGCCATTGTGTCGTCGTCTGGTGGTCAGAGGATACTAATATTATGGGTATCCAGGTACCTAAGGTAATAAGACAACTGACGCAGATCAAATGTAAAGCGGTTGCGGGTGTTTTTGTCCGGGCGGTGGTCCGATGGGCCAATCAGCGGGTAGGTGATTCCCGGTGCTTTTCGCAGGCTGCTTACATAACTTCCTCCAATTCCCGCTCGAAACTTCAACCTCATCCCGATCATTATCCCGTCTGCACCCACTGTTCTCCCGCTGTCGCCCGCTCTCTTCCTCCCTTTCGCACTCTCTGTTTTCTCTCCGTCACAATGGCCGGTGCTGTAAGTTCTCTCCCCGTCGAATTGGCCCCATTGGTCCGTGTTCAGCAGCTAATCAGAGGGTCTCCCATATCCAGATCGCTTCTGCCATCTACCAGCATGTCTCCCCCGCTTCCCCCGGTCGCCCATGAGCGTCCTGTCTGTCGGTCCGATTGAAGTGTCTAACCGCGAGTGTGTGCGATATATAGGGGCCTGATCCGCCGGAACGCGGTCTACCTCACCACCATCTTCGCCAGTGCTTTCGCCTTTGAGATGTACGTGTGGAACCCTCGGATGCTGGCTGGGACCTAGAACTGACCAAGATGATTTTCCGTCAACAGCGCCTTCGACTCCACCTCCAACAAGATCTGGGATGCCATGAACCGCGGTGTACGTGCCCATCGATCCCTGACAGATTGACACACGACGACAGTATCGGATCTGTATGCTGACGGACATAAACAGCGGCAATGGAAGGACATCAAGCACCGGTACATGGTCAAGGAGGAGGAAGACGATGAGTAAATGGAGAGCCTTAATTGCGCAAAGACGGCTCTGGATACCAGTTCTCTCGTGACATTGCGATCTTGTGATACTACATATAAGGGGACGATGACTGTGGATTATTCTGGTTGATCGAGTGCGGCCACCTGTACGGAATAGAATTTCTTTTCTTCAAAATTGTGCTCAGGGCCGAAGCTGTCCACTGTATAATTAGTTAATGGCTGTAGAGATGATTCATGGATAGGGCGGGGAGAGCACGGCGGTGGCGCCAAGAAATCCACGGCCTGCCATTTTGTGTTATGTCATTCTATTTCTCGAATCTCGCTCGCCTTCTGCTCCGTTCTCTGTCCCTTCCTTCAATCTCTCCCAACAATCGCACGTGGTCGATGCATGACGAGTCTTGTGGAATGATCCTTCGTCAGTGATAGCTCATGCTTTCTCCATAACTCGCGAATCTTGTTCTGGTGGGTATAGCCCTCGAGCGGTTGATATTCTTCCGTCATTGCCTTCCCCACAGTCACCTCCGATTCTTTCTTCTCTCAAGTTCATCTGTCGTCTTTCATTTGAGCACATCAAGAGACATAATATAAAATCGTCCATTTCATTCTGTTACAGCTGAGGACGGCCTCTCGTGAAGACACCGGCTAATCTGACCCATCTATAGTCACACCTGATCAAGCGGTGTCCCCGCCACATCTCACCTTTTCATCTCACCCTCTTCTCATTCCTGACAGCCGCATGGGTGTCGCCTGGTCCCATACAACCTGCTAAATGATGCTCACAGAATGTGAGAGAATCCTGGGTGAAGGCCTCCTTCGGCTTCCCTCCAAACACAACTACCGCTATACCCCCGCCGCCGAGAAAGACCTGCTCGAGCTCCTCTTCCGTTCCCTGTCCGGCCACAACGAAGAATACCTGCGACAGCTCTTCCCAGATGGATTGCCGACCGGTCCGTGGAAGCTAGCCGAAGCTCAGGGCGCAAAAGAAGGCGCAGAGTACACTGAGGCCGCGCGGGGGAAGCGGTGCGGTCATATCTTCCGAGCCGGCGAAGCCACCTACCGGTGTGTCACCTGTGCCGCTGATGACACTTGTGTCCTCTGCAGTCGATGCTTCGACGCTTCCGACCACACGGGTCATCAGTACCAAATCTCACTCTCGTCCGGAAACTGCGGGTGCTGCGACTGCGGGGATGACGAAGCCTGGCGCTTACCGCTCTTCTGTGCGATCCACACCGACAGCGGCGACAAGAAAGGCAAGGAGCGCGCGCAGGTCCAGCTCCCCCGCGCTTGGGTGGATAGCATCCGTCTGACCATCTCGCGGGCGCTGGACTACTTCTGTGACGTGATTTCGTGCTCGCCCGAACAGCTGAGATTACCCAAGACCGAGGAAGGGATTCGCCAGGATGAGGAAGCGTCGCGTTTGCAGTCAGCTTGGTACGGCGAGGGGGATCAAGCGGAGGAGGAGCCGGAGTTCGCCCTGGCCCTTTGGAACGACGAGAAACATACCATCCGGGAGGTCACGCTTCAGGTCGCCCGCGCATGCCGCGAACGAGACCGCTTCGGCCTAGATCGGGCGCACGAGACGAATGACATCGGCCGGAGCGTGGTGAAGTACTCGAAGGACTTGAAGCGGCTCCTGGAGGTGTCCAAGATCATTGAGCAGATCAAGGTCACCGTGACCATTCGGTCCGCCCGTGACACGTTCCGCGAGCAGATGTGCGGGACGATCGTCGAGTGGCTCGCTGACATCGCTGGCTGCAGCATCCTCGAGGACAACGAGATCCTGCGCCACATCATCTGCGAGGAATTGCTGAACCCCTGGCGACGGGGTAGCGATGCGTACAATGCCGAGATCGGTATGAAGGGCATCGATGACCATGAGAAGTCGGAGAATATGCGCATCCGCACTGTCCTCCTTACTGTATCGCCAGACGGCCCGGTGGTGCAGGTGGGCGGCGTTGAAGAAGAGGAGGAGGAGGAGGATGACGATGATGCCAATGCTGAGGGCGGTAATGAAGAGGAAGAGGGCGACGACGAGGATTATGTTGAAGCCCATGACGATGCCGATGATGAAGATGATGAGATGGAGCTCGAACTGACCCGCCTGGCAGAAGGAATTGTAGATGACGACGATATGGTCATGGAGGATGCAGATGATGCCTTTGAAATCGCCCGGAACATCTTGGGGCTTACTACCCAGCAGCAGCAGCAGACTACTGAGGACCAGGAGGAGCAGCAAAATGATGAGGCAGAGGAGCAACCTGAAGAACAGCCCTCTCAATCACAGCAAACGCGGTCCGATGATTCGCAGCCGCCTACAAACGAGTCTGACACGACGGAACTTGGAAGAGCTCATCCCCAATCTTATGTCTCCATTCCCCGGACTCCTTCTGGCGTTGTCAAGCCTCACCCGGGGTCGGCTCCGCCGTGGTGGACCAAGCAACAAGTCTCCGTCCCAGAGACGAAAGGCCCGATACCTCCATATGAGGATCTTAATCAGCGCACGCGTTTGGATTGGATGATCCTTTTCGACCTTAGACTGTGGAAGAAGACTCGAACAGACCTTCGTGATCTCTACATCGGAACCGTGGTGAATGTTCCTCAATTCAAGCGCATCATGGGCCTTCGCTTGTCTGCACTTTACACGGCCCTTGCGCAGCTCTATCTGATTGCAGACCGGGAACCTGACCATTCCATCGTCAACTTGTCATTGCAACTTCTTACCACGCCTTCGATTACTGAAGAAATTGTGTCACGAGGAAACTTTTTGACCAAGGTCATGGCGATCCTGTATACCTTCCTGACCACAAGACAAGTTGGTGAGCCATACGACATCAACCCGAACGCAACATTGGCTTTTGACGCGGGCTCCGTCACCAATCGACGCCTCTACCACTTCTTCCTTGATCTCCGGTATCTGCTGCAATCAGAATATGTCCAGCACCGTGTACGAACGCAGGGGTTGTACCTTGACCAGTTCCTGGACCTCGTCAAGCTCTCACAAGGAATCTGTCCTAATGTGCGCGCAGTCGGAGAGCACGTGGAATACGAGACGGACGCGTGGATTAGTGCTTCCATCCTCATGCGAGAGATCAATCGACTCTGCCGTCAGTTCTGTGAATCCTTCCGCAACCCGGAGGCTGACGGGGGCCAAAACTTGCTGTCGGCTATTAGGGTGGCTGCCAGTGCTGCAATCCAGAACTCAGTGGGTATGGAGCATAAGCGCTTCGAGCAGGCAGAGATCAAAGAGTACATTCGTTTCAAGAACTTGCCGGAATTCGATTTCGAGGTTGATCAGCCGGGTCAAATTCCTCGTTACCGGGTCGTGGATTTCGTTGTGGAGAAGGGCTCTATCAGTTTCCATCACGCACTGCACTATACTCTTTCATGGTTGTTGGAGTGTGGCCGTCACATGGATGCCACCACGATACAACAGACCTTGTTTTCGGCTGCCAGGTATTCCAATAGCGCGCATATCCACGACGATAATTTGAGTGAAGAAGACTTGTTGCTTGCAATGTTCGATTACCCCCTGCGAGTGTGCGCCTGGCTAGCACAGATGAAGGCCGGCATGTGGGTTCGCAACGGGCTCAGTCTTCGTCACCAAATGTCCCAGTACCGTGGTGTGTCTTCGCGTGATTTTGCCTATTACCGCGATCTTTTCCTGCTGCAAACGGCTCTAGTCACCTGTGATCCTAGCAGGGTTCTGGCGTCCATTGCAGAGCGGTTCGGTGTGGTTGACTGGATGATGAGGAACTACACCCCTCGTGCTGGTTATGAAGATACTCAGATGGTCGATGTGGCCGAGGAGTTTGTTCACTTGTTGGTTATCTTGTTGACCGACCGGAACTCTCTCGCTGCGATCGATGACAGCGATACGGCGACACGCGAAAATATCAGTCGCGACATTGCACATGTCCTGTGCTTCAAGCCTTTGTCTTTCTCTGATCTGTCGAACCGACTGAGTGACAAGCTTCTCGACTCTGATATGCTCCAAGACGTGCTGGAGGAGGTGGCCGATTTCCGGGCCCCTGAGGGCTTGAACGATACTGGGACCTTTGCCCTCAAGCCCGAGTATCTGGATCTTATCGACCCGTACAGCGCTCATTATACCAAGAACCAGCGGGACGAGGCGGAGAACATCTACAAGGAATGGATGGCCAAGAAGACGGGTAAGAAGGCATCTGATATCGTGTTTGAGCCAAAGCTCCGGCCTATCGCCACCGGTGCATTCTCCGATCTTCCTCGGTTTACGCGAACACTGCTGTTCGCTCAGATTGTTCACCAGTGTCTTGAGTATGTGATGTCCTCGAAGGATCGGACACCCGGCATTCCTCCTACGCGTATCGAGACCTTCCTCCAAGTGGTTCTTCACCTCATTCTTGCCGCCACATTGGAAGATAGCACTGAAGAAGACGAAATGTCGGATGACTCTACGGGCTCGTTTGCCCTGCATGCTCTGACAAAGGCCCGGGCGACTCAGGCAGGCAATCTCACGATTATCGGACTGTTGGAGAAGATCTCCATCATGAGCGAGTACAGTGCTTGCGGGCCGAAAGTCCGCCATATTCTCAAGAAGCTCTGGCAAAGACGCCCGCGGACGTACGCCTCTGCTGCGGCTTCTTTGAAGTTCCCGTTTGACAGGGTGGACACTAATTCACCTGCTATCGACACTGATAATGAAAAGGAACTGAAGAAGAAGCAGGCGCTGGAGAGACAGGCACGTGTGATGGCGCAATTCCAGCAGCAACAACAGAACTTCCTGAACAACCAAGGTGCTTTCGACTGGGGAGAAGAGGACTTCAGCGACCTTGAATCCGAGCCCGAGGCTGTGCCAGAAACGACAAAAGTCTGGAAATATCCCAGTGGCACATGCATTCTTTGCCAGGAAGAGACAAACGACTCGAGGCTGTATGGCACGTTTGCGTTGATTCAGGATAGCAATATTCTGCGGCAAACCGACGTGAAAGACCCTGACTGGATCCGCGAAGTGCTTAAGACCCCGTCGAGCTTGGATAAGTCTGCGGAGAGTGTACGGCCCTTTGGCGTTGCAGGCGAGAACCGCACGACGGTCAAAAGGCTTGATTCTACCGGAGGGGAGGTAATCAGTGAAAAAATCGGCCTGAGCAAAGGGTTCAATTCGAAGAACACTGTTAGCGGGCCGGTCACGACGGGCTGTGGGCACATTATGCACTACTCCTGCTTCGAAGTCTATTACACCGCTACCCAACGCCGTCATAGCCATCAAATTGCGCGACACCACCCGGAGCGATTGGCGTTGAAGGAGTTCGTATGCCCTTTGTGCAAGGCGTTAGGAAATGCTTTCCTGCCAATTACCTGGAAGGGCAAGGAGGAATCGTATCCCGGTCCCTTGAATGCTACGTCGTCTTTCGATGAATTCATGACTGCGGATATCAAAACGGCTCTGTCTCAGCCCCGCAACTATGCCTTGCTTGTTGAAAACAACAAGCTGCAGCTACAGCAGTCGTACCAGGAGCTCTTCGTCGACTACCTCTCCAAAACACTCGTCCCTCCACTTGCGTCCAAGATTGAGCAATTGGTCACATCGTCCTTGCCCTCGAGTATGCACTATCTATCGCAGCCGCGGATGCCGGCGATGCCTGGTCTCTTCCCCTCGCAGGACGAAGCCCCGGTGACTAGTCCCCTCCAGCATGTGTCCAGCCCCAACGACAGCCCCATGTCTGAGCTTCTTCAAATCTATACACGTTTGAAGCAGACCCTCCGAACGAACCACATCCCCTCAGCTTTCAACTATCCGCCAGACACCCTTGGCACGGAGGAACTCCTCCACACCGACTCCTTGTTCCAGAGTTTTGGTTTCAGCATTGCTGCTGCGGAGATTCAGCAACGTGGCGTGGAGTCGGACCCAGGGACAACGCTACTGCAGAAGATCCCTCAGCTGACGTTGACCCATCTCCGTGTGTTGGCGGAGACGATTTTGACCTACGCTGCTGTTGGCTGTGTGCACGACAACGCTAGTGGCCATGCTCGTACTCTCAATGAATTCCAGGAGATGCATCGACAGAAGATTCTGCAGCTGTTCGTTGGTCATCCCTGCCTCAGTGGAACAGCTCTGGCGGAAGATATCCGCGATATTGAGCCTTTGCTGGGTAAAGATACGTTTGTGTTCCTGGCTGAGTGTTCACTGTCTCTCCTCCCTGTCTTGAACATCGACATCCGGCATCTGGTGCAGATGTGCTATGTGGCCGAGATTGTCAAGGTGGCTGTCACTTATATCCTATGGCCCCTTGGTCTGAAGGAGGAGCTGTCTCAGAATGGCGATGCACACTATCTGTTGGACATGGAGCTGTCTGACGAACGATACGAATTCACCCGGCAATTCTTTAACACTATTGTTTCGGAGTTGAAGTCGAACTCCGTGGGACGGGCTGAAGGGTCTTCATACCCTGCGGAGAGTGGATACGTCAAGGATGGCGAGGACTCTGCGACCCCGGGGGTGATCATCGCTCTGAGGCGCTTGGTGTCGAGATATGCGTTGACCTTCCTCCGGAAGACGATGATCTTGCTCCATGTGCAACATGGGGTCGACTTCCCTAACGACGGGTTTGACGATACGGGTCTGTCGGAGCTCGACCGTCTCACGATGTTGCTGGATCTGCCGTCGATTGACGCAGTCTTCTCCTCCATCAACTCCGCTAGACGGAGCGACAGTCCGTTTGATTCGGTGGTCTCTGGGTGGATCTTCCACTGGAACGCTTCGCGGTCTGGCATTCGCATTGATGATCACAAGCTGTGGCCGAGCCTCCCTCACCCAGCCATCTTTGAGTTGGTCGGCCTTCCGAAATACTTTGACAGCTTGATCGAGGAGGCGAATCGGAGACGGTGTCCGAACTCGAAAAAGGAGCTGACTGATCCGAGCATCTGTCTGTTCTGCGGGGATATCTTCTGCTCGCAGGCAGTGTGCTGTATGAAGAACAATAAGATCGGGGGATGCAACCAGCACCTGGAGAAGTGAGTATTCGATATGTTTGATTGACGTGAGATCAGTGGCTAACGAAACGGTTCAGATGTGGCAAGAACATCGGCTTGTTTATCAACATCCGCAAGTGCACGGTGCTGTACCTGCACAACCAGAACGGCTCATGGCATTTTGCGCCCTATCTGGACCGACACGGAGAGGTGGACCCCGGTCTTCGGCGCAATCGCCAGCTGATCCTGAACCAGAAACGATACGACCGGTTGCTTCGCGATGTGTGGCTGTCGCACGGGGTTCCGGCCACGATCAGTCGCAAGCTGGAGGCTGATATTAATAACGGAGGATGGGAGACCATCTGATTGCATGAAGGACGTTGGTCATGGCGTGCGTATGTTTATAAAAATTCCCATATTGACCGTTGCATTGATTACTTGGGTATAGTCGAGTCTTTAGCTACAAGTTGTATAATGCTATCAGACATGCTCACTGTGATTGCCTGCCATATGTAGCTGCGCCTCGTAAGGCTGATCTGACAGCACAGCCTCGCCCGAGTCACCACACTATATAATCTACTCCAGCACCCGCCACAAATACCAGAAAGCACTCATCTTCTGATTACCCACAATGGCATCATCCATCCAGATCCCCTCCGACTTCCTGCGGGGCACACCCCCGTCTGCCACCCTACACAAAATCGACTTCACCAAAACCACCCCTCCAATCCCCGAATACAAAGACCACTTCGCCGCAGTAATCGATGACTTCCTGACAGAATCCGAATGCCGTCAACTCCTCCATCTCGCCGAGCACTCCACCCCAGGAAACCCATGGGAACGCGCCCTCGTCAACATCGGCGGCGGGCTCCAGGCCATGGCACAGGACACCCGCAACTGCGGACGCATCATCTGGGACTCGCACGACCTCGCAAACCGTCTGCTCGAGCGCCTGATGCCATTCCTGCACGAATGCGACATCGTCAACATCGACCGACGGCCGCTCGTCACGGGCCGCGGATCAGTCGCCCGCGGCGAGGCGTTCGTGCTGTCGCGACTGAACGAGCGGTTTAGGTTCCTGCGCTATGAGGGCGGCGAGTACTTCCGCCCGCATGCGGATGGGTGCTACATTACGCCAGATGAGACGGAGCAGTCGCTGTTCACGGTGCATTTGTATCTAAATGGGGACGGGGAGCAGGATCTGGATGCGCTGCGGGCGATGGAGCGGCGGCGGCAGCAGCAGCGGCGGGATAAGAGGGATGTAATGTCTGGGAGATACCCTGGTGAAGAGGGGAGTCAGCAGGATGAAGCGCAAGAGGAGGGGGAGAAGGATGGTATAGCTGCTGGGCGCGGGCTGTTCGGAGGGGCTACCTCGTTCGGTCATGCGTATGCGCCCATCGGCGATGATGACGGCTTGGTACGGGTGTTTCCGCGGACGGGGTCTCTCTTGGTCTTTCAGCAGCGAGGTTTGTACCATGCTGGCGATGATGTCTTTCGCGGAGTGAAGTATACGGTGCGGACGGATATAATGTATCGCAGCTGTCCGTCTGCCGCTGGCACCGGTTCCCATGGGGATCGGGTGTAGTCAGTTTTGTGACGGTCTACAAAGGGTCGTATCGATGAGATATGAATTGCATGATTGATTCTACACGATGTTTATCGTAGTTTGAAGTGAGCTGTCAACAGTACCTGTAGAGTTCGTCGCATACTTCATAGAAATGGCTTATGTCCATAGCTGAGTCAGCATCCGCACAACCATTCATAACGCCATCTGCTCTTGATAGCACTTCTAGCTTAGCTTCTCCATTTCTTCCCCATCCAACCTCTCCATCACCATGAACAACGAGCAATTCCGCCGTCTCGTTCTCGATAACCCCTCCGCCTCCCGGCGCAGCGACAGCCCGCGCGACTCATCCTCCCCCCAAAATGCGAATGCCGCCCGATCCAGCGGGGGCGCTTTGGGGTCGCGCATGAAATCCAGCATTCCGATGACACCGTACGCTCTCTACCCCTCCCCAAACCCAGATCACCGAATCGCTCACTAACTACAATCCCTACAGCCGCTCCGTCACCGGCGTCGATTTCGCCCGCCAACTCGCCGAGTACCGTCGCGAGTCGCAGCCGCCCGCGAAACGGTTTCGCTCCTCCGCCGCTCCCAAGGGCACCAAGCTCCCCACCGGATACCAGGACCGCGCGGCGCAGCTGCGCGCTGCAGAGGCCGCAAACGAAGCGGACAAGGATGGGGCGGATCTGGAGAAGCGGCTGAAGGCGCTGGAGGAGATGGTGAAGCTGGGGCAGATCGACCAGGAGACCTTTGACAAGCTACGACGGGACCTCGGCGTCGGCGGCGACCTGCAGAGCACGCATCTGGTGAAGGGATTGGACTGGGATTTACTGCGGCGGGTCAAGACCGGCGAGGATGTGGCCAAGGCTAAGGAGACGACGGAGACTGGCCCCGGTGAGGAGGCGCAAGAGGAAGACGTGGACGAGGCGTTTGATCGGGTGCTGGAAGAACAGGGACAAGCGGAGCTACCCACGGCGCCGAAGGTGAAGGAGAAGAAGAGGGGTACGATGGCGCCGCCACCGCCGCAGAAGAAGTCCCGCGACGAGATTTTACGCGAGCTCAGGGCCAGTCGGGCGGCTGCTGCTGCCGCGGCGGCCGCTGAGGTGCCGGCTGAGCCGGCGCTGGGGGCGAGGTTCAAGCGGATTGGGGACGCCAAGGTGGAGAAGAAACGCTGGGTCGAGCAGGATGAGACCGGTCGGCGGAAGGAGATTCTACAGATTACGGATGCGGAGGGCAAGACGAAGCGCAAGGTGCGCTGGCTGGACAAGCCGGGCGAGTCGCAGGGCGCGGCTGCGTCGGGTGCCTCTCCGCCGACGCCGGCTGGACTGCTCGTGCCGGATAAGGACGCGAAGCCCTTGGGGATGGAGGTGCCGGCGGAGCTTGCAGTGAAGGGCGCAGCGCTCCCGGAAGAAGAGGAAGGGGATGATGATATTTTCGCCGGGGTGGGCGCAGACTACGACCCGTTGGGTGATGTTGGGGACGAGAGCGATTCGTCCGAGGCGAGTGAGGATGGCCAAGTCGGCGAGAAGCCTCAGGAACGTCCCCGGGAGCCTGAAACAAAAGGCACTGCGGAGACGGAGAAGGAACCGCCTCGCGAGCCAGCCAAACCTCGCAACTACTTTGGCTCTTCTACACGCGACGAGGAGGCCGAGGCCGACGATCGGTCGAACCCGCTTACGAAAGATCCTACGCTGTTGGCGGCGCTCAAACGGGCGGCGGCTCTGCGTCAGGGCTCGCCCTCTGCCGACGCAGTCGCTGGAGAGACGGAGGACGCCGACCCGGAGACACTGGCACGGCGACGCAAGTTCCTCGAGGAGGCGCGGCGGCGGGATGCGCTGGATGCCATGGACATGGACATGGGATTCGGAAGCAGCCGGATTGAGGATGAGGAGGACGAGGAGGGCGTGTTGTATGACGGGGGTGGAGGGAAGAAGAGAAAGCGTGGGCCGAAGAAGCGCAAAGGCGACAAGGAGAGTGCGTCGGACGTGATGCGCGTGCTGGAGGGGCGCAAGAAAGAGTAGATTAATGTTAATGATACCATGGATTCTTTCTTTGTATTTGTGTATCCTATGCTGCTGTATCTGGTGTTTGTTGTGCTGGAGGCGAGCCCAGGTAAGACGCCTCCATCGGACCTTTGACGACTACTACGCACAGGACTGGAGCCAACTGACTGCCGACGAGTGAAAGATCCATTCTGACTTGGCGTTCCATGTGGCGAGCTGCAGCAAGGACATGATTCCATTTCAGTATCCTGTGATTTGAAGGTTAAAAGTGGACATCAGAATCAACCAATATCCCGACAATGGCATCCTAGATAGCAACGAAGCCAGACAATCACACAAAGCTCGAAGCAGAAATCAGAAGCAGAACAGAAGCAAAAAGCAGTGAGACGATGACTTGCCGCCTCGACACTCACATGGCCTCGATTGGACGGAGAAATTCTGCAGACTTTGTCGGGCAGTCATCAAGACGTCGATGGCTGAGCCAGACCACGACGATCCGATGGGCCGATACTGGTATCAAACGGGCTTTGGCGCTTTGTCCAGCAGTTTATTGGCACAGCGATCATTTTCCTTACACCATACCGAGTGTGTACGCAGTCACACAGCGGGATCCATCGCGCAGGATTGGGATCCACTGGCCCAGCGCCCAGAGACCTAGACTCGACCGCTGGAGCGTCTGCCAACGCGATGGGTCTGGTCCCCAGCGGGGGGTACCGTTGACAGACCGACCGGTTCTTTGGACTGATCAAGAAAGGACCCGAGCGACCCAAGACAAAGCGATGGAGGGATATCGTGGCCCAGTTTGGTGCCTGGTGAGACGGCGTTGTCCCCTGCAGCCTGCAGGTGATAGTCCCGGCGATAGGACCAATTCCTGAACAGCAGTTCCTGTGCTCTAATCCCGAGACCCCCATGCAGGCGGTGGCAATCGGTTTCAGGCTGGTGGATCGGTGGGCATCGAAATTAGGTGGAAGCCAGGCTGTTAGCGGGCGCACCGGCGATGCTTGGTGGGCGATCCTCACGACCGAGCGCTCTGGGAGTTGCCTGGCCGTTTCAGATGTTGTGTCTGCAGCGATGGATGCATTGACAAAGAGACTGTGTTCATCTCGACACAAACAATGACTTGGATGGATCTATATGCTGTGCTCGGTAAGATCCCAAGAATGTCGATGCATGGGTCAGGAACGCGATGGCTGGGAGCCCTCCACAGCCACTCGGCACAATGATTGCTCCTTGTCCCTTGACAGGTCTCGTTCTCGTTCGCTGTGCTGGAATGATTTCCACCGGGCTGCTGCTGCTCATAGGCGGAGGGTGCCTGGCGATGGAGCCAGCAGATCCATGGATAGACGCCGAGACTGCCAGGCACGAACCAGCCGACGACGACTATGGGATTCTGGGCGTTTGGACGATCTAATTAAACTAGTCAGGAGGGGAAAACGAAAGACAGGCGTGGGTTGCAGCTGCAATAACCCTAGTGCTGCTATATAACCTCCCTCCTTCGCGCTGCTTTCGCTTTCTCTCTCTCTTTGTCCCTCCTTTGGCCTCACATCCACACCACACTCTTTTTTTCATTCTTTTTCTGCTTCAATTGTCCTGTGCCGTGCACGGCCAATTGTCCATTCCTTTCCGGATTGATTCCATCTTTGATCCTTACACTCTCTATCCTTGAGACCGGTCTTCTCGGATCTTCATTCTCTTCACCGTCCATAGCCCATTCCGGTACATAAAAACCCAACAGCAATCGCCATGGTCTCCTTCACCAAGTTTGTGACGGCCGCCCTGCTGGCGTCGTCTGCTGTCGCCCTCCCCCATGAGCAGCCCGTTAAGCGCTCGGCCAGCTCCAAGCGTGGCGCCGCCTACAACCTGGCCAGCACCGTCAACTCGCTGACCGGCAACACCCCCGTCACCTGGGGCTACTCGTGGAACATGTGGAGCAACGGCGCCCTGCCCAGCAACGTCGAGTTCGTGCCCATGCTCTGGGGCAGCAAGATGTTCGGCGGCTGGTTCTCGGCCATCCAGACCGCGCTCGCCAGCGGCAGCACCTACATCCTCGGCTTCAACGAGCCCGACGTCTCGTCCCAGGCCGCCATGGCGCCCACCGACGCCGCCAACTACTACCGCCAGTACATCACCCCCTTCAGCGGCTCCGCCAAGCTGGTCACCCCGTCCGTCACCAACGGCGGCGGCTCCGCTGAGGGCCTCAACTGGATGCGTACCTTTATGGACAGCTGCTCCGACTGCGGCATGAGCGCGCTCGCCGTGCACTGGTACGGCAGCTCCGCCGAGGAGTTCCAGACCTTCGTCACCCAGGCCATGGACTTTGCGAAGGAGTACTCCCTCGAGAGCGTCTGGGTGACCGAGTTCGCCCTCAGCAGCGACATTGCCAACGGCGCCTCCAGCCAGGCCTCCGCCGACTTCCTCAACCAGGTGCTGCCCTGGCTCGACAGCCAGGACATGGTCTCTCGCTACGCTTACTACATGTGTGCCGATCCGTTCTTGATCAGCGGAAGTGGCCTGACCGAGACCGGTATGGCCTACACCGCGTGATGATTTTTCTTCTTTTTTTCGTTTTTGTTTTTGGCGTGGGCTAGATCTGGGCGGGGTTAGGTGGATGTGGTGGATCGAGGTATACTCGGTAGATAAACGACCGAAAATGCACGAAATGCAAGAAAAGTTTCTGTTCATTCCTTCGCTCGACTTAGTGTCTCGTCTTAGTGCGTGTATTGCCCGTGGATATGAGGCCGCTAGGGTCTTGTGATGGATGACAGTGGAGTCTGTCGCATGCACTGCGGTACACTACACTACTCTACACACTGCAAAGGGTAAATGAACCCGGGGAGGGCAGCGCTTCCATAGACCCAATTATTAGGAGTCGCTTGGAGAAGGAACTGCGATCCATGGGACTTGCTCTCACAGAGCATTCGCATTGGTGTAGCGATGCACGATCCACGGATAGCTTCCCGCTCGGTGACAGACAAGTGCGGTTTCTGGTGCAGGGTGGTTACTATTGCATAATTATTTACTTTCTTCTATCTAGTTAGTCTGACGGTGCGGTGTTAGGGTTGTTTTAACACATTCTCATTATTCATGTGCGCATCTAGATCCCACAAGTAATCACAATCCATCCATGTTTACCCCCCACCCAAACGCCAATGCCCATGCACTATACCCCGTAGAAACACCAGCTGGTCATCCATTGCCAAGCGTCTCGACGTCTGTCATCTCTGTGTCTTGGGACTCTGGTTCTGGTTCTGGCTCGGGCTCTGCCTCCGGCTCCGCCTCGTTCTGTACAGGCGTCGGCGCAGCACTGTCCGCTGGCACGGGCGTATGCTCCCGCTCCTGCTCGTCGGCGCCCTCAACAGCGCCCTCCTGATTGCCCTCATCGACACCCTCCTCGTAGACACGTACCGTCCCATCCAATCCGCAACTAACCATGTATCGCGCGGCGCCCAGCGTGCACGTATCCACTCCCAGAACCACCCCAGTGTGCCCATCAAGCCGCTGGAGGACCTTCTTGCTCACGACGTCCCAGCACAGCACCGCACCGTCCTCGCTGCCACTCACAGCAAATGCATGTGGCGGACCGCCCGGCGCGCTGTAAACGCCAAACCCGCCCGACAAACTGTACTTGCGGTTGACATGTCCCTGGTAGGTCTTGATGCAGCGGCCCTCGACGTAGTTCCACAGTCGCACGCAGTCGTCCAGCGTCCACGCCAACACAAACTTGCCGTTGGGCGAGAACTTGACCGCCGTCACCGGCGGGTTGTCCTCGTGCACCAGTGTGCGCAGACACTGGCCCGTCGCCGTGTCCCAGATCCGGATTAGTCCGTCCGTCGCGCACGACGCGATCAGCGTCCCGTCCCAGACTACGTCGATGCCGCCGACTGGATCCGAGTGTGCCGGCAGCGACCGCATCACGCTCGCTGACCGCACGTCCCAGAGGAAGACTGCCTCGTCGTAGGACCCACTGACCAGCATGTTGCCCTTGGGCGAGAACGCAATCTGATAGACGTAGTTGTGGTGGCCGACAAAGGGGATCGGATGTGCTTTGCCCTGCGACATGTTAGTAGTTCCTATAGTCTTTGTTGCGTGAAGGAGACGAACAGTCAACACATTCCACAGACGGATCGTCTTGTCGTCAGACCCCGACGCAATCGTCGCGCCATCCGGACTCCACGAGATGGTCGAAATCCCCGCCAGATGGCCCTCGAACGTATGAATGAGCTTCCCACTCAGCGTGTCCCACACCTTGACAGCTCCGTCGGCGCCTGCAGACGTCAGCACCGTGCAAATGATATCAAACACAAACAGCAAGAAAACACCCACCACCACTCGCAATCATCGTCGCATCCGGTGAAAACCGCACCGCCGATACCCCCCGCAGATGCCCGCGCAGCAGGAACTTCGGTCGATAATGCAGTTTCTCCGGTTTGGGGGGCGGAGGCGGCGGGGGCGGGGGTACGGGCGTAGGCGATCGGTCGGTATACGGCGCTTCGCCGTCAACACCAGCCTCGGTGTCGTCGTCGCCGTGGATCGCGTCGTCTTCGTGGTCGTCGGCCCGCGCTTCCTCGTCCGACGCGCGCCCCAATGGGCTCGTGCGATTCCGCGACCGCCAGTACATGTCCACGTCCATGGTCAGCTCGTCCGGGCTCTCGGAGCCACTGTAGCTGCGCGACCGCGGATACGGCCGCTTGGGGGGATAGGTCTTCTGCAGGTTCCAGCTGGCGCGGCGGCGTTCAGCGTCATCGTGGTCGGAGCCGGCGGCGAGTTCGTCGGAGGAGGAGTCCACGGGGGAGCGGATGGGATCGATGCGACGGCGTTTAGAACGGGCAGAACGGTCCATGATCGGGGGAGAGGATAGGATCAGAGGGAAGAACAAGGAGAAAGAAAGGAGGACGAAGAAATTCGAGAATCATGTAAACTGCAGAATCCGGGGTCCGAAGGCGGTGAGGCGATCCGCATTTCTGTACAGCTTCATTTCTTCCTGTTCTCTCTTCTTTCCTCTCGGCTTGTCATGTCTCCCTGCTTTATTTCTCCCCCAAATCACGCCGCCTCCTCCTCCTTGCCATGTCCGCATCTTCTGCCCCCGGGGATTCGTCTCCCGAGACCATCCGCATCCTCACACTCAACTGCTGGGGCCTCAAATACATCGCCAAATACCGCTACCAGCGACTCTCGGAGATCGGTCGCCAGCTGGCTCTGGCAGACCCTCCGCCGGAAATTGTCGGGCTCCAGGAGTGCTGGACACAGCAGGACTACGAGAGCATCCGCCAGCAGACGCGACACCTGCTGCCGTACGGGAAGTTCTACTTCGGCGGTATCTGGGGCGCGGGGCTCGCCATCCTGTCGAAGTGGCCCATCGAAGAAAGCAGCATGCACGCATACCCGCTGAACGGCCGCCCGACGGCCTTCTTCCGTGGCGACTGGTACGTCGGGAAGGGCGTGGCCTGCGCGCGCATCCGCTTCGGCGCACACCCCGTGCACGACGTCGCCGAGGTGTTCTGCACGCACCTGCACGCCCCCTACGAGAAGGAACCCAACGACTCGTACATATGCCACCGCACCGCGCAGGCGTGGGAGATCGCCAAGCTGATGCGCGGCGCCGCCGACCGCGGCCACCTCGTCATCGGGCTGGGCGACTTCAACATGCTGCCCTCGTCCTTCGCCCACCAGCTCATCTCCGCCCACGCCCCCGTCCGCGACGTCTGGCAGGGTCATCCACCCGGACTCGTCCGTCGGCGCCGCCATTGACCCCGTCGAGAAGAAGCGAAACCGCCCCGTTCCCTCCGCCGAGTTTAATCTGCGCGTCAACGGCGCCACCTGCGACGGCCGCTTCAATACCTGGCGTTGGGAGAAGGCTGAGCGGAAGCGGCTTGCCCGCGGCGAAGACGTCACCGTCGACCCGGACGCGCCGTGTCCGCGCGGCAAACGCCTCGATTATATCTTCGTCGGCCCGTCGCGTTGGGCCGTCGACGACGTCCGCATCGCCATGACCCAGCGCCATCCCACGCTCAAGTGCTCGCTCAGCGACCATTTCGCCGTGGAGGCGGTCATCTCGCGGCCGCTGACCTCGACAGAGAGTGCGGATGTGGTGGAGAGAGGCGCCGGACTGGGCCCCGAAACCTACGACCGCATCCTTGACATGATCCACAGCTATGTCCGCCGGGAGCGGTCGCAGCGGCGCTGGCGCCTCACACACTTCCTCCTCTCCGTGGTCGTATCGATCGGCTGTCTGGTGGGCGTGTGGTGGACCGGCGACCATCTGCCCTACGTGGCGTTCATTCTGATGCTGGTGAGCACGCTGGGTTTTGGCGCGGGGATCCTGGATGGCTTGATTGGGGGACTGTTCGTGTCGAGTGAGCTGCGGGCGTTGAAAGAGTTTGAATGGGAGGTGCGTAATGCGAAGCAGGTGGTTGAGCGGGCTCAGCAGTAACCAACCCTTCTTTTACATTGATTGTATTTATATTTACGGGTCGTGTCGACCTACGTACCTATGTAATTATAATTGTCTACGATGATGCAGCAAGCGAGCAAATTCATTAATCCATTGAATCACTGTCATGAATGAGAGACTGGATCCAGAGACAAGTACTTCGTCAAAAGTGGCCAACGCCACGTCCCCAGTCATCCGGGGAACATTCACTCAGCGCACTCACGCTGGCGCTCGTCAAACACCTTAAGCGCCTCTTCGGCCGCCTTGACACCGCTGAGCACCATCGCCCCAAAGGTTGGGCCCATGCGGTTGAAGCCGTCGATCTCGGACAACTCCATGCCGCCGATGATGAGTCCGCGGGTGACCTCGCGGGTGTTCTTGACGATGGCATCCTCGGCGGAGTTCATGTCGAGGCCGCGCATGCCGCCCAGGCGGTCGACGGCGGCCATGCTGACGAGGCGCTTGGCGCAGAAGGCGCCGAAGGGGCCGTCGTGGCCGGTCGTGCTGATGATGACGGGGGCGTTGATGGTGTTGGGGTCCATGCACGAGTGGTCGTCGTGGTGCAGCGTCACCAGCGTCCAGTTGACGACCACGCCGGCCACGCGCGTGTCCTTGGGGTCGCCGCTGGCCGCCGGCCGGGTCACCAGGTCCTCGACGCTGGTGGCGTTGAACAGCTTGACGTTGGGGAACGACAGCACCTTGGACAGCAGCGTCGACGTGAACAGCGACGCGTGCTTGACCACCACGTAGTTCGGGTTGCTGGCGTCCTCCTCGTACGGCACGCCCAGCTCGTTCAGGAACACCTCGGCGGGACGACGCATGACCATCGCCGAGAACAGCTGGCCGCCGAGCCAGGCACCACCACCTGTTTCTGTTAGTGAGGAGGGATGCGTTATTTTCGGGCTGGAGACGCACCAGGCGACACGGAGGCCTCGATGATGGCAATCTTCAGGTCCGGCCGGGCGTTGGCCAGCACATAGGCGGTGCTCAGACCGCAGGATCCGGCGCCGACGATGACGACGTCACTCTCGGCGTACTTGTCCAGATCCTGGAAGTAACGCCGGGTCATGGCGCGCGACACCTGGCTCTCGCGGATGGGCGCGAACTTGAAGTCATCCCACTTGTTGCCGAAGTGGTCCAGCAGCGCGGTCTTGGGCACGCCCTCGACCTGCACCGGGGCGGACTCAGGCACGACGACCTTGCCCTTGATGCCGGTGGGGGCAACGGTGGGCTCGAACATGGCAGCGGGAGGAGACATGATGATCAGCGTTCACGGGGGACACTATGTTTCCTGTTAGCCGTTCCATTAAGGGGGATGGAACAAGGGAAGGCATGATCCTTTCGCTGGTATTATCCAGATCAAGTTTTGACCGTATATTCTCAGAACGAACCCATGCATCGCATGCCACCACGAGGATGGATGCGATGCACAGGAACGAACACCGGCCCACGCCCAGACGTTACCTGAGATACCTTGATCGATGATGGCTCCAGCCAAAGGACTTGCATGGCTTCCATGAAGAATGAAGAGACGTGACCCCGCAGGGTCTAGTGAGGGAATTACATTGCACGAACTAGAGATGGTTAGTATGTACGTCTCTGACCACAGGATGGGTGGGAGAGGACTTTGTATGGTTCTGTTTGCAGAATCGGATTGTCGATGGAATGGGGAGAGATGGAAAAGAGAAGACGAGAGAGCAAGAGGAGAGGCTGTTAAATACCCCGCGAGGGGCATGCTCCGAGACTCCCCGTAGTAGTGTGTGTCACCGGTGAACGGCAGCCATGGATAACATCATAGCGCGAACTCTAGCAGATTGTTCCCCCCACTCGGATGCCATACTGCCTCACCCAATTCTTCTTCTTTCCACTCTTCTCGACTGTGTGCGTCCATTCCTGCAGGCTCTCCTGCATCGTGGTCGCACCCGCATCGTCCGCGTTACAGCGCACCCGGACTCGTAGCAAATCGCATCGTTCTTTCTTCTTGACCACCTCCTCCCACAGGGTCTCGCACTGGATCCGCCAGCGGGTGACGCGGCCGGCGGGATACACATCCCCGACCAGGGTCGCGACCTGGCCCACGAATCGACACCACCAGGCTTCCTGTGGGGTCAGGGTCCGCTGCAACTGATGCTGGTAGGCCAAGTCCGCGGGCGACAGATCGCCGGCCCAGCGCTCACAGAGCACCAAAGCGATAATGGCGCGCTCAGCATGCGACAGGCTCGTCGCTGACCCTAGTATGCCGGTCGTTGTGCAGTGCAACGCTGCCGCAGAACGGGTTTCGCGGGGTCCTCGAGAATGTGCGTATAACAAATTGGTAATGGCGGCCAGCAGTCGTGGAGAAAACGACTCCGGAGGAGTGTGCCCCGCGATCGGAGACGGCGAAGTCGGCAACGTAGAACTCAGTAGCTTGCAGAGGGCGTCCGCCGACGGCGGGGCGTAGGGTAATGTGGCTGCACCGAGCGGATCCTGGGCACGAATCTCGCGAGGTAGTCGGTCGAAGAGAAAGCCCTCACGCACGCCGCCGTGACAGAACTGGATGTGTGTGATGGCGGGCAACGCGTCCATGATGGCATCAATCAAAACAGCGACGGCGGGAATCTGCGAAGCGCGCCGTTTCGACACGCCGAAGATCTTCACGTCCGAGTCGGTCACTACATCCAGCACAGAGATTGTGTCGTGAAAGTCAGCCCGGCGGGCTTGGAACCCATTGATGATCGGGATGGGATAGGGGTCGATATGGGATTGCTGCATGAGCACGTAGCCCCAACCACGAAATCCACCGCCACAGAGGTAGAGGTCGAGCCGGCCCTTTCGTCTCGCCGTTTCGAACAGCGACTCGGGGATCCCGAGTTGCGGATACGCATCACGAAACCGCTGGGCGATTTCCTCGCGTAAGGCTCTCTCGGCCTTTTTCGTGCCCCCCTCCTGCTCCAGTCGTCTGGTCAGGGCGGCTGCGCCGTACGGGAAGCTGAATGATCCCTGAGGACTCGTTTGGATCACTCCATCCTCCTCGATAACCCACGTAAACTGCGTACTGCCACCGCCGAGGTCCATGGCTAGACCGGCGACGGATGACGCGCTGCTGGCGATGCCCAAAGCTCCAATGCGGCCTTCCTCCTCCTTGGACAGGAGAGTGACCTCCCAGCCGGTGCGAGCCTTGATGTAGGCACGGAACTCATCTGAATTCGGCGCCGTTCGAGTCGCCTCCGTGGCCAGCACGTAGATGTTGTCCGCAGGGACGCCAAAGTCTCCGCAGGTGACTTGAAACCGTACAAAGTGGTCCCCCACGCGGTTCATGACATCCTGCGGGATCGGACCCCGTGTTCCAGGGGAGTTTCCGGAGGAAAACTGGGCCTCGTAGAGAGAGATGCCGACGCGATCGTGAAAGATCGTAGGCAGGATGCGCGCGGTGGGCTGTGAGAGATCGGTAATGGAGAACCGAATCCCATTACTGCGTGGGATAAGTTAGTATTCTTGGTTGACAGAAGGAGACTCACCTGCCCATATCAATGATGGCGTACAGGAGAGGGGTGTCCATGGCCATGGTGGGTGTATGGAGAGAAGAGTATCAACCGTGGTTGTAGTTTGGGTAGAGATACTAGAAGCAACAAGGGTGCCTTACCCAATCGGGGCAACATGCGCACTACAGGCATTACAGCTACAAAATATGTATATGAACAAACTACAACGCTCTCATTAAACAGAGTCTCTGTCAATTATACTGCAGAAAATCACAGCGATATAAGTATTGTCCTTGGGAATCCATCCTCCCTATTTTACAGCTCCTCTCCAAATCAAGAACCAGCGCCCATCAACACCAGAATCGCAAACAAAATACCTAGCCGTCGCCTCAGGACATGTCATCCGCATCATGATGGTGCATGTTTTCATTATCCGACGCATGGAAGGCATCGCCAAAGGCCGAATTCTCCAGATCCGGAAGATCCAGCCCGTCATTCTGTTCCGTGTACGCCGCCAGCGCATCGCCCGCACTGTCCATGCCGGTGAAGTCGAAGTTGGCTCCATCGAGGGCCGAATCCCCAGCGCTACCGGTGTTTCCTGGGGTCAACCCTTGGAGACCGTTACCCGAGGTCGCGGTGGGCTTGTCCGCTTTCTTTTCTTCCGGCACCATCACCCAGTCTCCGGTCTCGCCGGCAGCCGTGCCAGGCTTCCCATCCCCAAGGTCCATTTCTACATCCAAGCCGCCCGCCTGTGCAGCGTCTGTCGTCGAGGCATGCGCCACGGGAGGAGCAGCTGGGGGTTGCCCGGCTTGTGCCTGGGCAGTAGGAACGGATTCGGTCGAGGGAAGGGTGCTGAACTGATCCAGCAGGTTGCTCTCGACTTGACCCATATCCACGTCGCCTCCAGTCGGTTCTTCCTTTCGTTCCGGTTCAATCTTTTCCAAGAGACCACCTTTTTGCACGCACGAGACCTTCGGCTCGGGTACGATCGGTTTCTGCCACGCCTGCTCGACCTCCTTTACCACATCGTCCACCTTGAACTTCGCCTTGGGGTCCGACACTGGACGGGGTTCCGTCTCATCCTCGTCCTCGGTGGGAACCACGATGCGACCCTCGAGACGCCAAACCTCCGTGCCCAACTCCTCAGGGTCGGCAGCCGCCTCGCGGAGTTTGAATTCCGCGTTCTTGAGGAGTGACGTGCGGTTGAACTTCTCCATGCGCCGGGCGTGACGTTTCTTCAGTTTCTCGATTTCCGCGGTCATGTCAGCGACCTTCTTGGCCACGCGATCGGCGAACTCCTCCGCCTTGGCGGGCTCCATCTTGGTGGCGGCGACAGGTTCCTCCTTGTGTTCGCCGGTAGTGGGCGCCGCGGGGGCATCGAAGAAGCCCGCCGTCAACGACTCCAACTCACCCTTACGGCCTAGCCCCAGCGAGACAGGTGTGATCTGACTGATGGCGTATGGCGACGCGAAGATTTCCTCCATCCACTCGTGGTGTTGTTGGTAGCGCATTTTGCTCACTTCGCGGGGCGTCAAGAGGTCCATCATGTCTCCTGCCGAGACGTCTTCATCTTCCAGAGCGAAGTCGGCAGTGGCGGCGTTCATGGCAGCGGACGATGCGCGGTGGCCGCGCGGGGCTTTGGCCGGTACCGCGGGAGCAGGGGCAGGCATGCCAGGCCCAGGAGGAGGGTAGAACGGCTGGCGCCCAGCCATAGGGTTTGGATACGGGCCGGGAACCTGTTGGAATCCCTGCGGAGCCATCTGAGGGGGGAAGTTGATGGTCGGCCAGTTGTTGCGGTCATGCAACATGAAGTCTTTGCGGGCTAATTGACCCTGACTCTGAAGAAAACGACGCTGGGCGAGAGTGGCTTGAACTTGGGGAAGAATCGGGATTCGGTTGGCGGGGATGTGATCAGTGGGGGGTGCTCGGGAGTAATGCACGATCCAGAGCGATGGGTCTGGCGGAGGCATGTTCGGGTTCGGCATTTTTCCAGGTAGGAGACGGTATCTTCGGCGACAATGGATGGCCATGGACTCATTGGGAGGGTGGTAACCGCTGCGGTGTAGGAACATTTCGACGGCCTGAAGGTCAGCGAGGTTTCGCAAAGTCGCGGTGGAAGACCTACATAACCACGAGCTTCGAAGGTGAAAGCTTGTTCGACATCGGCCCAGACATAGCCATCACTGGCGAAGTTGGTCCCGAGATGATTGAGGGGCTGCCAGGTGAGCATCACGGTTCCATCCTGGGGACCATCGAGAAAGGTCCAGTGCATGGGCTGAGCTTCGCGCACGATCTTCTGGGCGGACAGGAGATACTCGACGACGGTGTCGGTAGGCATCATATGCATAAGCGGGTAGCGATGACGGGAGACCAGGTGCATATGGGGGAGCTAAGAAAGACCGTCCGGTCAGTTTGATGCGATGCGACGGACGGAGGGATGGATTGAGATGGGGATGTATGTACCAATTGCCCGGGGACGCGGGCCGCTGGGTCGTCCATGATGGCGGGACGAAAGAGAGGAGGAGATTCAATATGCGCGATCAATTAGAAGCGAAGTCTGGGTCGAGAGGGAAGATGCATGGACGGAAGCCAGAGGATGGAGGGAACTGATGGTTCACTTGGACGGGAAACGCGACGCGGAAAGGATTTGGGTGCGGGTGGCGGGAGAGACTCATAGTGCAAGACACCTGATGAATCAGGCATGATTGTCGACACCTGAGGCCGTCCACTACTGGTTAATTGGCAGAGACCTTTCCCATGACTACCCATCCTCCTAAACCCTACGAACAATCTCACAATCTCTCACTTGACCACCCGTCTTTCACGAATCTCAAGGTGAATGGCACGACAACCTACAGGGTGTGAAAATACAGCGGGGAAGAATACGAACACGGACAAGCACAAGAAGTGGGAGGCAGCATTCACAGCCCGGATGAGGCAGGTTGTACCTGGTCTCTTCCTTGGAAATGTCGAGGCATCTCACAAACGGGATATGCTTCAAGGGAATCGAATCAACGCGATTGTCTCTCTTACCGATGCTCGGTGGGTGTGGTGGAACAGCACTACAAGAGAGGCAGGCATCCCAGCACATCGTCACAAATGGGTTCAGTGTGCAGATTCGTCGACGCAAGACCTCCTTGCTCATATGAACGATATCTGCGACTTTATTGACCAAATGGCATCCCCTGCTCTGTCGTCGTTGTCCTCCTTGCCCATCGAGCACAAACACGATACGGATGATGAGCCGTGTGGAGCACCCCCGGAGGCCATATTAATCCACTATGATCTTGGGATATCACGCTCGCCAGCGATTATTGTAGCCTATATCATGCGCAAACTCTGCATCACCCAAGCGGACGTGTTAAATTTTGTTCAATCAAAACAAAGAATCAAACCGAGCCCGAATTTCAGTCGTCAACTTCAAGTTTGGGAGGAGGTTGGGTATCAAGTATGGGAGGACGAAGACAAAACAGTCCCGAAAGCACCCTATAAGGCATATCTGGAGGATCGGGCTGCTCTCCTGGAGAAGAGAGGGCTCACCGGGAATGAGCCACTCGCGCCTCGAAATCTTTAATGGAGTATTCCGTAGTGATTTATATAGGGCCTCGCTCCTTTTAGGTCTCTGGATAACTGCCTCCATCTGTCAGGTTTCTCGCATCCCACGACCTCTACCTGGCCTTTCTGAGGTCGGACAGCATTTCCTTGATGAGCTCGTTTAATACATTGTCAAGAACAGCCTTCGTTGCGGTGCTTGTTCTATGTCGGAACTCATCCTCGACCACGTAAGTGTCATGCCAGATCTGTAAATCTCGTAGACAGATTGATTAACAACCCATCGAGATCATGCATATTATATGCTCCGCTTTCATCGTCCCGAATAGGTACTGGCGCCGGGGCATTTGGAAGACGGCTAGTGAAGCCGCGCGACAGCAACAAGCCGACAGTTCTTGCTGCTTTGATGGTCTCGATCGTCTCATTGCCCAGCCCTCCAGCTTCCTTGTTGAACGTGCTCCAGAATAAATCCTCCAATATAGTGTAATCGTCGTATATGATCCAACCAGTTTTGAGATGAATATTGCTTATTAGTCGTTGGTGGGAGTGAAGGTTCAGGCCAAATGGCGCAACCTCTGCTTCAGCCCAATCCACCACTCCAACTAGATTGCATGACGTTTCTTTCACCATGATATTGCAGGCACCAAAATCCTTATGTAGTAGGACCATGGGGAGAGACAAAACGGACGGTAAAGCGCTGATGGGTCTCTGGATCAAAGGGCGAAAACGGTCCGGCAGAGAAATGAGTAGTAACTCAAGGTCTCTCTTATGTTGATGATGTAGACTGTCGCTGTAGATTTGATCAACAACCTGAGGGGATTTCCACGAAAGCGCAAAGAACCTGGCATGTCGCGTAATCAGCATTTTGGCCGGGGACGCAGAGCACTAGACATACCTCGCGACGTCGATTATAAAATTCTGGCGCCATGAAGAAAACTCAACTGAATTTTTGGGGACTTGACTGTTATGAGCCAGGATAAAATCCAAGTAGCTAATTCCCGGTATTCTGCACATGACATAGATGTAGAGGGTTTCTTTGCCCTCCACATTTTCCACAACCTCTCCCCTAAAGGCGACCTGGGGAGCATAATCGCCATAAATAGTGCGAGCCAGATCTACCGTCTCCATGTCTAGCCGGTGAGGCTTGAGGTGAAACTGAGCGACAAATTCGTCATCTGGTCCAGCATAGACGGTATAGCTGCACACGCCCTGCACGGCTACCGGGACGACTTTACCACCAAGATGCTCTCTTGCAAAAGTGTCGCAGGCCGAGCGAGTCGCTGTAGTTCGCTCGAAGAAGTTGGCGATTTCTTCGTCAACAGAATAGGCCATGATGCATATGGGATTGCGGCGTTGGAAAAGATGCGTGTTTGGATAGTGCAGAGGTGCGGTCTGAGGACATGGAAACTGGAGAGTTGACCTTCGCTTTGATGTCCCTCTGAACAAAGGCCGCCCCTGCCTCTCCGTGTTAGACCGGTGCAACCTACCTAAACAACATTGACTGCACCCGTCTCTCAAGTAAACCTCTGTCAACCCAGATTACAACTACATAGGGCCCCGTGCTATAGTGTCTTCACACTTTTGGTGGCCTAGCAGATCCATCTTACAACTTCGTTCCTCCTCCCTCGACCATTGATCAGTGTCCTGCAATTCGTTTCCTTCTCCAATAAACGCAATAGAGCCTTGCGCCTTCCTCTTCCCGAATCCCCAAGATGCCGCTCAAAAGCCGCTCTTTCCCGCCCCTTTCCCTCCCAGAACACCGAAACCGACGATGTCCAGTTCACCAAACTGGATATATTTGGTCACCTGATGGTTCCCGGCCAGGACCCAAGCACCATTATCTCTTTGGATCTGTGGCGCTTGCGCGGAACTTTGCACAGGAAGGAATGGCAGTGATGGGATTGACTCCCGGAAACGTGTAGGGATTCGATGCGGCATGGCTGGAATATTTGGTACAGACTATCACTCAACAAGTTTTTGCTGGGTTGGGTACTTCTTCAAGCTTTTACTATTGGTAGTCAGCGTTAGCTATTAAGATTGCTTCAGAGGCGGAGGGTTCAATATCAGAGAGCATTACAATAAAAAGTGCCGACCTTGGTGCAAATTGCTGCCTATAGTGTATATTATCTGGCACTTCCCTTGGTGTGACGTCTTCCTTCCGTTCTTATGATGTCTTGTTGAACTATTAATCCTTCCGTCCTTCCTAATACTGTAAAGTCCGAAAGTTCCGCTACGGAAATCTCATACGTCGTTGTATCGCAGACTCTTTGAACCTCTTCCCAGCATCTACTTCATTCCCTGTGCCTGCCCATCGTTCGACAGTTCGATCCACGATCCCCTCTTTCTTGACCTCGTTCAAGCTCAATACTCCTCCTCTCGGTCTGCTTAGTGCCAACAAATCCGCCATCATGAAGCTCCTCCAGCAACTCGAGCGGGATTTGCTTGCATCCTCCAACGGGGAATCCTTTACTTATACCGCCACCGTCGATGAGTACAAGGAGCTCGACTTGTTCTTTCGAACTATACAAGCCCAAGTAAGTCCGACTTTGCCATATTTGTTTGCATGGTCTGATTGCGTGTAAAGGTACACCTTCATACCATCCTCCCACAAGCTTCATATCACAAGGCCAACATTTGTCCACAGCTCGGTTGTAAGGTGGTTAATGATATGGATATCCGAGATTTCGAACCGAGGAGATATCGACCTGTTTCAAGTAGCCCACGGCGCGGATGTTGATTTTACTCTCGAGTACCAGGGTGAAAAGATGTACGTTGACTACATTGAGACCTCTGACTGACTAGTACTAATCATTTTCATAGCGAGAAGACGCCCGATTTTTTTTTCATCCCTGACCGTCTACCTTTTCCTTCAGTTGCCCTTGAAGTTGGATACAGCGAGACATATGAACATCTGCTCCATTCCATGGACCTGCTGTTAGAAGGCAGCGGCGGACATGCCCGAGTAGTGATTCTGGTGAAGGTATTTCCAATACAAAGAGACCAGACAGAGATCGAGTCTGCATTTGTTGAGGTCCATGAGTACGATGCCTCATCTGGACGTCGGAAGAGGCGCGGAGGGCGGAAGATTAGTCCATTTCTATAGTCTCTATTGATTCCTCTGACGGTGGTTCTAGTCGCTTTATCCAACTCCGCAAAGCCATGCTCGACAGCATATCCAGCTCGCCTGGGACGATCTTCTGAGGGGCAATGACCATCTTTTACAGTCGGAGTCAGAAGCACCACCGCCCTTATCGTTTGATGTCCTTCGGAAATGTATTAAGATCGGTCTTGAGCTCCAGATCGCAAAGAAAAGGCTTCGAGAATAACAAGAGCCACGAGGACCAAACAAGGCTGTGATTCTGTCAAACCGCGAGTATAGCCATATATTACACCTTACATACCACTGAGGGTTACCCATTTTTGGTAGCGTAATAGTCGTTTTGGTTGACAGATTTTTTCTCTGTCTGGTCTTCTTGTATTGGAAACATTTTCACAGGATCAATACTCGGGTATGTCCGCCGCTGCCTACTAACAGCAGGTCCATGGAATGGAGCAGATGTTCATATGTCTCGGTGTAGAGAGAGTGTTCCCCGGAGAAGGAAACGAGTTGCAGGACACTGGGTCAAAGGTCCAGTAAGATGAATCTGCTAGGCCACCAAAAGTGTGAACACAAGTCGTGATCTGGGTTGACAGAGTGGACCGGGGAAGGGGCCGTGACCTGTCTTGGAGAGGAGAGAGGTTTATATATAGAGGTAGTATCTAGCTGGGGTGAAGGAAGGTACTCCGTAGTAACTGCACCCTTCTTTGTAGATGTGGTGAATGACGCTAGTCTACTTTCGGCATTGACATCATATTGCCGACCTGGGCATTCATCCATGGTATAGGTATGACGATGTATATTTCACTCTTTACAGATATGATTCTACTCACCCTCAGTCTGGATACCATAATAAATGGACAATGGGTGCATACCAGCCTCTCCAACCTCCTACGAGGTATACTCTACCTTACAGAAGGCTAAGCTTTCCCCGCCACCATTGCATTGCCCTTTCGGCAGATCTCCGATGATCGAGATCGAGCATTCAACTTTTCTCCTCCAGTTTCTTTTCCTTCGTCTTTCCCCCTGCAATGATTTCATTCTCTTGTTCCTTACTTCCCAACCGACTCTCCCCCTTCGGGCTGTGGCCCGCCATCCACCGTGGAAAAAAATAAAAGAACATGGCGCACCTGGTCCAAGCTAAAGCTGCAGATCGCCAATAGATCCGACGACCACTCGCCGACCCGACCTATAAAGGACCATCTTCCCCCTCTTGTCCCACTTGGGTTGCCTCGGTCGTCGCTTACAATCTCTGCGCTCTCTCTTGCGGTCGTGCGTCCATCATGAGGTTCTACAAAAAAGATTCAACTCCCAAGCGCCATAGTCAGCCCGATCCTCCACCATCATACGAGTCCCCCAAGCGTTCGCCTACCCCGGAAGATCCCGAGAAACAGCTGTCGGTCCCCGAGGAAGATACAATGGGAACCGCATTGCCCCAGATCCCTTCCACCACCATCACCATTGATCCAGCGGTGGAACGTCGCGTACTCCGGAAGTTGGACCTGCGAGTGCCCACCCTGTTGGGCTTCCTATGTAGGCTTCGATGCTGGTGCTTCTGGGCAGAATTTATCTCTAACGACACAGACAGATCTTCTGGCTATCGTCGATCGATCCAACATCGGGTGCGTCTTGCGCCCGTCCCCCGCTGTACCCCAGGCGTCCCCACTGACGCTTCCCCAGAAATGCGAAAATCGCCGGAATGGAAGAGGACTTGAACCTCTCCAGTGACCAGTATGCGTGGCTTCTGACCATTTTCTATATCCCATACGCCGTGTGCGAATTCCTCGCGTTGATGTGGAAGATTGTCCCATTCCACCGCTGGGCGGCGTTGACGGTTCTGGCCTGGTAAGTCTTTTCGCACGACCGAGCCCTCGAGGGACCTCTATCTCATGCATCGCAGGGGCATCTTCGCCACCTGTCAGGCCGCAGCCCAGAATTGGTCCGGTATGATGGCTCTGCGATTCCTTCTCGGTCTGGCGGAAACCGCCTACGGCCCCGGAGCCATCTATGCCTTGTCGTTCTTCTACCGCCGTCACGAGCTCGGTCTACGTTGCGGACTGTTCGTCTCCGCCGCGCCTCTCGCCAATACCTTCGCCGGTGCGCTTGCCTATGGGATCACGTCGGGCCATTCTAAGCTGGCCAATTGGCGTCTCCTCTTCCTTGTCGAGGGTGCACCATCCTTGATCGCCGCTGTCCTGGCATGGTTCTATCTGCCGGACCATCCCTCCACTGCTCGCTTCCTGACCGATGAGGAGAAGGAAGTGGCACGCGCAAGAGCCCTCCGTCAGAGCGGCGAGCACGTCGTTGTACACAATATTGACTGGAAAGATGTGGGCCGCACGCTACTAGATGCCAAAGCATGGATCACGGCTGTACGATCTGACCCATTTCCCTGGTTCCTGTTCCTCATGATCGCTGACGGTGTCACTCCAGTTGATGTACTTCAGCTGCAACGTGAGCTTCTCGTCGCTCTCCGCCTTTCTCCCCACCATCCTGAATGAAATGGGCTTCAGCGCCATCAACGCTCAAGGGCTGACGGCTCCGCCCTACTTTGCCGCATTGCTCACTACGTTGTTCACCACCTGGCTTGCCGACCGGATTCAACAACGAGGTTTAGTGATCTTCTTCCTGTCCATCCTGGGATGCGTCGGCTATGTTCTGCTGGCCACCTGCATGTCGGTTGGCGTACGTTACCTCGGTGTCTTCTTTGCAGCTGCAGGAGTCTTTCCATGCATCGCGAACATTCTCCCCTGGGTGCTGAGTACGTTTTCTTTCCTTGACCAGTTAATGCGCATCGCTAACCAACTAGTAGATAACCAAGGATCCGAGACTCGTCGTGGTATGGGTATTGTCATCCTCAACGTCGTCGGACAGTGCGGTCCCTTCCTGGGATCCAACATTTACCCCTCAAGCGACGGACCGCGCTACATCCTTGGGCAATCCGTATGTGCCGCCTTTATGGCGTTCAACGCGCTTCTGGCGATCACGCTGCGGGGAATCCTGATGTGGCAGAACCGACGCCTCGATAAGAAGCACGGGCCCCGTGTCGACAAGGGAGACGAGGGCGAGTTGGCTGAGGAGAATTACGGGTCGAACTTCCGATATGTGCTATAGACGGGGAAATGATTAGGGAGGGCTTATGATGTTAAGATATGACGAACGATTCATGTTACCAAAGATATGTAATGAGATGTATACATCAGTTGGACCGGGGGTCACGATCCCCGGTCATTTCTACATTTAATTAATATTAATTTCACGTGAGATTGCTGAATAGGACGATCTATGATCGTGCTCTGCCATGTATATCAGGAGCCGATGCTGAGATCACCCGCTGCCATCCGCATGACAGCCGCGATCAAATGATTCTACAATCCAACAAAACACTTTCCCCTTCATCGTCTCCCTCACCCCTTTGTTCTTCCGCTGTTCATATTGCCTTGAGTGATGTCTTCCTGCCGATATATAAAGTCACTACTCTTTGTCATTCTACTAGAGATACCTGCGGTTACTTAATACCTTTGTTCCCTATTTATAGGACCCTTTATTGCTGCTATAACAGAACTAATAGTCCTCCTTCAAACAGAGCAGAGGCAGAACTTGTTGATTATTTATGACAGAACACTCTGCGAGAGGTTTTTGTTTCTTCTTCTGAGCTGAATAGGCTGGTACATGGTGATCGCCTACCTCCCGGATAAGCCAGAATCGCCCCAACGCCATCGCAACCATGTGCTTTGTCGAGTTCGACGACGAAAAACCCTGCATACGAGTGACCGAGTTCCGTCCTCAACCGCTGCGCATCTCCATCCCAGGACCGCCTCGTCGCCGGCGCAGCAGCAACAGCAGCAGCAGCTCCAGTTCCGGTTCCAGTTCCAGCTCAAGCTCCAGCGCCAGCAGCACCACCAGCAACAGCCACAGTACAACCATCGTCCATCCTCCCAGACGACTACGACGACGCTTCTCCGACCACTACTGCTACCGCGACCCCCTTCCTTGTCCGCCGCCCGAGCGGTCCTACACCACCATCACTCGCACGCGCACCCGCCAGCGCGAGGAGTTCGTCCCCATTCGGACGTCCCGGCCACGGAGATGGAAATGGGTCGATATCTGGGAGCGCGACGACCCTGCGCGCTACGTCGAGTATGTGGAGCCCGATGAGTGGTCTCCACCAAGGCGAATCGTCGAGGAGGTGGAGTATATCTCCCGTCGGTAGTTGCGCCGAGGAGGCATGGCCCGTGGTTTGGACGGGGACGGCGTCAGGGTTAATGATATGTCTTTTGTGGAGAAATTCCGGTATGATGATATACGAGTTTTGTTCGTTGTGCAATGTCCTGTTTTGGTGTCTCCCAGGTTGATCTGTGATGACATTATTTGCGGTCGCACCCGTGGTCCGTCGCAAAGCTACCATCTCCAACTGTTCGACCCGGAGAGTCGGATCGGGTGTCGTCCATGGAACGAGGCCATCATCTGCCTATTCTTCCATTGTATGCTTGAGACAATGACTTCAACCATCCGCGTCTCCCGCATGACGTCAGGAAAGATGGTCGCCATGATGCCATTGAAGTATGCTGGGATTTCCTGGGTTTGAAGATTCGCATTACAAAGTTATAAGTTCTATATTCTATGACTGTCGAACATCACAAGTGTCTATTGCAATTTCCTGTATCCTATGGGTAGCTGTATCCCAGTCTGTTTGTTCCAAACTGTCTCGTGGAAGGAGCATTCGTCCTAGACCATTGTATATATATCACCACTTTGTGAACATCAACACTCGATTGATCTACAACATCTCAAATTCGAATCGCAATGATGTATGCACCCGCCATCACCACGAAAACCAAGCTAATCGCAGCAGGAATCGCAATCTATCCATCCGCAAAAACCCCGTCCCGGGGCGCCGCCGGTTCAGCATCGCCACGCTCCGCGGCCTGCAACAGCCCGGTCTGAGCAAGAAGATGAATCGTCTGGTGAAGTCCGAGAACTCGGTGATCAGCGCGCACGAGAAAGCCGGTCGCGAGCGTGTGTCCGTCGCCTCGCAGTTGTCCGAATGGGGCGAGTCGACGGAGGACGACGCCGTCTCTGACATTTCCGACAAGCTGGGCGTTCTGATGGCCGAGATGGGCGAGCAGGAGGATGTCTTCGCCCAGAACCTCGAGGACTACCGCACCCTGCTCAAGCATATCCGCGACACTGAGAGCTCCGTCCAGCCCTCGCGCGACTACCGCTCCAAGGTCGCCGACGATATCCAGAAGCAGAAGCTTAAGGATCCCAATAGTACGAAGTTGGAGACCTTGGAGCAGGAGCTTGTTCGCGCTGAGGCACAGAACTTGGTGGCTGAGGCTCAGTTGACTAATATGGTGAGTTTGTCTGTTTATGATCTGTGAAGATGGTGATGCTGACTGTAGATAGACCCGGCAAAAGTTGAAGGAGGCGTACGATGTCCATATGGCAGCTGTGATTGAGCGCGGAGAGAAGCAGATCTTACTGGCTCGTCATGCTCGTCGTCTGCTCAACTGCCTCGATGACACTCCCCGTTGCTCCAGGCGATGCGAGAAAGGAGTACGACCGTGCCTATGAAGCCAAGCAAGTGATTGAGGAGGCCGAGAAGGATCTCCTGGCCTGGCAGCCGACCATCGCTCCTATCCAGACATCTGCAGGTGAGGTCCCGGCCAACACCTTGCTCCCTGCGCCTGCTCGCGAGGCCAGACAAGAGCGGACCACAGGCGCAGTTGCACCGGATGAGGACTTTGCCTCTTCCAACGAGTCCGTTCGAGACCTCCGCGGCTCCGTCTCGGATAGCCAGGAGTACCAGTCTGTCGGCGAACCGACTAGAGAGTATGGCGGGCTCGCTGGCACAGCTCCTCCGGCGACCAATGGATACACCCCCCGCACCACTGACCGATTCCACAAAGTGGTTCCAGACGAGCAGCGATATGTGGGCGGGCGTGTCAGAGATACAACCAGAGCGGCCGTTGTCCCTGATTCTATGGAATACAATGCTCCGGTTGCCGAGAGCAGAGAGCCGGTTGGCACTGATATGGGTCCTACCAAGGGCATTGATGAATCAATTACTGGAGCATCAAAGGGCGTCAATGGACCTGTTACAGATGCCGACGACCTGTACGGAGCTACTTCTGGCGCGGCTGGCCCTATGGAAGGGGCTACTACAGAGGAACGAGACTTCACTGGAGGAATGGGCAGCGCGGGCATTGAGTCTCAGAGCATCAGTGGAGCTGAAGCCGGCGCAACAGGCATCAACACCGCCATGCCCGAGACCCAAGGCTATGGTCAGTCGACTGTCGGCACCATGACCGACGGAGTCCCAGAAACCAGTGGAATGAAACAATCTGCTGGATATGAATCTGATGACTGGGACAAATCGTCCACTGGAGACCGCGGCATTGGTAATGATACCAACGGGCCCATGGGCGAGAGTCGAGACCTGGATGGATCGAGCAAGAGTACTGAGATGAACGGAAGAGGGCAGACCCGGAACTTGGAGGAGTCTGTGTCGCAGTTCACAAATGACACCGACGGCTCCATCACGACTCGAACCGTACGCGAGACCGTGGTGACGAGAAATCCAAGTGGACTGGTTGATGGAGCACAAGACACGCGGGAGAAGCTGCAGACCCAGCCTCATATGCTGGGAGGATTCGGATTGCAGACGATCGGGGTGCCTTATTAGTAATTTGGATGTATTGAATGTATTGTATGTGTTTTAGTGTTAGGGCGTGGAATAAGTAGAAGATGATCAAAAAGTCATAATACTACCTGAGTGATGATGGGGAGAGAAGAAAGTAGAAGATGAGTAAGCGCACGTGATCTAGGCGCAAGCAGGTGACGCGGAGAGCAACAACGAGGAGCTCCTCAAGCGTCACTCCGCCATCATCCATCTCGTCCTCCTCTCCTCTTCCTCTCCTCCTTCTTCCGCCTGTACATTAGTCGTCTCCTCCATTTCCTCTTCTTCCCTCAGCTCGCACCACCACCGTCCTCCATCATGGATAAATTGGTCGCCCAATACACCCGTTCGCCTCATCAGAATGAGTTCTATTCCGAGCAAGAACAGCGTGACCTCACAGAGAGCCTCCCTCCGCTTTCTCTGAAATTCAACCTCCCTCCCATTGACAACGTAAGGATGACCTTCTCTCGGAGCTCGTTCGGGCTAGAACAGTTTGGACGCGATCATGTCATGGGCTACATCATGCACCTCCAGACTTGGGCAGCATCATCTCTCCGAAGCATCAAAGACATCCGCTAACCTGAATGCTTGCTCTCACCTAGTCCAGAGCTTTCCTCCGCGCTATGACCGATGACCACTCGAACCCCAGCTGCCCCATCAAGCTCGCTCACGGAACAACGACGTTGGCCTTCCGTTTCCAGGGCGGAATTGTACGCTTGCTTCTGTCCATCTATCCTCGTCTCAGCTCGTCTAACAAGGTATCTCCATAGATCGTCGCAACCGATTCCCGAGCCACCGCCGGAAACTGGATCGCCAGTCAGACAGTGAAGAAGGTCATCCCCGTGTCACGGCTGAGCCGCGGTGAGGATAAGCCGACAGATGCCCCCACGCCGGGTCTGTTGGGAACCATGGCTGGAGGTGCTGCGGTATGTGATCCATCCGACGTTTATAAGCTCGTCGTCGCCGTACTGATGTTTCTAGGATTGCCAATATTGGCTGAGATATCTGAGCCAGCAGTGCACACTCCACGGTAAGCCGCAGCCCTTCCTTTCGAAGGGTCCAATTGCTAACAACACACAGAGATCCGCCATAAGCGCCGCATCACTGTTGCTGCTGCCTCGAAGATCCTTGCCAACCTGACGTACGCCTACAAGGGATATGGACTCAGCATGGGTACAATGTTAGCAGGAGTATGTTGCGTCATTCTCCAACTCTCCGTGAACGCACTAACACCTCACCTCTTTAGATGACCCCCCAGGAAGGCCCTGCGCTCTACTACATCGACTCCGACGGAACACGACTCCCCGGCAACCTCTTCTGCGTTGGATCCGGTCAGACCTTCGCCTATGGTGTGCTGGACGCCAACTACCGGTACGACCTGACGGAAGAGGAGGCCCTCGAGCTCGGTCGGCGGAGTATTCTGGCCGCCATGCACCGTGATGCGTACTCCGGTGGTTTCATCAACCTGTACCATGTCAAGGAAGAGGGCTGGGTGCACCACGGCTTCAACGATATGAACCCGATCTTTTGGAAGACGAAGCTGGAGAAGGGCGAGTTCTCGAATGTCACGTCGGAGCTGTAAGAGGGTTCAATGGGCTGCGGTTCAGCTGCTGCATGGTGAATATGATACGTTTGTTTCCTTAGGCATAAGATATTAACTTTCTGGGTTGACTTCGTTCTTGATGTTAGTAGACATGTACTAAGTACGGGGGACAATCGAAGATTCTAATTCGGAATTCAAGCTACACGTATCCGGGTGATGAAGAACAGGAATAAATAAAATATGCTAGACACGGACAATTATATCCCAAAGATAAATACATCCCCCAAACTCAAGAAAGGCTCAAATGCTCCCCATCTATACAATATAACATATCACTCCCCTTGACTTTTGGTTCAGAAATAGGATCATATCACCATCCACCACGTCTACGCATTACCCACCCGGAATTTCATCCTGATACCCATCGCCGCCAGCTCCACATCCAGATACCGCAGCACACCGGGGACAGCGACAACAGTGACATTATCACCGCCCACATACCGGCGGCCATCGCCGTCCTCCCAGATGACAGCCCGGGAGTCGTCGAAGACAGCCTCACGGGCACAGCGACGACAGCGCACAATACCCGACGAGCCGCCCGCCTGCGTCTGGGCCGGCGCAGACGCCTTAGCAGCCACAGCGGCCGCATTGCGGGCCTTGCTCGAGCCGACGGAGGAGACAGCGACTTGGGTGGAGAGGAAGGAGCCGCAGTCGCGGCAGATCCAGGCGCGCTGGGTGTCGGAGCAGTTCATCAGACGGTCCTGGAGGATGAAGGCGGCGCCGTGGGCGATGAGCGAGTCGCGCTCCATCTCTCCGACACGGATACCACCGCCCTTGGCACGGCCCTTGACGGGCTGGCCGGTCAGCGAGTTGACGGGACCCGTCGTGCGCACCTGGAACTTGTCGTTGACCATGTGACGCAGACGCTGGTAGTGCACGACGCCGATGAAGATGTCCGCTGCGAACTCCTTGCCCGTGATCCCGCTGTATAGCGGCTCGTTGCCGTAGTAGTTGTATCCGGCTTTGCGGAGCTGCTCGCCGAAGTAGTCGGTCGCGGTGTTTTCTTCCGAGAACTGGAAGGGCGTCGAGTCTTGCGGGTGCCCGTGCAGCGCGCCGGCTTTGCCGGCCATGGATTCGATCATCTGCGCAATCGTCATACCTGTTGGTTTTGGTTAGTTGGATGGGACCCAGGGAGAGAGGAGGGGAGCACTGACGGGAGGGGAAAGCGTGAGGGTTGATGATGAGGTCGGGCTGGATGCCGCTCTCGGAGAAGGGCATGTCGACCGCGGGCCACAGCTGCGAGCACACACCCTTCTGACCGTGACGCGACGAGAACTTGTCACCGATGACGGGCTTACGGGGCACACGGTACTTGACGCTGATCGACTGGCAGGGCTCGACACCGGTTTCGGCGCCCATGACGCGGATGCTGTCGATGTAGCCCTCCTCGGCGTCCTTGTACTTGATGAAGTGGGTGATGCCGTCGACGTTGACGTAGGAGTCAGTGGCGGCGTCGTAGCGCACGGTGTGCCAGGCGGCGACGAGACTGCCCTCGCGCACGCGGGCGCCAATGTGCGGAAGACCGTCTTCGTCCAGGGAGTTACGCCATTCGGCCTTGATCTCGCCGCCCGGGGCGAAACCGAAGAGCTTTGTGATCTCACGGCGAGAGCGGCCCCTCCGGGAATCCTTGTCGTCCAGGGAGTGAATCTTCGTCTTGTAAATCGTACCGTGTCCGAATCCACGCTCGTGCGAGGACTTGTTAATAATCATAGCGTCGTCCATGTCGTAACCCGTGTAGGAGATAATCGCCACCACGGCATTGGTGCCGTTGGGGAAGTTGTCCAGTCCGTAGGCGTTGTACAGAGGTGGCCGCACAATCGGCGTCTGACCCGTCTGCAGTCGGTAGAGCTTGTTGTCTGTGCGGTAGTCGATGGCCGTGCCCGGCGTTCCCATCGTTTGTTTGCTCATCTGGCATTGGTACATGTTACGCGGAGACTGGTTATAGTCGGAGAAAGGCGTCATGTTGGCAACAATGGAAAGGATGTTGGTAGGGGTGAACTCAATGTGTGTTGAGACGCCCGGAATAAGATCTTCCGGTAGGCAGGCGATCTCCAGGAAGGGCTGTTCGAACGGGCCGACGTAGTCGAGCTTGTCGAGGAGCAGGTACTTCACAGGCCGGAACATACGAGCGGCCTGAGAGAAGATGTAGATGCCGGGGTACTGACCGCCGTTGGAGTTGGGAACGTATCCAATCTCGAGCTCCTTGGGCACGTTGTGCATCTCCATCACCTTCCAGTATCTCAGTGTGTCCGCGACAACGCGAGCCTGTTTCGGCGAGCAATAGCCGACAATTCTGCCGTCGATCTGGACAGGGACACTCTCGTCGAGGGAAACGGAGGACTCGGAGCGCACGCCAAGCTGGACCAGCAGTTTGGGGAGGTGGGACACATCGATGTCGCTAGTCGAGATCAAGCATTTGTGCGCAAGATGGTTCAGCAGACCACAGGGCGCTCCATCAGGAGTGTGGACGGGGCAAAGGAAACCCCAACTCTCGGGTAGCAGCTTACGCACAGTGGTCGTCTTCAGCTGCGCGAAGAAGCTACCTCTGTGGATCATTCGGAAATGACTGATGAACCGGTAGAAGTTGATCTTCTCCGCCATAACGGTGTAACCGGATGCCTGTTGCAGATCCAGACCTGTGGGACTGACGAGGTTTCCGGTGGACAGGAAGTATTCCAGCGCACTACCCAGGTTCTCATTGCTGCGCTTCACAATCTTGCTCAGGAAATCCCTCTCGAATGCCGGGTCCGTGAACTTGGCACCGTTGTTGCGGTTGCTCCAGTCTCTGAGAATCGGTCCGAAAGACCGAACCCACTCCTCCAATCGCTCTTTAAGGATCATTCCATAGAGGAATCCTCCGAGCAGGATTTCTTGGTTGGACACAGCATCCGGGTTATCGGGGGCACAGTCGCCAGCGACAAGAGCGTACAGCTTGCGGATCATAAACATGATCATCTTGAACTTGTCGTAATCCTGAGTCTCCGTCACGTTCTGGTTGCCCAGGTGAGGCAACACAACCTTGCGCAGGAACTCGGTACCGGCGTCTTCATTGGACATGTCGGACGGGACACCAAGAACGGGCTTGAACTTTTCTCCCAGGTACGCCCGGCAACTGGAGCGGGTGTGCACGTTGTATCCTTTGTATGTGCGCAGCAGAAGTTCAACGCGGTCGGTCACGAAAGTGTTGTTAATTCCCTCGGAAGAAGCGTTGCCAACTAGACCCTCGAAAATTTCACGGTCGTTGGTCTCCACCAGAGCCTTGAGGATCATCATAACCGGAATGAGATACTCGTTCTTTCTCCAAGAAAACCGGAAGGTAACATTTCCGTCGCTGAGGTAATGAAGAACGTTCGTCTGCGAGGTCTGGTCGGGTCGCACGGATCGGATCTGAATACCGTATTTCGTGTAGGTATGGCCACGCTTGACAAAGGAACCACGGATGATGGCCATGGGAAAGTTTCTCTTTCCCACAACCAGCATTCGGATGAGCTTTTCGTTTCCGTTGACAATGAAATAACCACCCAATTCCTCCGATTCTTCCTTGTGCTGGACGAGCTCTTCGGGGGTGGCCTTTTCGAGATGGCACCGGTTGGTCTGAGCAATTTCTACGTTAGTTTAATCTGAAGCATGCAATCCACTCGAGCAATGCAGCATGGGACAGTTTACTCACCCGAAGCATGATAGGCACCTGTCCCAGCTCGCGAACGCTTTCCACCCAGTCGCCGTTGTTGACCTGGTACTCGAGCCGAGCGCGCAGCTTTCCACGGTAAGTCGCATGGCGCTCTCTGCACTCGGACGGATAGATATTACGGTTGCGAGTGGTGAACTTGTTTGACGGGGGAATGGCGGGGCGGTCGAGGAAAACTTCGCGGATCCGGACGTTCAAGCGGTTGCGCTTGGGAGGTCGTCGTCCCTCTGCCTGCCGGGCTTTCTTCTGTTCGGGGGTCTCTGGCTCGCCATCGATGAAGGTCTTGGTACCGATATCCTTCAAGGCAGCATCCAAGACCTTGCTGCCGTCGAACAGCGCATTGAAAGAATCGACGTGCGGCTTGATTGCATCGGCGAGAGACGGATATGCGGTGCGGTCCTTGGGTGGATGTCTGAATAGCCGCTCCCGTCTGAGGACGTCGTAATCGACGGACCAATTGGTGTCCGTCCGTGCGAGAGCCATGATTTGCAGGATTTGCTATCCAGAGAGCGAGGCTCGCAGGGTGTGCTGAGACTTGAAAGAGCAAAATTGAAGCCGCTCGTCGGGGAAATTTTTCGAGGTGGACCCGGCGGACAGATATCATCACGTGTTGATAGTTATGGTGGTATCTTAGTCAGCCAAGTCAGGCACTAAGGCATCAATTTTATATCTCTTGAGGATGATGATTACGAAGGCCACATTCTATACTTATGCCACCAAACAAAGAAAGCTTGAAGTCTATCGAAAGTATCTAAAACACAAACCCAGTCATGCTTTGCTGCGATTCCAGGTCCCACGCTCTACTGATCAGATACTCGACCTTGGCCACATCGGTGAAGCCTCCATAAGTAGCGAGCGATCGTGTCTTTCGTTCAAGTTCAGACCTGTAGTTGTGTCCTGTCAGCCCACTCTCCCCTCTCATATAGAATACCTGGACGACTTACTTGGTCAGTGGCATTTCGGGGTCTCCCTTGCAGAATACCACCGACTCCGTCAACTTACGGCCGTCCTTGCACGTCACAATCACGGTGCCCTGCCAGCTCTCAGGAAACTTGGAGTCAATTTCAGCATCATATTCCATCATCACTCGGCTCTGGAAGTCACGCAGGGAGGCATCTTCCAAGTCCGCTCCCGTAAAGTCCGTAATCATAGCCTGTTTTTTCTTGGCGGCGATTGCGAGCACGAATCCCATCGAGAACTTGCTTTGGTGCACAGTCTCTCCCTTTCCACTCAACCCCAGGACATTCAGTGCAGCCTGGTAGGTACGGGTCACCACGGAATCAATGTCCTCAAACTGGACCTGGTGTTTCTCCATGAGGCTCAACAGAGCATCGACGCTCGGGTGAGTGTGTCGACATGACGCATGCCATTTGAAACTGGAACCCAGCACAGCCCAGTCCGAACCCAAGTCCTTGTCTATCGTCTCGGAATCGGTCTTTCCTGGGACCAAGGCCACTCCCATTCCTTTGGATCCTTCCAGGACGTCGCGGGGACCAAGGAGGCCATCGCGAGCGGTGTAAGCGGCGAAAATGCCGTCAAAACACGCCTTGGCTGTGTGCACCTGTTTCGAATGGGTGGCGTCTAGAAGGAACTGCCAGAGACCTGCTGCCTGCGTACCAGCCGTTCCAATGGCGGCCAGGGTCTGTTCCGCATCCAGGTGCAAGAGCCGAGCCACAGCGGCTGCAACGCCGAGCACTCCCCCGGTAGCTGTGGAGTGGAATCTCTGGTTGATGTGATGTTATTATGGGCTCTTTTGTAAGGATAGACCAGTGCTTACCTCGTAATGGCTCTTGCCCATGTATTGTCCGGCACGGCAGCCCACCTCATATCCCACTACGCAGGCCGTAATGAACTCTATGCCGTTTGCGCCGATCTCCTGCGCAACGGCAAGTACCGCTGGAAAGATGACCGTAGCCTATATTTCGATCACCTGTCAGCCGAAGGCTGAGATACACAGTCCAAGGACGTACCGGGTGCATGATGCTCCGGTTATGAAGATCGTCTTGCTCAACCACATGGGATGCAGCGGCATTCACCAAACTAGCAAATGCAGGGCTGGTTGTGAACCCTAAAGAGCCATCCACGAACTCGCTCTTCCCGGTAGTCGGTCCCATTTGAGAGGCGAACCGGGCAATCGCAACAACCGCGGGATGGCTTCGTCCTGCGATACAGCATCCCAGCCAGTCAAGGAACAGGTCTTTCGTGCGCTGGACAGCGGCTGATGGGATCTGCTGATACTGGAGCTCCGCAGCCCATTGGGCTAAGCGCTCGGTTCGTGTCTTAGTTTGGGTCATTATTCTGCTTGTAGGACGTGTTCGTTGTAAGTGGTGGATTGGGTCTTATAGAAGGGGGCATATGAGAAAACAGTGGAGATATAAATGGAGCACCACGCGTTGACAAGCACCCGAACAGACCATTTTCTGTGAGCTGCGCTTCCTGATTTGATACTGTAAAGCCGATATGGGCCTCGGGGAGGAGGATGCCGAGGAAGATATCGCCTTTATGGTCAACCATTGATGCCCCACCCCCACCGCGGAACCGTCCATGGGGCTTGCGGGGTCCAGCAGCTTTTCTACTCCGGAGTACAATATCCAGTGTATCCATTCGATTTCAATGCTCAATCAACTGTCAGTTTTGCTATTCCGAGTCTCTAGTACCTATGGAAGCTGCTCCCTACACTGGTTGTCAAGGACTGGTCACTGACCGACGAAGACGTCGAAAACACAAAAGCCATTACAATTAGGCGCTCGAAGTGTTGTGTCTACGCTGTCTAAGTACATACAAAGCGTCTATCATCGGTCGTGATGTTGTTTCTTCACCGAAATCCCGTGGAAAAAGGGCCAACCCAATGTCCCCCAGAAGTCCGTGGCATAGACGTGGAGAAGCAGATTGTCTAGGGCGTCCCGCTGCGTGAGAGGAATGCGACCCCATCCAATGCTCATCTGATGGCCGGACGCTGGCGGTCCAGGAAGACTGCCCATAGACAGCCACAATCTTCGTCACCGCGGTAATGGTCTTCGGCCGCTGCCAGGTGGTATTTAATTCACAGACCTGCTGTAAAACACATTTGAACGACATTCGACCATGAAAATCGATTCGAAAATCCTCGCAGGCCATCGCATCTCCGTCCAGAAGGTCTTCATAGGGCAGGACCTGCACCCGGGGGTAATGGTCGGCGGTTCAGGCCGCCTTGGGATCAAAGGGAAAGCCGATCTCTTGACAGTACTCCTCGAGGGTGGAGACGACCGCAGCGCAGGTTGAGCGAGAAAGGTCCCAGCGCGACAAGGGCACGCCGACAAGGCAACTATAGTATCGACCACCTCCGTCGTTAAGGAGATCGACTACATGCACAGCATGTATGCAATTGTCTATGGCCTGGAGCATTTCGTTTCCCAGATTTCCTCTTGCCGGATATAGTCGAGACCGTTGCTTGTGGCGTATTCGTCCCTGCGCCCCTCTGCCGGAAGAATTGCTTGGAACGCCGGCTCGAAAATTATGATTGCACGTTTCCCTCGTGCGAACCCGAGACGAACGCATGTCCTGTTAACCAGATATGGTTTCGGGACTCTTGCATTGAGTCTGTTGTCACGACCTTCAGAGAGTCAGCAAATTCCATACCTCCGGCCTGTACTACCTTGAACGAAGACTCTTGATGCGAATTGTATAAGCGCCTGTTGTCTAATATTGACCGAAGTGCTCACCACACTACCGAAAAGTGCCGAGGCATCTAGTGGTACGTACGGCGTAATACTGTGGCCTCAGTCCGCCAAACATGCTCTCCGGGATTGCAGGAAACGAAAGGGGCATCTGCGATGTGAACTCATTGAAAGAGGTTTGTCGGAGTGTAGCCACTCAGCAGATGGTTCAAGGAATCACCCCCGAGCGCCTTGCAATGAGACATGGTCCCAGCTTCCTTTTACAACCTGCTTCTAAACCCTGTTGAGTGTTGCCCTAGGGGAACAGGGCTCATCATGTGAAACGGCCACTAGGAAGAGACGCGTTCGAGTGAAGGCGACATTTGCCCTCCGTTTGTCGCTGCCAAAACCAAGATCCACATTCCTTCCGGCCCTAGACACTACTCTCTAGGATCACCACATCAGCTTCCCTATCTGGATACTGTCAATTGTCTCGATGCTGACGTTTCTCTGCAAATCTCGGCCGACCCCTTGGCCATCTCAAGAAGGGCACACACGTAGCGCACGCGCTGATCGGCGTACGGGACAATAACCGCGATGGATAGGTTGGTAGTTGCTTCGTCATTAACAAGAGACTTAAGCAAATTTATCGCAACTGCCACGCTTTCGCCGTTAGAGCGGGAATATATCAAGAGGTTGGCGTTTGTGGTGCCATCGCCATGGAGGGCGAGTGTATTCCCGTTGAGAGACTTGATAGGCCGGCTAGTGCGAACTTCTTGGGAATAACAAGTCCGGATATGCTGGGATCATCCTTCATCGACTCTCTGGAGGCCTCGGCTGCCTCCCTAACTATAGGCTCCTTGTATCTGTTAGCATCGTCACCTCAACCATTGTCCGGAAAGACGGCTTACATATGCTTGTGCATATATATATCTGTCGAATTCTGTCCGAGAGACATAAATAACGTCATACTCAAGAAAACTTTCTGTTCACTTTAGAAGAGGAAATGTAATGTACCAGAGACACGAGAGGCCCGTTAGCGTGGCCACCATGCCCGTATCTGCACTCTAGTCTGACGTGGCAGGCACCGTCGGATACCGTTCCCATACGACCCACTTGACCATATCGGCTGTCAGGACCTTGAGTAATTGCTGACAGGGCGGTCCTTTGACCGGGCGCTCCCGGCATGAGCGACATGATCTCTTTCTGGATCATGGAGAGGAGAGTGCGTAGATTGGGCTGCCGCGCAACAGGTACTTAAGGGCTTCCTCGTCAGTAGACGTCTCTGGGATAGCGTGGATGCTCAAGAGCAGGTATTCGACGGGTCAAGCGATGACATGGTTCGTCTTCGACGAGTGCGATAAGGGCATAGACAAAGGCCTGGAGACAACCGCCGTGGAGAGTCTGGCTAGAAACGGTATGGCAGCAGCGGAACTAGAACGACAGAGAGAAAGATAGAGGTATAGAGCGGTGTGAGATCTATCCGATGCAAGCTGGGAAGTAGGTACAAGGACAGAAGATAAAGAGTTAAGGAGGAGAGGGAGGAGAAAGAAGGAGGAGGTATAGGAACTAACTTTTATACAGGAGGAACCAAGATGAACAGGGAAAATGTTCCTTCACTGGTTTGTAGATAATGAACAGAGTGCTTGTATCGATCCAAACGGATTTCACCTATAATGAATGACAGAAGATAGTCACTCTGGTCTGCTTCCCAATTACCATTTCCACGCTGGGTCAGTTTAATTAACATTTGTACCCTATTAATTTTATATTGAACCATTTGGTAACATTCCTAGTATGTCAATTCACCGCATATACATACTGTAGGAGCACACCGGTTGGCGCTATGGATAGAGGAGGTCTGTCAAGAGGACTGCCATACGTACCGCTTGATCAACCAACTAATCCATTATGTTACATGGAGTATCTTACTACTTAATTTAGTAGTTTAGGTAAATGTTGATATTGTTGTAGTCAGCTGACTGGACCCTTCTGGACGGCGTGCTCACGAGACCCCACCCTCTGCCTTGAAAACCAGGCAGCCATGGGCCCTTGTAGCCTCAGGCATGAAGATAGATGAATGCATCATCAACTCTCGTCGTCTTGTTTTGTATCTTCAATCGTCCAACCCTCATCTTATAGAATCGACCGACAAAAGAATCCCGTGAGATATCTCTGCTGCCCTCGGAAGACTCTATTCCTCACTGCAACCGTGCCACCCTTCCAGGCTTCTGCTCCCGCGCGCTGGAAATTGCCCAACCTTGACCCCTTCTTCCCCCCTCGTGCGACCAGGGAGGGATTGAGCTGCATGGGGGCTCAACCACAGCTAACTAGTACATGGTTGAGCGTGCATGACTTGACGGACCGGGAAGCGCTCTTACTATTCGACTACGGAGCACTGGTGCCCTTATTATTGCTCCATTAAGGACGAGGTACCACTTTAACTGCCTAAGCGCTCCCCTCCGCAGAGAGTGAACGGTCATGCGCGTGCCCACATACATCCATCGAGTTTCACCGCAAAGTAGCCGCCGCCTGGAGAGAGCAGAAAAAGAAAACGACCACGTTCGAATTTCTTCTGGGGACTACGATTCCTTTCTGAGCCCTCACCGAGGAGTGTCCGATAGTCCCCCTCGACTTCCCGGTTTGGACCATCTACCATCAATAATCAGAAGCATCAGTCACAACTGATCCATCCATCCATCCATCCATCCATCTCCCGCCCCTACGAAGTCTTGCGCTTCGGCTGGAATCGGTTCGTCCCAACGTCCACACTCCCTTCGGTCTCCCCTTCTCTCGGCCTTCCTCTCTTCATTTTGCGACCTTCGTCGCGGCCGCTTTGACTCCACATATCATCATCTACCGAGATAGCGCCAGTCAGCTGTTTTTCAGCAACCCACAACCCCACTTGGTCACTACACAACTCCTCGTCCGACAGTCGCTCGATATATTCAGTCGCACCGCCGGAGTCGGTCGCCACGAAACGCCCTCTTTTCCCCTATAACCCTCGTCCGTTTTATTCGTCCGTCGGTCCGTCGAGCCGTTGGTCTCTGCAACCATGGCGGGGATCTTTCGAACCATCTATGACTGGCTCCTGAGGATGTTTTGGTAAGTGGGCCGCTGTTCCAATAAATGAACCGGAAAATAGTCCCTATGTTTCCCTTCCCGGCCCGTCCCCGCAAATGAAAAAGAAGGTTCGGCATGCTAAACGCTGTACCATAAAATCGCAGGGCAACGGAGATGGATGTCACCATGATCGGGCTTCAAAATGCGGGAAAGTCGTCGCTGCTGCGTGTGCTAGCGGTATGCCTCCACCCGACCGTCCACCAGTATTTGCGCACCGCCGCCGTCGCTAACTTGATGCATGCCATCTCGTAGGGAGGCGAGTTCACTGTAGAGTAAGTGTCTTCTGCCGTAGGGTTTAGCCTGGTCGCCAGTATTGTCGTGCCTTTCTTGCTAAGTCCGATCGCAGCTCCATCCCAACCATCGGGTTCAACACGAAACGGGTTCAGAAAGGCCATGTGACTTTAAAATGGTCGGTACTGCGCATTCCTGTCCGAGATATCAGGATTCTAACCGTCGTTCAGTTGGGATCTGGGAGGACAGCCGCGTTTCCGGCCGATGTGGGAGCGGTATTGTCGGGGCGTCAACGCCATCGTGTGAGTTATCGAATTCAAGGCCGGGTGTGATGTCGGTACATATGAGACTGACTGGTGATCGCGTTGGGGGTACAGGTATATCGTGGACGCGGCGGACCGGGAAGCCTTGCCGGTCGCAACAGACGAGTTGCATGACCTGATGACGAAGCCGACGCTGGACGGTATTCCCCTGCTGGTTCTGGGGAATAAATCGGACCTGCCGAACAAGTTATCGGTCGACGAGCTCATCGACGCGATGGATTTGAAGTCCATCACCCATCGCGAGGTGAGCTGCTATGGGATCAGTGCGAAGGAGGAGACAAACCTCGACGCGGTCCTGCACTGGTTGATTGCACGAGCCAGTCGATGAAGGCAGCAAAGCGCCTTTCCTTGTCGATTCTTCCCCGGTTTGACCTTGAATGTTTTGTAGATTTCTCATACGGCTCGCTGCCACCTCAGAGTAATGACTTGACGATGTGAACCAGACACATTTGACTTGAGCGTAACGGAATGTTTCTTTTGAGCCCTGATGCATTCGTTTGGTTGTCTTTTCTGGTGTTGTTAGTTGGGCTCCACTGCCTTTCGTTTGCGATGGATATGCCCATCGATCATTTGTACTGTAAAGAAGTGGCTGTTTCTGGGAGCAATGATACCCAGCCAGAATGTCGATAATAAAATATCACGGAATTCGATGAGATTCAGAGACAGCAAAACTGGAGCCCAATATCAACTATGTCGAAGCAAGAATTCGGCCAGGAGCTGTGCTGGAAAAATAACCCCAGCTTGAACAGGGACAGCCAACCCCCCATAACAGAAAAGAAGAGAGAAGAGAGAGAATCCACCCGGAGCGACCGAAGTGATTTATGAGCATCGCGGAGGGACAACACACAGACCAACTGATGCGTTGGCAATGCAGATGCGAAGACGGGAACTAAGGAAGCCCTCCCATGCAGCAGCCAACAAATCCTCTCCGTCCACGCCAGGCCACTGCCCGTCATAGGCTCGCGGCGCTGGAGTCGCCTCGAAGTTCCTGCGAATCGTTGCGTGCCTCGTTGGGTGTCCATGGGTCTCGAGGTCATGTTATGGTGGGTTTTGTTTTGGGTAACTGAGGTTTCACAGTGTTTGTTAGGGAATCATGTGAGTGTATCTCTCTGCCACTATATCTACGGAGTTGATTTTGGTTGTCTACTGTTCCTTTAGAGCAGTTGTCTCGACTGTATATCCCCCAGGGCTTGGGATTATCATTCCCACAAACAATATAACATGCAGGAGAGGGATCGGGCTGATCTGAAAGGAAAAAGCAAAGGGCTTGATCAACGCAGGGGTCACCTGCGACCTCCTATGTGTACGCGGTGTGGAAGACCTCTCGATAATGTATCGTGTCAAGAGAAATATCATTAACAGAGCTTTAGTGTCCAACAGAGAAAAGAACCGATAAGCATAAGGTATTCAAGGTAGACGTCCCAGAATCCATCCACCACACCAGACCCTCATTAGAGCAGAAAATGCGCCAAGAATGAAAGGACCTGGTCTGGATGTCGTCGGTAGAAGGCACCTGCCATTCCCTGATGAAAGCATTGTAGAGCTATCGGGGTTTGATAGCCCTTTAAGCATTTTGGTATGCAGGCTGGCAGGCTGCGGATATAGCCTAGGACTCACACAGCCTTCCTATAGGTAGCCAGTTCTACCAATGCTACCAGTGCTAATGCCAGGTACCAAGCTAGGACGGAATCCAGGACGCAAGGGTCCTGGGGAATTTACAATGCGAGTCCAATTGTATACCTGCATCTTCCTTGCGCACAAATCGGACGCTTGGTAGTAGTAGAGAAGCAAGGGAGGTCGACTATGTATCTATCAAATGAGTCGCTGTAGTGTATACCTAGCTATTGTCCGGCCATTGATGGGTATGGTTACTGTCATGGGGTCGGCCGACAAGAGACGGGAGCATGCAATGTGTGGAATGTGGTGAAAGTCGCAGGACTACATAACGGAGTAGAATGTCTCAGGATGTACAGAAACCTATACCCGTCTTCCTCCACAGCCTCCTCTACCATCAAGACCAGTCGCTTCTATGAAAATGAAGTTGATCTCTCTATTCATCATTGCCGCAGTTCCTGCAGCTCTCGGTATTCACCCTTGCAAGGCGGGCTTGAAGTACTGCGCGGTGACGCTTCAGGAGATGGGTATGTGTTCCCTCAGTATCACGCTTCTCGCGTTAACGGTGTATAGGATATGACTGGATTCACAGTCAGACTACTCTGTACAAATGCCCTGATAATAGCGACGATTCTATCCCCCACCCGGAGGTATCTGCTTTGTGCCTGGGATCGTGTGTACAATCCAGTATGGATGGCGACCACTGTGAACACTTCTTACTTAAGGGTTTATAAGCCCACGCCCTCGATCTGTCCTGTCGTGTATGGGTTTTCATTTTGAAGTTGCTTTGGTGGGAGAGATAATAGGGACACTGTGATGCCTGTACGCTGCAGTCTATGGACGCGATTGAGGCCGCCTTGATTATAAGCACTACTATAATTTGGATGTATGCCTATTACGTGATTCTCTTATCCTTCAGTATATATCAGTTTGAGGCATTTTGAATTAGCCAAAGACTGGCGATATGTGCATTAGCCAGTGGAGAAGGTCGTGGAAGAATAACCTGGGTAAGCGGATATAAGATGTCTCAGTCAGACGGATGACAATGGACACAGTGGGGACCTTAATACCTCCAGGGCTGTACTCCGTAGATCTCCGTTACTGGTGATCCGGGGGATCTGCGACTACGCAGATGGGCATAGAACGGCATCACCCTTGGAGTTGCGGTGGTATTTGCCAAATTACTTCTTCCGCAGTGCGGCCGATGCATGAGGTGGGTATAGAGAAGAAAGTTGATCCTTGAAGCGCTCAACCGGAGCTGCCGGACTGTTCTCGAAGTACCGGCGCTGGTCTGTGGCTGACCAGGTGGAGCATCGATTGAACTGCGCCTACAAAATGGGTCGATAGAGTGGTGTTGTGCGTGAGTCTGAGGTGGCTGTGTTGAGACCCATGACGTTGCCACAGCCTGAAGCATCCAATGAAGGGATGTTCAATGCTAGAATCTAGTACTAAGACAAGGGCAACTGACTGCAATATTCTAATAGAAATCAATCAATGAAAAGAAGAATTAACGACGAAACAACAGAATAAATACCCAGGTACATACCTTACATACGATGTAGAGTAATGCATGATGAAGAGTACAGTAACCAAATCCGGAGCCGATACCCGCCAAGCCGAATAGCTACAATTATTGCTGCTGCCTTCACCTCCTCCCGGCGTGATTCTCTCTTTTCTCCCTTCATTTCCTCCCATCCACCATCCACCGTCCGTCCTCGCCATATTAGTCTTTTTTGAAATCCGTCTCCCTTGACGCATAGGGACTCTAGCAGATCGTTTCAATCCTCTATCCGATAGATCCACCGCTGCAGATTACCTGATCGACGTCATCTCCGCACTCTCCGAGGACATCCCATCGTCTTCAGCCACCATGGGTGTCATCTATCCTCGCCGCGAGTGGTACGTTCATTGATCCTCACATATAGCGGACTTCTTTCTGATAGTCTCAGTGGCTACACCTACGACGGCCGCTATGTCTGTCGCAACAGCGGCTGGTACGACTGGGGCCGATGGGTGGCCTTTGCCGTCATCGTGGGTTGTGCTTTCATCATCTTCTTCCTGTTCGCGTAAGTCGATCTTCCTGTGCATTCAGTCGCGGGTTTATACTCACCGTCGCAGATGCTACAACGCCCGTCGACGACGCAGTCGCGGCCTTCGTCCCCATCCCGGCACCGCCTGGATGGCCGGTCCGCCGCCCGCCTACAACCAGTACAACCAGTCCCAGCCCTACAACGCCGACCCCTACTACCAACAACCGCCGCCGCCGCAGTACACACCCCAGCCCGCGGCCTATGGGTACTTTGGAGGACAACCACAACCAGGGCCCGGGATTGAATTGCAGACGCCCCCCCATGCATACACTCACGGCGGCGACCGCGTCTATCAACCACCGCCCGGTCCACCGCCTGCTGGAGACGGGAAGGCGTAGACGAAGAGCAAGAATCAAGACAGCCAGCCAGACAGACAGAAAGAATGGAAGAAAAGACCTTTATTGGACGACTGTCGCATTTCAGCGTACTGTTCTCTGGGCATTGGAAGTGGATGGCGATGACGACTCTCCTTGTGTTGGACCTTATTGTCTTGTTTCGCGTGATATTAATGACGACTATGTTTCTACTACTATCCCAGTGTCTGCATTACATACGGACGACGCTCGTTCTGATGACTTGAATAATGCGCTGTATAACTAGGTATTATAATTACGAACCCACTCAACTGGTCATTTCGGCATCCTTGGGTCCAACTGACGCTAAAATCCTGGCCTGGAGTCGTGGCGGGGAGTTCGTCCGCATGCGATGGCCTGAGAGGAGTTGTAGTAGTTCGATGTAACTTCATACTGCATAGACGATATCTACAACCACAACAAATAGATTGCGAACCACAACGCTGGACGTGTTCGGTTCGTTCCATCTCCACGACAGCCTGGCGATCGGTGGATCAAAAGAAGAGAACGCGACGAAGCGAACTGTTTCTAAATAGGATTTGAGCGGAGAGAATTGATTGCGATGAGCGCTTTGGCTCGTTCGCCCGAGTGCTGATCCCCGCGTCTTCCTCCCTCATTCTATTTTTTTCTCCCCTTCCTTTTTTTCTCTCTCCCTTCGTCAACCTCTCCCCCTAGATCCGCTTTCTATAATACCCTTTTAACGTGGGTGCCTGCACTCGCTTCTTCACTTCTGTCGTTCGCTTCTCCTCATGCTGGAACTCATCTCCCGTCTGTCCTTCGTTGGGTTCCTGTCTTAAACCCAAGAGGGCTGTGCACTGCCGCCTCTCGGCGCACCCCTACGACACTCATTATTATTATCTCTCCCACATCGTCTTTGAAACCATCTCCAATCCTTCCTTCGCCGCGGACTCGATTCCACCGACTCGACTGTTTGAAAATCGTTCGCAGTTGATCTCATTTTTCGACTTCGTCTCCCGTGCCCTGAGACCTGAGACCTGAGACCTGCATTCTCTCGCTGCACGTCTCCGACGCAATAATCTTGTTTCTGGCCTATAATCGATATCGATCGATATATGATCGCCCCAGGCATCTCGGGACAATCAATGGTTGCGACTCCGTGGGAGTGATTCTATCGCGATTAGATAAGGGAATTCGATCCCTCGACTACAAAAGTGAAACCATCATGAGTCCGCGGGTGGATACGACACCCAACCCGTTATGGGTCCGGGACTTTGTGAGCGACCTCAAATCCGCTCCCGAGACCCTGTCCAGTTGGGACAACTGTATGGCCAAATCCTACTGCAAATGGCCGGTCATCGTGGCGATCATCGTGGGATCCGTCATTGTCCTCTCCATTGTCGCTTGTATTATCAACTGCATGTGCTGCGGCATCCAGTGCTGTCGATGCTGTGGTTGTTGCTCGTGCTGCTGCCCGTCGCCGCGGAACAAGAGTCCCAAGTACCTGGATGACCCGTATAATCACCCCCCGCCGCCGATGCCCCCTCCCTCGAATCCCGTCTATCAACCGTCTCCCACGCCTCCGGTTTATCGTGGCCAGCAACAGGTGGCGCGCTTCGATGCCCCCAAGAGTCCCACCCCGAAGATCAACGAGGATGCACTGCCAGCCATGCCCAGCTGGGACAGCGCCGTAACCCGTCGGGTGGAGGACAAGGAAGCCCATTCCGATGCCATGGAGATGGAGCCTCTCAACCCGGCCAACCACGAACCTCGTCGCATGCCATCGAACCCTGGCCCCCATGCGAACAACTACATGGGACTCCCACCGCCCGTCCGGACCGGCACGTCGTCCAGTTACTACCCGGAATCTCGTCCCTATGACGACCAGAGCGCATATGGGATGCGCTCGCCCGGTGGGATGGCGCCAAGCCCCATCTCTCCGTACGACAACCAGCCGTATCATGACTATACCGGTGGACACCCGTGGCAGACGAATTCTTCTGCCCCCGCGTCCTACACCCCTCAGCCACAGTACATGGCCGTCGGCAATGCCGTCACGCGAGCGGAGAGCCCCCGTCCTATTCCCTACCGGCAGCCGTCTCCGGGCTTCAACCAGGTGCCCATCGGGACGGCCATTACTCGTGCGGAGACTCCTCGTGTGGTCCCGTATCGTCAGCCGTCTCCGGGATTCAACCAGATGCCAGGCATGGCCATCTCCCCATCCGACGGCCCACGCCCAATCCCATACCGGCAACCCACCCCAGGGTTCACCCACAATCCCGTCGACAGGGTCATGTCGCCATCCATTCCTTCGTCCCCTCCACCCCCGTTCACCGCGACCCCTGCTCCTCATGAAATGACCACTGACCCGGGCAGGCCCCCGAGTCTTTTGCAGAGTGGGCGCAAACCAGCGCCGAATTCGTACCGGGATGTCTAGTTCTTTCTGTTCGCTATTGATGACCATGTCCAGTTCGATTTATTTCTGGGTTTGATACTCCCCTGGTGTCATTGATGTATTTTCTCCCTATGATGGGCTTGATGTATATTGGATCTGAATACATTTGTTCTGGGGCTCAGGTTGTTGATCTTGGAATAGGTCATGACGGCTTTATTATTGATGAATCAACTGATGGTTTCTCCTTGTAGAATGTGCATGTTATGTACGCAATTGCTTGTAGGTTACTGATGACGCTCTAGACGACCGATCGATCAATCTACCTATGTAGGTGAAGGTAACCCACCCCTTGCGATGTTAGGTACGCTGCCTAGCGTAATCCATCACCGACACTTTCTTTCGAAAGCACCAAGACTATGCATAGCGTGTGCATTCCTGGGTATTCTTTCTATGGCCGCCCCTACAACTATACCAAATACATGTCATACCAAATCCAATCCACCAACCTACTCCTCCAACGTAAAATCAAACTCCTTGAACGCCTCCTTGAACGCCGTCGCATCCCTCTCCTCCTCCGCCTGCGACTGCACGTCATTCTTCCAGTTGATGCGTTTCTCCAACTCCATCAGTTTCGCCATCACCCGCCGCCCGAACTGCAGATCAAACCGGAAGTCCGGCCCCAGCGGGAGCAGAAGACATTTCTCGCGCGCAGTGGTTTTATCTCCCTCATTCCCCGTCTCCTCTTGTTCCTCCTTCGACGCGTCTGGCGGACCCCATATCCACACGCGGAAGTAATCCCCCGGCTCTGCGCTCGGGTCCGCCGACGCCGCGGCGGCCTCGAACTTGGGGTACTTGAGGTTCTCGGCCTCGACGCGGAAGGCGGCCTCGACGAGCCCGCGGGTCACCAGCGCCGCGGGCACGGGGAGAAATTGCCAGTGCACGTGGATGCCGTTGCCGCGGCTGACCTCCCAGGTGACGGCGCCGAGGGCGCCCTGCGCGCGCTGCTGGAGCATGGACTGCAGCGCGGCGCGGTAACGCTGCATCTCGCCGTAGGTGGAGGCGCGGGACTCGGCGTCGGCGATGCTGCCCAGCGTCGGGGCGTGCGTGAACGGGATGATGAGCATGTGGCCGGGGAAGCCGAGCGCGGGGAACGTTTTTGAGGTGGGAAGCGGACCCTTGGCGGTGGTGAGGTAGCTTTCGTTGCCGATGGAGGTGATAAGGTGCGTGGCGATGTTGGGGTTGGAGAGACAGAAGAAGCATTGGTCAGGGCCTGGGGGCGGGCCGCGGGCGCGCTTGCGGGGCCGGTGGCTGTCGGCGTCGGCGTCGTCGACGGCGAAGCGCTGATAGGAGTCTTTTTGGCTGGAGAGGGGTTTGCGTTTGGGCGCGAGGGAGGGGAGAGGCGAGGCCGTAGCGCCGGGTGGGAGGGTGAGTGGCGGGGCGGCCTTGGGGTCGAGCGTGAAGGCGTACATCCATTTCTGCTTGGAGGTCTTGCTGTAGGGGGCGAGGCTGATGAAGCGCGTGAGCGGCTTGGCGTCGGGGTTGTCCTCGGTGGGTAGGTGGAAGAAGGGCTCGCGTTCGTAGAAGAAGGCGGAGGAGGAGAGGTGGTAGCGCGGTTTCAGCGTCGAGCAGAGGTCTGCGATGCACGGGACCTCAACAGGCGGCGTGGCGCCCTCTGGGAGGGCGACGTTGGACCGAAAGCGGACGTCTTTGGGCCATTGGTGCGTGATGAGGATGTCGGCGGAGTGCGCGCCGTACAGCGCTTTGGCGTCGGATTCTGCGTACGCCGGCTGGTACTTGTCGATGGGTTGTTTGCTCTCCGTGTCGAGGTTGCCTCCTAGCGCGACGATGCGGATGCCCTCGGATGTCTTCAGCGTGCCGCGGCGGCCGAGAAAATACAGATTGGGGCAGACTTCGTCGTTGGCTTCGATCTGCTCGATGACTCGTGTGGGCAGCGGGTGATTGCCCAGCGTGAAGTAGGTTGGGATGGGGACGGTAATGTTCTGCTGGAGCAAAGCGGTGATCTCATCCAGCTCACGCTCCGTTGAACAGTCGCCAAAGAGGTCGCCCGCGACGATTGCGAAGGAAAAGTTCTGTTTTACATGGAGTTTGGCGAGTTTGGTGAAGACTTCGCGGAACTCGCAATTGACGTCGCCCAGGACGACTCTGCGTGGAGTTAGCGGAGGTCATGGACTCGGAAGGGTATGCGCACATCTTGGAGGCCATAGTGAAGCTAATATCGTCCTACGATGTAGACCGAGGGGTCATTCTCTGGCAATTGAGCGTGAGGTATGATGGAGAGACGATTAATTTCGCCAAAAAAGGCCGATGGAGCTTGGGCCATCCGTATCACCACGTGATATATGCACTAACCCAATCCTGGACTAGGGCCGCTGCTAATCTCCGCGTCGGAAGAAAATGGCCGCGGCCCCGATGAATTTTTTGTCGATAGAGATACAACAAGTCTAACACTTCCTCGTTGTGCCCAATTTCACTACGACGCTGCGCGGTTTGCTATCGTTGTCGTCCAAAATGGTCGCAGCGTCGTCAGCTTCGCGGACTAAGTCCGTGAAGCGCGTGAAGAAAGGGACTGAGACCACGAAAAACCATCGATTCGAACCCTTCTCGCAGCGGGTCGCAAAGTTGAAGATTGATCCCATCCACCGCGTGCGCCGTCCAAGTTTCGGAGAGGAAGGGGATGAAACCTCGTCGTATCTACGATCCGCATTCGAACACTGGACCGAGTTGAACTTGTCCGAAAACTTTGTCCAGTTCGCACGCCGACTGAATCCGCTATGCGAGTCTCTGGCCCAGATCCTGTACCATGAGGACAAGATTATGAATCTGTTGGTGGAGTATATTGAGAAGAGGGACCACTTGTCGATGGAACCGCTTCTCAGTCTGCTCGCTCAGTTTGCAAGGGACCTGGGTACGCGGTTCGAGAAGCATTTTGCTACCGCTGTGACCCTCGTCGCATCGGTGGCTGCTACCCATCCGGAGGTGGAAGTTGTCGAATGGAGCTTCACATGTCTCGCTTGGATCTTCAAGTTTTTGTCCCGATTGTTGGTTCCCGACTTGAGGCAGCTCCTGGGCATCATGACTCCTTACCTGGGTAAGGAACGGCAGAAACCCTTCGTCGCTCGATTCGCCGCCGAATCCATGTCCTTCCTTATCCGAAAGGCGGGTCTGGTATATTACAAGAACAGCACCCCTCTGGATCGTGCTGTGTCGTTCTTACTCGACGACCTCAGTCAGTCTGCCGCCGCGGCCAACAATGTGGATATCTACAAGGAGGGACTCATGGCGATGTTCTCCGACGCTATCAAGGGTGTTAAGTACGGGCTCCACTCCAACGGAACGGACATCTTTGTTTGCCTGTTGAAACATATGTCCACAGAGGATGAACTGCGGAGTAGTCTGGGATTGGACGTCGTCAGTGGAGTTCTGGTCAACGTCATGCATGGTACCACGGCCGATACATTCGAAGCTATTCTGGACACGGTAGTGGCTCACATCAAAGCCAATTGCCAGACCGACAACAAGTCGACCGCGACCGCATGCTGCCGACTGATCTTCCTATGTGTCGCAACCCGCAAAGCAAGCCGAGTGAAAAACTGGAAGCCTGTGCACCAGTCCCTGCTTCTTTTACTCCAAAAGGCTGCTGCTGCGTCGTCCGTCTATGCCGCAGGACTGCCGCAGCTTCTCACCGCGGTGGCTTATGCGCTCCAACTTTCCCCCATGGACGAGATGCTACCTTTTATGCGTTCCATTATGGAGACCACCACCAGTGATAGCCTATCACCATACTTCCTCTCCTTCTGTGCGACATTTGCTGAGTGGGGTGCGGAGAGGTTCCATAGCGTTGTTCTTCCGTATTTCCAGAAGTAGGTTCAGGTTTTGATTTTGTTTGTGATGCCTTGTGCTAACCTCATATCTAGGTTTGTCAACAACTCCTGGCAGAAGTATGAGCACGAGCTCTGCTTGACCATCCTCCGCCTGAACCAGGCTGGCTGCATAACATCTGAGAGTGCTAAGCCTGGATTTGTCGCTTGTCCGGCTCCCTGGAAGGCTCGCATCAGGGACACGTTTAAAAAGGACCGCCCTGATGACGCTGAAGTGGCCCTTCTTAATGCATATTCCCGATTCCCAGATGCTGTGTCTTTATCTACAGAACCCTCACTAATCCCGGATATGACTGAGAGTCTCCATAAGCATGTGCTTCGTGCCTTGAAAAGCGACGAGTCGGAATTGTCCATTCAGACAACATTTTTCCTCGGGCAAGGCTTCAAAACTTACGTCGACCTGGCTGGTGGCGATGTTGACCCGAGTCTTTGGGAGCACATTATTGCAGTTGCGGCAAAGCATTCGCGCCTGAATGTTTTCCTGGACGCAATCTTGGCTTATCTCTCCGCGTGTTCGAGTAAACTCGACTTCAGCAAGTCAACAGTGGACGAATTTGCCGATGTTCTTATTACCAATCTTGCCGCCCCCTCTCATAAACTGCGCTTGGTGTCTCTGAAGATTTTGCGAGAGATAGTCCTGGCTGCCGGAGACGATGCTTCCCTTATCTCCTTAGCTATCGAGATAGAAGAAAGCCCGCTCACCCTTCAAACCGCACGTGTCCTGTCGATGCAGTTACGCAAACTGGCCATATCCTACCCTCAAGTGGTGTCGCGCAAGTATTTGCCTAGGCTTATTCCCAACTTTTGCTTTGGATTGTTTTCAAAGAAGATGGCCCCGTTGTGGGATGACTCTGCTTCCGCACTGAAGTCAGTCAGTGAGCACTCCGAGGGAGAAAAGATTGTCTCCGATCTGGCCATTCAGTGGCTCCACGAGAAAGGTTCAGCTCCTCCTGTCGAGGATGCTGACAGCGACCCTAGCACGGACTCCTATGTATCTGGAGAATTCCAGTGCTTCAATGCCGCCAAGATCCAGGGCTTGTGTGCCGCCAACTTCAAAAACTCTGAGCAGCCAGCGTTCGCTCTGACAAGGAACTTTGAGAAAGACCATGCATCCTCGGAGATCATCCCTCCTACGCCTAGAACTCACGCCTTGCGCGTTCTGAATGCGGTCCCCAATATAGCCGAAAAGCGTTCTCGCCAAGTTGTTCCGTTCTTCCTCTCTTGGGCCCTTCGCGATGACGATGATGGCCCCAGTGGTGCTCAACGCACAGAAGACTCTGATACTTACATCCCGTGGGGATTCCATGATCGCTTGTCCTTCCTTGCTCTTCTGGGGCAGTTTATCAATCCAAGAGTCCTTTTCAAAGCCCCCGAGGTCCATGAGGCTCTGCTTGGGCTGCTCTGTCACGGAAATTCGGAAATCCAAAAGTCTGCTCTGAAAGCGCTCTTCACTTGGAAGTCCCCGAGCATCTCTCCCTACCAAGAAAATCTCTTGAACATCCTAGACGAGGCCCGATTTAGGGACGAATTATCGGTGTTCGTGCGCGTTGGTGGAGAAGACAGTGTGATCGAAGAGGGACACAGAGGCGAGCTTATCCCTGTTCTCCTTCGTATTCTGTATGGTAGGATGATCTCCAAGGCTGGTGCAAGTTCGACCCAGGCCGGCCAGGCAGGTCGGAGGAAGGCCATTCTCCGGACCCTGTCGCAGCTCCCAGATCAGGAATTTGGCATCTTCATGCAAATTTCCTTCGGCCCCCTCAAAAATATTCAGATCATCACGGATGGTCAGGCGGATGACCAGGTGTTGTCTCAAGAACTGGCTAGCGCACGGCGACAGACTGGTTTGCTGAATATGATTGAGACCGTCTTTGACACTCTGCAAACTCGGATGAAACCATACGCGCAAAGCTCCATGGATGTGGTCCTCTTCTGCCTTGTGCGGGCCTGTCGCGAACTGGAGAAACACCAGTCAACAGCGCCGGCGGATACCCAAGCAGAGAAGTATCTGACCATACTGCGCAATATCCGGCATACTTGCATCAAGTGCCTTGATCTCATTTTCTCCATCACGCCGGACCACGACTGGACGCCATATGTTCGTGTTCTGTTCACCGAAGTGATCAATCCCAGGCTCGAGAACTTCGCCACAGAAACAACTCAGGCTGTATCTGGTTTGCTGCGATTATTCCACACCTGGGCTTCCGCTCCGAGGTCTTCTTTCTACCTCGTGCAGCATAACGATGCTGTCTTGACGAAGGTTTTGGACTGCTTGAGCATTGATTCCACTCGTGATGAGGTCAAGATTTTTGTCATCGATGAGATCGTTGCACCTCTCGTTGGGCTTGCAACTGGAAAGGCACTTGAACAGCAGGAAGAGATGAGTGACTTCTCCGCGGAAGAGATCCGTTCGCAGGTTTTGGCGCCCTATATCGAGCACGCGCTCTCTCACTTTGGCTATGTGCTGAAGCGTGGTCCCTCGCGCCCACTGCTGAATTCTGGTGTTCAGACACTGTCCATCCTGGCTCCATGTGTTGAATCTTCCAAGGAGACCACCAGCTTGGTCAGCATTACAACCTACCTGCTTCGCCAACCTCCTGATCGAGTGTCTCCTAAAACCAAATCTGGCCTGCTACGGATTCTGGAGCATTTTCTGCCTTTGTGCGACCCGAAAGAAGATCCTAAGCTGTTTCAAGAGGTTTTTGAGGCAGTATCTTCTATGTTCGATTATTTCAAGGACGATGCCAATCGGGAAGTATTGGGAAGAGTCTTTGTTGCCTTCGCAAAGCATGATCCTGCGCTCACAGTCGTCGCTTCGCTCTGTGAAGACCTCAACTCCATCTCAAGAAAGAAGCTCGAGGTGGACTATGAACGCAGATTGCAGGCCTTCCGGAAAATCAATGAGGAGCTCTGGGAGACACTAGACGCGAAGCAGTGGCGTCCTCTTCTCTACAATATGCTCTATCATGTGAAAGATGAAGAGGAGTTGTCTATTCGGTCGAGCGCTGCCTTCGGTTTGAAACGGTTCATGGAGAGAGCTACACTGCCTGGTAAGGATAACGACGAGTTTGAACCACTTGCAGCGGACGTTCTTTTCCCTGCCTTGCAAGCTGGAATCAAACAGAAGTCGGAACTCATCCGCATGGAGTTCGTCTCGGCTCTCGGCTACTTCATCAAGTTGAATCCGAACAGATCCACTGTCCAGGATATGCATGGATTGCTTGTGGGAGACGATGAAGAGGCTTCCTTCTTCAACAATGTCCTTCATATCCAGCAACATCGACGACTCAGAGCCCTGCGTCGTTTGGCGAGCGAAGCTTCCAAAGGGAAGCTGCAGGCCTCCAATATCAGCACGATCTTCATTCCTCTCAACGAGCACTTCGTATTTGACGAAGAAGCTGACGAGGCTACTCACAACTTGATCGCAGAGGCCGTTGCGACCATCGGTGCCTTGGCTGAGTCGCTGGATTGGAGTCAGTTCCGAGCCATTTTCCGCAGATATCGCGGTTACATGCAGAGCAAACCAGAAATGGAGAAGAATGTCCTGAGGTTGCTGGGTAGAATGTCCGATGCACTGAGCACTGCGATGGGTCAGATAACTACGCCCAAGTCTACGACCGAAGATGAGATGGAGGTCGAGACTGCAGAGCCTGTCAAGTGCAAACTCGCCCAAACGATACCGTCTACCGCCAAGGTCGCGACAGAGTTGACCACGAACTTCACGCCCTTCCTGACTGATTTCATCCATCACAAGGACGAAGCGCAGATGAGTCTGCGCTTGCCAGCCGCTGTGACAACGATCAAGCTTCTGAAGCTTCTGCCTGAGGCTGAGATGGCCATTCGGCTGCCGCCCGTGCTTTTGGATGTTTGTCACATTCTAAAGAGCCGAGCGCAGGATTCTCGAGACACTGCTCGGAAGACGTTGAACGACATTGCGCTTCTCCTGGGTCCCGTGTATTTCGGATATATCCTCAAAGAACTGCGGAGTACCCTTACCAAGGGTTACCAGCTCCACGTTCTTTCCTTTACCGTGCACTCCATGCTTGTGGTAACGACAGATGCCTTCAAGCAAGGAGACCTCGATTATTGCCTTGGAGACCTCAGTGCAGTCATCATGGATGACACTTTCGGTGTTGTGGGTCAAGAAAAGGAAGCGGAAGAGTACGTGAGCAAGATGAAAGAAGTGAAGAGCAGCAAGAGTTACGACTCCATGGAGCTGTTGGCCAAGAATGCCACCATTCCGAATCTGTCAAACCTCATTCAACCTATACAATCGCTTCTCCGCGAGAAACTCAACTCCAACATTGTGAAAAAGGTTGACGAGCTCCTGCGGAGAATTGGAGTAGGCCTGTTGAGAAACCCTGGCGCCGAGAGCCGGGACCTTCTCATTTTCTGCTACGAAGTTATCAAGGAGTCTTACAAGGAGCCGGAGCAGTACGAAAGGCGGAATGCTGTATCTGCTTGGGAAAAACGTTTTCTGGTGAATCTTCACGGACAAAAGCGAGGCGAGAAACGGGGCACAACGTCATCCTATGTCTACAAGCTCACCCGGTTTGCCCTTGATGTCCTACGCTCCGTGTTGAATAAGCATGATTCTCTGATGACTCCGGCTAACGTCGCCGGCTTCCTCCCTGTTATTGGCGATTCCCTCGTTCAGGCGCAGGAGGAGGTCAAGATTTCAGCCCTCCGGCTGCTGTCGACCATCATCAAGCTTCCCTTGGCGGAAATCGACAATAACTCTCATGTGTACCTCACCGAGGCAGTGAAAATGGTCAAGGAAGCCCCGAGCACGAACACTGAGGCTGCGCAAGCGTCCTTGAAGTTAGTTGCGGCCATGCTGCGGGAGAGAAAGAGCACGAAACTTCGCGACGGCCATCTTGCCTATCTTCTTCAGCGTCTGACTGCTGATATCGAAGAGCCTGACCGGCAGGGAGTGACGTTCAACTTCATCCGAGCCGTCATGTCCAGAAAGTTCGTGGTCCCGGAGATGTACGAGCTGGTGGATCAAATTGCAAGTATGATGGTGACGAACCAGACTCGCTCTGCGCGTGATCTGGCCCGCGGCGTCTACATCCACTTCCTCATCGAGTATCCTCAGGCCAAAAACCGATGGTCAAAGCAGCTTGCTTTCTTAGCAAAGAACCTCGATTACAAACATCAAGAAGGCCGGCAGTCAGTAATGGAAGCCATCCATCTGCTGCTGTCAAAGACCGGACAGGAGCTCGCTCAGGATATCGTCGGCACGTTCTTCTTGCCGATGGTCATGGTCATGGCGAACGACGACGCGCCTGAGTGTCGCGAAATGGCGGGTGCTCTTCTGGGCGAATTCTATAACAGGGCAGACCGGGAGCAGATGAAGACCATTTTGACGCCTTTGCACTCATGGCTCGAGCAGACGGACAACATGCTAGTGTGCGGCATCGGCCTGCAGGCTATGCGAATTTACTTCGAAGCGGCTGAGACCGAAAAGGAGAAAGAGGCGCGCTTCGTCATTGGGGCGCTCCCGTCCATCATGCAGCCTATCCTTGATGACGAGGAGACAGAACACTGGCAGACGCTCTACTTTGCTCTTCAACTCTTTGGCAAGGTCTGCAAGGCCGTTCCTTCAATCGGCCTGTCCAACGAGTGTGCCAATATCTGGACCGCGATCCGCGAGTGTCTGTTCTATCACCATACCTGGGTGAAGACGTGCGCCGCCAACCTCATTGGCACATGGCTGGCAGATTTGGCCAAGACGAACGCTGCGAATGGGTACAGTGCACTCCCGCTGGCTGGTTCTAATGGGCTGGCGCTAGACAAGGATGCCATGTTACAGCTCATTCGTGCAAGCTTGCGGTCTCTCCGCACGCCGGCTGTGAGCGAGGAGCTCGCCATGCAGTCTGTGCGAAACATCATCTTCCTTGGCCGGTGCTGCGCGCAGAATGGCCTCGAGTTTACTGGAACCAAGGAGGCCGAGCTGGACGAGGATGCCAGCGACGAGGATATTGAAGAGGAGAATGACAACGAAAACGGCGAACGCGGCCCGAACAAGACTGCCATCCGGTATATCTTCGAGCAGGCGTCCTCGGTTCTTCGCCGCGAGCTTCTCACCACCCGGGCCAACTCTTTAATTCCCAAGACTGCGTCTATCGCTCTTCTCGCTGCCCTTTGTCGCCACCTTGAAGCCGAGCAGATCCGCCAGGCCCTGTCCGCCATCCTCATCACCCTGCACCATTTCACTGATCCTTCTATCCCTGCGCCTCGGTCTTCGGACGAGGCGTTCCGTGAGTCGTACAAGACTCTGGTCTCGAATTGCCACGAGGTCCTTGAGCTGATTCAGAAGAAACTGGGCACTTCCGAGTATGTGAACCAGATGGCGCGGGTGCAGGAGATCGTCAAGGAACGACGAGAGGGACGGCGCGTGAAGAGACGCATTGAAGCCGTTGCCGAGCCTGAGAAGTACGAACGTGAGAAGAAGAGACGGAATGATCGCAAGCGCGAGAAGCGAAAGGAGAGAGGCATGGAGCACCGGGGAAAGAGACGTGGATGGTAATCCTCTCTTGTGTTGCTTCTGCATACATGAATTTGAGGAAAAGCCGGCGTTTGGAGACTGGGATAGAATTTGCATTCTCTTATATAGTACAGAATATATCCATTTTGAATTATTTATTACATGTCAAAGAGCGGAGTGTACATATCGCCACCAGGTATCTATATCAAAACCGCCATAACGCCTCTATGTGCACGCTTAGCCAATACTCTCCGATCGAACTTTTAACGCCACCGTCATGAACTTTATACAAAGGACTTCCCATCGATAGTGGGGATCAAGACGATCCCTGCTGACCGGACGTGCTCCCCTCCTGGGAGGCAGCATCGCCGGACTTCGGGGTAACAGTCCCATCCTCCCAGAACTCCATATCACCGTTGGTATAGCCACGGGTTAACTTCGTTCCCTGCTCAGCCAGGATATCCTCGAGGGTCCGCTTCTCATGGTAGAAGATCTTGAGGTGGTCGCTGATGACATGACGGTTTTCGCAGGACGGACAGCGGATCAAGACCGTGCCATGGTGGTAACCATGTTTCGACATGCGGTGGCTGGAGCGGTGGCCGCAGGGCTTGCAGGTGAAGGTGATCTGATACGCGGGCTCCTGTTCGCGGCGCTGACGATTCTGCTCCTCATTGCGTGCGTCTGTCTCCGGATCGGACGCCCGGTCGGTGAGGGGCTTCGCGGCGCCGGAATTGTTGCGGACGGGGAAGACCGCGATGGGGATTCGTCCAGGTGTCTGGAATGACGTCGGGGACGGACGGACGGCGCGGGAGGCTAGATGGGAGAACGGGCGAGATGTCGCGATTGAAGGATTGGAGAGGGCGGGTTGAAGAGCGCGTAGGCTCTGGGAGAGGAGGCGAGGGATAGCGGAGCGCATTGTGAGGGGGTATAGAGGAGAATGTAGAGGTTGTCAATGAAGGATGACAGAGGAGATGGTGAAGTTGGAGGTCGGAGAAGATGATGGTGAAATGTGCATGTTGCGCCGGATTTACGTTGTTCCTGCGGCCTTCTTGCTCTCTCTCCGCTCACTGTCTTTCTCTCTGCTCTTCTTCTTTCACGCCTCCCTTCTTCTATCTGTATTACTCCCCTTCTAGCATGTCTCTTTGCTCTCCGAGGACCCTCTGAACACCTGCAGATTTCTCCTCGTGTGGTGGTGGGCTTGAATTCCTCCGCCACCGCCCTCCTCCACCTGCCCCGCGCACAACGATCGGTGTATGGCAGTGAGCGGAGACCTTCACGATGGCAATGAGAGCTAGGCAAAAGATCCGGGCTCCTAGAAGGGTAAGAATTTTCTCTAAGGTCCTCCGGGCGTCTGCGTTCCTCTGTGCGAGGTGTCTTTTTTGGGGAGCTTAGTCTGAGAGCGGACAGCGCTAACATCGATCCTCGAACAGGGCCCTACTGCGAACAAGACGGACGATTTTGACTCCAACTGGAACATTCTATCCTCAGCCCTCAGACAAATCCATACCAAGAATGCCTCCAACCTCTCGTTTGAACAGCTGTACCGCAATGCCTACAACATCGTGCTGATGACCCGCGGGAACGACCTGTATGGCCATGTCCAAGGATGGGAACAGCAATGGCTGGAGGACGAGGTTCGGAAACGGGTAACAGCGGCAATCTCTCCTGTGCTGCTGCTTGGAAAAGACCCGGCCGATGTCCAAGATCAAGCAAACGAGCGGAGGGCCGCAGGTGAAAAGTTTCTAGAGATCATGAGAGAGTTGTGGGAAGACCATCAGCTCTGCATGGGTATGATCACAGACGTTCTTATGTACATGGTTAGTCTCCATTGTATTCGATGTTGTACGTCAGCAGCCGACTAACAGCTGATTCGGGGTAGGACCGCGTTGTCACGTCGGATCACAAAAAGCCGTCGACTTATGTGGCCGCAATGGCGTTGTTCCGCGACTATGTGCTGCATTCTCCTATTCGCGACGACTCTGACACGACGGTTGGTGATGTGCTCAAATCGACCATCCTGTTCATGATCCACTTGGAGCGGTTTGGGCATGTTATCGACCGAGCGTTGATCCGACATTGCGTCTACATGCTCGAAGGATTATATGAGACGATACAAGAAGAAGAGTCTAAAAAGCTGTACCTGACGATGTTCGAGCCCGCGTTCCTGGAGACCAGCAAGAGGTTCTATCACGATGAAGGAAAGCGACTCTTGGAGACGGCAGATGCCACCGTCTTCTGCAAACGTGCGCAGGAACGTATTGCGGAAGAGCGGGAACGCTGTACGTACACTCTGTCACCTTTGACGGAGCCCAAGATCAAGGAGGTGCTGGACAATGAATTGATCCGGGCGCATATTTCTGAGGTGATCAATCTGGAAGGTACGGGTGTGAGGACTATGATCGACAACGATCGCTTGGACGCGTTACACAGCATATATGTCCTCAGTGCCCGCGTGGACAGCAAGAAGCCCCCTCTCACTGCTGCAGTACAAAAGCGGATTGTAGAGATTGGTCGAGAAATCAACGCCTCGGCGATTCAACAGGGACAGGCTCCTGTGGCGAAACCCGCGGAAAAGACGGCTGACGGGGCAAAGAAAGCAGTAGAGAAGGAGAAGCCGGTCAACCAACAGACAGCATCTGCCATCAAGTGGGTGGATGACGTCCTCGCTCTGAAAACCAAATTCGACAAGATCTGGGAGAAGTCCTTCCAGTCAGATCAGGTCATGCAGAGTTCGATTACGACTAGCTTTTCAGAGTTCATCAACACGAATACTCGGAGCTCGGAACACCTGTCCCTCTTCTTTGATGAGAATCTCAAAAAGGGCATCAAGGGCAAAACGGATGATGAGGTCGATGCCCTCCTGGAGAATGGCATCACCCTGCTTCGTTACATCAAGGATAAGGATCTGTTTGAAGCTTACTACAAGAAGCATCTGTCTAGACGTCTGCTTATGAAGCGGTCAGTGAGCATGGACGCGGAGCGACAGATGATCTCGAAGATGAAGATGGAGGTTGGAAATCAGTTCACGCAACGCCTAGAGTCCATGTTCAAGGATATGACGATCTCGGAGGATTTGACAACGAGCTACAAGAAACATATCCAGCAATCTGGAGACCCCGACCAGAAGCGGGTGGATCTGGACATCAATGTCCTCACTAGCACTATGTGGCCCATGGAAATCATGTCCAACACACGTGATGACCAGGTCCAATTGTCTTGTATCTTCCCGAAGGAGATTGACAGTGTGAGACAGAGCTTCGAGAAGTTCTATCTGGACAAACACAGCGGCCGGAAATTGTCATGGCAGGCGAGTATGGGCACGGCAGATATCCGGGCTACGTTCCACCGATCAAACGGCAAGGTCCAGCGGCACGAGTTGAATGTGTCGACTTATGCCATGGTCATTCTGATGCTCTTCAATGATGTGGAGTCCGGCGAGTCACTTACCTTTGAAGAGATTTTGGAGCGGACTCGAATCCCCGATCACGATCTAAAGCGCAACCTGCAATCGCTCGCCGTTGCACCCAAAACCCGGGTCCTCAAAAAAGACCCCATGAGCAAAGACGTCAATCCCGGCGATAAGTTCTTTTTCAACAACGAATTCCAGAGCCCATTCATGAAGGTCCGCATTGGTGTTGTCAGTGGAGGTGCCAGCAAGGTCGAAAACCAGGACCAGCGAAAGGAGACGGAGAAACGGATGAACGACGAGCGCGGCGCCAGCATCGAAGCGGCCGTCGTACGGATTATGAAGTATGTCTGGACCTTTATCCCTTTATCTCTGGACTGAGCCCAAGCTAACTCCCTTACAGACAGCGCAAGAAGCTGGTCCATTCTCAGCTCATGACCGAGGTCCTGAGTCAGCTCTCGTCTCGCTTTTCGCCTGACGTGAACATGATCAAAAAACGCATCGAGAGCTTGATTGACCGAGAATATCTTGAGCGAGTTCACGACGACCCCCCGACGTATGGTTATCTTGCTTGACTCCGTTTTGCCTTGGCTGGGACCATCTCACTGGCGTTTTGTCTTGTATTACGCTGTCTTTGTGCTTGGGATTGGATTTGGGCTTAGCGTGATGGGCGCACGGTGGTTCCTCAATAGACTGGATGGTTCAATATCTACATTTGTCATTCCGATGCATTGTCGTATGCTGGCAGTCCTCTCAGCAATCTAATCGAACGACTTCATACCCTGTCGTATGACCAAGACTAGTGTTCTAGAAGGACACGCTTCATCTAGATCATATCAGTGACTATGCAATGTACGTGAATATCAAGGAAGGTGCAATCGCCTTGTGGCATGGCATTGACTACCTAGTATGATAAGAAATCAAACATGGTGGTACGTATACTTCATTTTGCACTGATCTTGTGCTGATCCCAGGCCTAGCTCTATGTTGCCAACGGGAAGGCGAGGACACCAGCTTTGAATCAACTCGCTTCAGCAATCACCGATCCAAAAATGATAGACACTGAGTTCATCGATAGCCTCCGCGCGTTCAGCGTTGAAAGTGTCCCACTGGGAAACATCAACGTGAATGGAAAGCTCTGCCCATCCTTTCGTTCGTCCGTCTCACAGGACGTATAGCTCGATTGGCCGAGATTTATCCAGTTGTATGACGACTGCAAGGTACTCTGCGAGGCGGAACACGTGAAATTCTAGTATGATGGTAGTATTGGACAATTGAATTAGGACCAGCGGGATAACCTGGGACTGTCATAGGGTAGCGGTTGTTTTTAAGTGCTGCAAATGGCAGCTGTGCATAGCGGTGGCCTTTCATCTTTGTCCGCCTAATATCTCTGCGCTATGTGTCTAACAAGAGGGGTTCTGGGAGAGGTGTTCCCAGAGATGCACGCATGTACTCAGTTCACCATCAGGAATACCTGACTACTTTCAAACTGGAGCCGCATCATAACTGCTTATCAACCCGTCGGAGCACCGAGCTGTGCAAGGCTTGACTCTAATGCGTGCTTGGAAAGGCATACCATTCCAATAAGGAATCATATACAGCACCATCTTTATAATCATATCCCCACAACTACTCTGTATACGAATAATGCCCCCACTAGACAAATCCAGCTAGCGCAGGTACAACTCTCGTATTCACGCCAACTGCGCGCCAGATCTCTTCATCTCGACATGCCAACACAACATGACCTACGGCCTCGACCCCTTCACATACGAAGCCCTCCCCACGGCGACATCCATCCGGCTGATCCGCGTGCACGGCACCGACGCAGAGGGCCGTCTGCAGATCGAGCTCAAGACCGCCGATCTCCAAGACAACCCGTGGTACCATGCAATCTCCTACACCTGGGGCAACCCGCACAGCGAGTGGACGCAGCTACAGGAGCAGCGAGCCGCGTACGCGCATGCGCACCCGCCACACAGCCGCGAGGACCTCCTGATCAACGGGAAGCTCCTCCGCGTGGGCCGCGGCGCGTACGATGCGTTGACGGCGGCGTCGGCCCGCGACATCTGGCGCCAGCGGTGTAACCGCGGGAACCCGAAGAAGCAGCTGCGCACGACGGTGCACTGGGCGGCGCTGTCGGCGCACGGCTCCGACAGCATCAAGAAGATGATCTCCTCCGGGGCGGACGTCAACGTGCGCGACGCGGAGGGCGTCACGCCGCTGGGCTGTGCGGCGTGGCTTGGGAACTTGGAGGCTGTGGAGATGCTGCTCGCTGCGGGGGCGGATTATCGCCTGCGCGATAACTCGCAGAAGAACGCGCTGGATTGGGCCCGGCAGTCGCGGCATGAGGCGGTTATCCGGCGGCTGGAGCAGGTCGAGGAAGAGGGTTATGTCGCTGCGCCGGTGGTCTGGCCGGACGGCCCGCAGGAGTGGTGCTGGGTCGACCAGATCTGCATCAACCAGGCGGATCTCACGGAGCGTAGCTCGCACGTCGCCATGATGGATGAGGTCTACGCCAAGGCAACCTTCACCCTCGTCTGGCTCGGCCCGGAGGACCCCTACACGGCGAACGCCATCAGCGCCATCGACAAGCTGTACGCGGGGACGCCGTTCCATGAGACCGACCTCGTTCCCTATGTGTCGCAGTCCGAGGAGGCCTACGCTGCGGCCGGCGTGCCGTGGGTGTCGTCGGAGGAATGGACGGCGCTGGCGGCGTTCCTGCAGCGGCCGTACTTCCGGCGCCTGTGGATCGTGCAGGAGTCGATCCTGTCGGATATCCTCATCGGGCTCTGCGGCCGCCACGAGGTGCCCTGGGACCGGTTCCACATCGTCGCGCAGCATCTGTACTTCCGGCAGCAGATGCTGGGCCGGGTCACGTCGACGGCATACATCAACCCCGGAAACGCGGTCGCCTCGCTCGAGAGCGAAGTCGTCGTCCTCACGCAGTGGCGTGAACGCCTGCAGAAAGGCGAGCAGGCCGCGGTTCCACGCGCGCTCTCCCTCGAGAACCTAGTCTTCGACACCTGGACCTTCCGCTCGACGGACCCGCGCGACAAGATCTTCGGGCTCTACGGCCTGCTGAGCAAGGCCGGCGGCGCAGACGGCCCCAACTGGCGGCCGGACTACCGCAAATCGACGGCGCAGGTGTTCGCTGAGACCACGCGCATAATCATAGACGAGGGCCGCGAGCTGCGCATGCTCTCCGCCGTGCTGGACCACTCCCTGCGGCGTCTGGAGAATCTGCCGTCGTGGGTGCCGGACTACAGCGTGCCGTTCGTCAACATGATGTACACGGCGCAGCGCGCGGCGGGAGATCTCACCCTCCCGCAGCCGCTGCTGCAGCCGAGTCCGTGGAATGTCCTGCGCATCGCAGGCACGCGCGTCGACACGGTCCTGCGGCGGGGCGAGTCGACATCTGGACCGGGCCAGCTGGGCATGTTCTTCGACCCGCGGTGGTTCGAGCTCGCGCTGCTGCTGCCGCAGCCGTATCATGGCCAGTCGCGGACGGAGGCGCTCTGGCGGACGCTCTGCACAGATCAGACCGCCAAGGGGGTGACGCCTGCGCCGGACGAGTACGGTAAGCATTTCCGCGCGATGCTGTGCGTGCTGGTGTGCATCTATGCGGCAGAGGCGACAGCCCGCGCGCGAGAGGAATCCCCCGACGCCGAAGTCGTCGATCTCCTCTCTGCGATGTATCATGTGCGCACTGTCATGGAACGTCCGCCGTTGTCAGAGATGACGCGCGCGGAGTTGCAGGCCGCCTTCCAGGAGCCGGACACGAACCTCAGCGGGCCCGAGTTTCAGACACTCACGCATCTGCTTTACAAGCTGGACATCCTGTGGCGCACGGAGGACGACTCATGGACGCCGAATCTCCCCGAGGTGTGGACCACGTATCGTGCTTCAGACTCCTGGGTCCCGTGGGACGAGTACCGAGCGAGTCCGCTGCCGGAGTCAGGGCAGGAGTTCTACCAGGTATTGCGGAGTCGTCGCGGACGGCGACGGCTGTTCGTGACGGAGAAGCGGTATCTGGGCCTGGGACCTGCGGCGATGGCCGACGGGGACCAGATATGGGTGTTTCCGGGGGCTGGGACGGCGCTTGTGCTGCGGCCGACTCCCGACAAGGCGTTCCATTTCATCGGAGAGGCGTATATCCACGGAGGAATGAACGGGGAGTTGGTGGAGGGTGTTGCAGTAGAAGATCTGCAGACTGTCGATCTGGTGTAGTCAGTTCATAGCGACAGGTCCCATATACAAGCCCAACGAATCGTATCAACATGACCCTGCATTTTCGTATATACAGCCATATAGGTATCAAAAGCCAACACCAACGCCACAATGCAACCAAGCCAGTAACAAAAATGAGGTGAAGACGAAGCCAACCCAAATCAAAGCACCTCGACATCGCCCCGCTCCCACGCCGCCCTGATCCCCTCCCAGCGCACCACCCACACATCGCCCATGCGCATAGTGGTACCATACTGCTCCTCCTCTACGCCATCCCCAGGCGGCACAACGACCTGCACCTCCGCCAAACAGCGCGCAAACACCGCCTCGCGCAGATCCGGCCCTTGCACCATACTCGTGCCGCCGGCATTATCATCCAGCCGGCGCAGCTGCGGCGGGAACGAGCCCAGGAACGAGGCGCCGTAGTGGCCCGCCAGGAGGGTCTGGTGCGCGCGCAGGAACGCGACCTCCGGGCCGGACAGGGGTGCGGGATCGGTGACGTCTGTCAGGTCGGGGATGGAGTCTTCGGGTTGTTGCTGCGACGCGGGATCCGTGGCTTGGCTGGGGGCGGAGCGCGAGATGAGCTGAAGGTAGTGCATGCTGTGTTTGGTGAGTTTTGCCAGGCGTTGGCGGAGGACCGAGCGGATGAGGTATTGGGTGCGAGAGAGGTCGGTTTGGAGGATTGAGAGCTTGAGGTTGAGCGTGGGATTGTTGCTGTTGCTCGTGATGTATGGGTCTGAGGACGACGCGGCGAGATCTTCAATACTTTCGATCTGTCGAATTGGTTAGATGGTCTTATTTCAAAGAATAAAATCAGCGCAACAGATAGTACCTGTCTCCGAACGCGGTTCATGACGCGCTCCATCAAAGGTGCGGGCCATGGGAGTAGCTCGGAGACGCCGCGCTCCGCGACCCAAAACCGAGTGAGCAATTGGTGGTCGAAGGCGGCGGACTCGGGGGACGAGACATCGCCGCGGTCGACGGAGGCGAGGATATCATCGATATCCATCGTAACGAAGGGGGGAGGGGGGCGGCATCGGGACAACAATGGGGAGAGAAAGTGAAGAGGACAAAAAGTGGCGGAGCGGAATAAAAGGCGGAGAAGACACCCTTCCTCTTTGGGACAATATAGGGTTGCTCTCTTTGTCTGTCCACTACGCAACTCTACCATCTCCCATTCTACCCTGTTTATTGCATTCAATCAAGTTCATTTTTTTCATTCACAAAGGAAATTAGTCTCTGATCAGTGTCACCCTCCCCTGCTTTCCAATGCGAGGTGGTTCTGGGATCTATCTATGTACAGTTGCAGGCCGCGCGCCATCCAAACCATTAAACTCGACGTATGGTAATGAGCTGGGCTTGGGGAAAGCAGTGGCCCTGCAAGTCAATTATCGTCCAAGGACGAGCCGTACATCGATATGTACTGTGTACGGCAAGGAATGCAGTCACTCCCCCGGGGAGTATACAACGAACGGGGAGGATGGATTAAAACACGATAGGCAGCAAGGGAAATTTCCAAGAAAAGGGAATGCCAGATGGCGTGGTATCATAAAGACGACGAGGCGCAATGCGATGTCGAAAGAGAAGCGGGTAGGAGAATCGTTCAAGACATGTGAAAGAGCGTGCTGCGTAAGGCAAGGAAAGGGAAATCAAGGCGACGGGGTTATCCAGGTTCTCGAATATGACACGACTGCGGCAAGTTGAACCGTCGTGTCGCAAGAAGCATACCGGAGCAGAATGAACGAAACCGAAGCCGTTAATGAATGGAAGGGAAGTTGTCAGAGCAGCAGGTCCGTACCACGGACTACACGCGTCGGCTGGATGAATGCGGGATAAATCGATCTGGCCAGTCGCTCACAGCGACTAGAAAGAGCGCATCATGCGTACAGGTTGGTCGTAAGGCAGTACAGCGCTCCAGAGACGCCATACTATCGTGGGATGAAGAGCACATCCATGCTTTAGTAAGAGAGCATGCGACGGCCGGGAAAGCGGGCAGATCCAGGACTTTCGCCAAAGGGAGATCCCAATAACCGCGGGCGATCACCCATGTTGCGGCATCGCCCAGTTGGGCTATCCTCCATCTGGGGCGAATGGTCACCGAAAGCAAAGGTCTGAGCTCGACTCAGCTTCGAACGTTGTTTGACCTTCCCGAGGCCACGCTCACAGGCGTATTCATGCTCCTTGGCGTTCATCTCAACATAGTTTTGAGGGAAACAGAGCGCACGATGCTCAGCAAAGAAAGCGCTGTACCCCCCTTCCAGGATGTACAAGTCCGGGTAGCTGAGTTGCGGGTACTGATCGACGTTATAGGCACGATCCCGGTGGCGAATGTACTTGGCCATGATAGGAGCCCGATGCGCAGAATACTCGCAATGCAGAACCAGAGCCGTCCGGGGCTGGGGACTGGCGAATAGCTGTTCGGCCAAAAACTCCTTGTCGTTGTAGTTGAGTGCGCCATTGATATGCCCGCCTTCGTATTCATACTCGAAACGGCAGTCGATGATCATGATGTTGTCGAACCGGTCGTTGAACTTTCCGTCCATGAGTTCCACCAAGATGTCCTTCTTGATGCGAGGCAATGTGTCGGCCTGGTCCTCGGGAATGAAGTGAGGAAGCTGAAGGCTCGGAGTGTTGTCGATTTCCCAAATCGACTGGAGTGGTGCATTTGAATTTAAAGAAGCCTCTTTCTCATGAATCACATCGTCCGGGTGCTCAAACATGCTCAACGAACGTCGGCACTGCTTACGGGGGCGCATCGTCGGGTGGCAGCTTTTGCGAATCGACGCCGCGGAAGGAGAACCATTTCCACGGACATGGCTGCCGGAGCTTCCAAACGGGGGTCGCAGCCGACCAGTTGCAGCCAATCCGCCGGATGAATGGTTTCGCAACAGGGGTCGTTCCCGCTGGGGTGACTCGCCAAACATGTCCTCCAATGAAGCCGACGTGCTCAGGGTCGTCCTGGTGGTTCCTCGGCTTTGGAATCTGAACGGCGGCGCCTGACTCTCTGGGGCGGGTCTGGCCATTCCGAGCTGAAAGGACTGTGCCTTGCTCCGCGCTAAGCTGGGGCGTAGAAAAGTTGGGCGCTTTCTCCTACAGATACGAGCATTAGATGTATGGCACAAATGAACACCGGCCGCCGATCCTCTTACTCTTGCTGGGCATCCTTGTGCGGCACCAAGGGAGAATCCTGCAGCGGACTCGATGGAGAGGGCTCCATGGGCGAGTCCATGGGAGAGACGTCCAAGGTAGGGGTGCTGATCTCAACTTCCGTGATATTGAATGGCGGCTTATGCGGCAAGGGGGACATTTCCATTATGTCCATGGCTGGGGCGGGTGACGACGAGGGCAACGGAGGCGTTGTCATCGTCTCCTCTATATACTCATGATAAGTAACCCGAGTCGGTGGATGCGCCGTTAAGTGTGGCCTCTTACCATTCCGATTGCCATTGCCAAAGAGATTCGACGAGAACAAAGACCGGCGTGGCGTGGCCAACTGAGGGCTATTTTTGGTCAGCAGTCTGAGACGACAATGAAGGAAGGGCTTCAAGGGAACAAAGAAGACGAGTCTATGACGAACCTTTGGTCGATGTGAAAGTTCTGAGACAAATCGGCGGCCAAACTCGCGGTGGGCGACGAGCCCCGGACCGGTTTCACGTTAAAGTAGTCGGCGCCATGGGCCCGTTTCATGGACAAGTCTTTGAAGTTGAACCGGTTGGGACTCAGAGCGGCCACGGATCCAAACGAAGGATAGGACGTCGGGGCATCCGAACGAAAACAGTGTCCGAAGAGGACGGACGGGGGCTGCATAGCAGCCAACGGGGACGAATGTTCCATTCTAGGTGATTTTTTTGGGGTATTTCTGGTGGTATTGTTCCTCCGCGAGACATCCACCCAGGGTTGGTCGAATACTCTCTATCTGGGCATACACTACACGGCGGATGGGGTAGGTAGGTTCCTCTCGGTCCGTTCTCTTCCTCGGGTTCCAAACTGCAGGAGTGTTGAACGCTGAAGCAGGCCTCGTCACACGAAAGAAGCAGATCGTTGAGCCAACGGTTTCTACAACCCTCAACGAACCAGCTAGCAACAGGACCAGAGAGGGTTTAGAGCGACATGGTCGTCAGAACCGATCAGAGTCTAGGGAGCCAAGTCGACGGTGGAGGAGGCGGAGGAGGAGCGGGAATGAGGAGGCCGCGAGGACGGGAGAAGAGACGGCGGCGGAGGAGGGGCTGTGAGGATGCAAGTAGTTAAATTAGCACAGATTCCCATATTCGCCGAGCAGCAGCGGGAGGGTGGGAGAGAGGGTGGTGAGGTGAGACGCTAATGCAATGGAGGTATGTCGGCAGAGGGAGAGGGAAAGTTACCGCTGCAGAGAGGGAAGAGGCAGGTGAGGCTGGGTCGGCTGCGAGGCTGAACGGAAGGATGAAGCATGGGAAATGAAGGAAAGACCGGGATCTTAAGAGGAAGACGAAGATGATCGTCTGAGGGAGGAGGAGCGAAGGGGGAGGAGAGGAAGAAAGAAGAGAAAGACAAGCGAAAAAGGGCTGGCGAAGTGTGAAGCTGAAGGGATGGGCTTGTTGCAATGGCAACGCAAAAAGTGGGGATATGCGATCTCCAGATGATGAGGCGGACGAGCTTCTTTTTTCCCGACCGCGTTTGTTCGGGGGAATTGTTTCGTCTGGAGAGAGGATCGAAAGAGTCTCCGGACGAGGGATAATTCCTTTGATTGTAGGAAGAATCAATAATTGACGATGCAGCGAAGGTGAAGGGAAGCCGAAGAAGAAGTTGGAGATATAAGGGCTTTTCCTTGCAGGAGCCAGTGGGAGTGACGTACCGCCGTACGGGGACAGGTACCGGTACCTGGCAGAGCCTGGGCCAGCGCTGGCGATTCGAGTAACTGGTACATCACGGTACCTCACTTGGACTGTCTTTCCATTTCCTTGTAATCATTGCATTCTGTCGTCTACTATGCATCTCAATTGTGTATCTCTATGTATCTATCTCGACTTCCCTCTCTTTCTTCCCTTCCCACTGCCAACTACTCCATCTCTTTCATCACTTGCTCTCGGTATGAGTATGTAATGGTTGCCCCGACTCCCTTGCCGCCATCGCGCACACTAGCCGCTGCTCAGCAACCCCCCGCCTATCAGCGGCCAGCCAGTCGCTACCCGCTTCGCCCTGCCAATGAGAGGCTCTCCGGGGCGTTTCGGTCTCACCACTTTCCCGTAAAAATGCTCCATTGGATTAGGTACGTTCATCCATCTCTATAGAAACCGTTTTCTTTCTTTTTCTCCCGTGGAACCCGACTGTCAAACGGCGTTCCGTTCGTTGTCCCAGGACGGTCTGCCTAGGTAGTAACTACGGAGTACCTACACGGTGATCCAGCTCCTGACATATGCGAGGCTGTTAGACGCTGCAGTTTCACCCTTCCAAGCGGGGAGCTAGGGTGAAAGCCTATCGAAACTATACCAGAATAGAAAATAGGATCAAACCGGCATGAAAACCCCGACTGTTCGGGGAAATCTAGGGGATTTTCGCCAAAATCGGGCAATCAAAGGCCAGGATTCGATAGTAATTTTGCAAGAAAAGGAAAAAAATAAGAAGGAAAAAAAAAAAAAAAGAGTGGTTCTGTGCCGTTCCTCCTTTTAGGGTGCCAAACTATGCGGACGTCCATCATTCCAAAAGAATCCAATTTCGAGATCGCATCTATTCAAGAGTCCCCACCGTCTCCACTCGCTCGGAGAATAGAGCCTCCCTTCTCTGTCTGGTGCTTTGCTCAGATACAGAGCAAGGGAGCCAGTCAAGTAAGTCCTAGGGAAGTATAACAGTTAACTAGGTATTGCGTACGTCTCTCCATGCACTGCAAAACCTGGAGAACCACGAATTCTCCGATGCCTGCATTGTTTCTCCTACATAACCTAACCACATTCCTGCACGGCCCGCAGCCGATTTCTCTTTGCCGCTCATTGACTAAGACGAATACTATTATTTGACGAAAGGATCGGAGAGGAGATTCTTCGCCGGAGTAGCCGAATGGGGCAGTCCCTGCACATGCCAAATGGTTCCTCTCTACCACGTAGCTGATAAGCTAATATCCAGATAGAAAGGATAGATATATACTACACCAGCTAAGCTACCCAGGGCCTTGCAGTGGCTAGTCCTCAACCACGAGATCCTCTTCGGATCTACTATGGTGCAAACTCTCATCCTACAGCAAGACCACCACCCAGGCACTGAAACGAGCTTTGTCCATGACTCTCGTAGGCTCACCGCAATACACTTGCTTTCTCCATGACCAACCCTTGCGCCGCATATTAACTCCGTCCCAATGATCCTCCGCCCTACCGTAGATCTCCCTAGGGGATCCCACCCCCTCTCCCTCCCTTCGTTCTCGTTCCCTCACGGGTTTCGATGTATTATCTGCCCCCGTGCGGCGATTTAACGCTCGTACAGATCTACCTCCGGTAGCGCCACTATCTTCGCTACCTACTCCTCCGTACAGTACGCTAGGGAGTTGGTCTGCGCCAAGCGCTTATGCTCCCCGAGCTCGTGTGGGGCGTCCAGCTCGCCATCATCCACCTCGTCAGGATGTCACCGATTGCTGAGGAGCATTATGCAATAATGGTCACTTGGACGTACGACATAGCCGACCGGACCACCGACCAGCTGACGACATCTCAAGCTCAATGAGGGGCCAGATCAACACGGCCGATCGAGGGACAACTAGTCTCCGCCAGGATGGATCCCTCAGGCGATCGGCTTCCTCGATCGTGCATTACACCTCGACTAGAGCCACACGTGTGTCCGAACTCACAGCCTCGGATCCCTGATACGGAGTACGCCGTGGGTAGGTTCTTCGGTCGATAGTTTAGTCGCAAACCCGAAACTAGACTTCAGCTGAATCTGAGGCGCATCGATCCTTTGCCACAGATGGTGGGACTAGCTAGCTCGTTAGCGTCGGGCTTCTCTCTCCAAAACCCCCTCACAGGCGGTGCATTATCTTATCCTTCGTGAGAAAGCCCCTCACCTGTGAGACGCCGGTGCCTCCGGGGTTTACCCATCTCCATCGAGAGCGGAGTAGCGGAGCTCCAGGAGGGATCTAGAATGCGGCATATTCTGCTTAGGCCGATGCAAAAATAGCACTCCCGTGTGGCTCTATGCGCCGAGGGGTGAGATCACGATGATGACAAGAGTAAACAATAGCATCAAAACAATCCTGATGCTGTTACAACTGTCATCCTGGTTGTGTACCCCTCGTTTGCGTCCGGTCATTGGTTCAGAGGGGCCAGCCTGGGGCATCAATGCAGGTGGGATCAACCCTGATCGCTACGGTCGGCCATTCTATTCGGTGATGGTAGGCGCCGGGCTTCAGACTATTGTCGTATCTCGGGGCCCCCGATCTTCCCGGTGGGGACCTTAGCTACCAGGATTATGATCCATCACCTGAGCCAGAGCGACAGGGCCATGTGCAGGGTGTTCTCATGCTGACCGTCACGGCTGAATCGGCATCTGGACTCGTCATAGACTGAGGGAGGCCGTGAGTGTCGACAAGCAGGAGGCAGTGTGATCTTGGCTGAGCTACCTGGTGCGGGGTTCCAGACAGTTTCCCGTCATTATTGGAGCAGCGAGTCCACATCGCGTGCAACAGCTGTCTGCAACCTTAATCACCAGCGCGAGAGATCCCGGAAAGCCGGAGGACAACCGAAGCGAAACCGGCTCAGGCAGACCAAGTGGGATGAGTGATGTCACAATGAGGAGAGCCCATCCATGACTTGCATCTGACAGTTTCCGGTTGCACGAACGTACACGACTAACAACGTCGAGTGATGTTGATGATGAT